CCTGTTTCATGCACGATGTCCATGATATTAACTTCCCGCGCGTTCTCGACTGTGGTCGCTATAATCGCCACGAAGCCATTGTGGCGCCCATCGCGCATTTCCTAACATCCCAAGGTGTGGATTTTCAGTTCAATACCATCGTCTCCGATATCGTTATAGACCCGAGAAACGAGAACCGCGTATCGGCTATTTGCGCGCACAGAGATGGCGAGCGCGACCACAAGATTGTGCTGGGACCAAACGACATCGTCATTGTTTCTGTGGGTTCTGTCATGTCCGGGACGACGACGGGTAGCAACACCAAACCGCCGTCACTAGGGCTAATGGAGATCGATAACGATCTGGATGAAAACTGGCTCTTATGGCTCGAGCTCTCGACGAAGAACCCCAAATTCGGAAATGCATACAATTTCTGCACACGCATGCGGGAATCTCGCTTGGAATCGTTTACCGTCACGCTCAAGGATCCCGAATTCTTCAACCGATTCTGTAAATTAACAGACAACCAGCCGGGTACAGCCGCATTCGTGACTTTGAAGGATAGTAGCTGGATCATCAGCCTGAATATCCCGCAACAGCCACTATTCCCAGATCAACCAGGCGACGTGCAAGTGCTTTGGGGTTATGCGCTCTGTCCCGAAGCGGAGGGCGACCATGTTAAGAAGCCGATGCTGTCCTGTTCTGGGGAGGAGATCATGACAGAAATACTTCATCATTTGCAATTTCCGGTCGAGACGATATTAAAGAATTCCATCACGATCCCGTGTGTCGTCCCACGGATGACGGCGACAATGCTACCCCGGGCATGTGGTGATCGACCTCAGGTGATACCGGAGGGAATGGCGAACTTGGCACTTATTGGACAATTTGTGGATATACCGGACGAGGTCGTGGTTTCCATGGATTATGGTGTGAGAGGGGCGCAGATGGCAGTGCGTCGATTGATGGGGTTGGACATTGAGGGTAAGAAGTCGAAGCGAAGTTCCGCGATCAGCCTCTTGATGTAGTTTTAGAGCGAGTTGTATTTGTACCCATTTTCACGTCTCAATGACTAGAAACGTCGAATAACTATCTAATCTTCCTTCTGTATCATCCTCTCGGCCCTCGGGTATTCCGTGGGCGGGGGGTTTCATGGTTTTGTAAATCTATACTCAATTCGGTCATAGTAGTATTGATTATGGGTCCACGATGCCTATCTCACTATATTACCAGTTATTGCCAATGGCACTATGCTCTACTTATTGACGTCAACAGTCATTACCACATGGGTACATTAGCCCACTAGAGAGACCTTCTATTACAACTAAATTAACGGACAGTAATGACGCTTTGCGCGTGTCTATTGGCAGCTTCCCAAATCCCTATCTTTGCCTTCATCCCAATTATAGTGTGCCGGGGCTAATCTGAAACTAGTCCAATCGCATGCCCGCGTGGAACAGAAGATATGCAAGTCAATATAATATGGCTTATCACCGTCGGACAGCGCCGCAGAGTGATCCTTCGTGTTGTCGATAGAGGGACCGCTAATCCGGCCTCTTCCGGAAAGTCGATGGGAAATTAAGCAGCCTACCATTCAAGCTTTCAACTTGGGTCCATAATTCAGGGCTTGTTCATTCCCACTCCTGCTTTGCGCTGTTATTGGCCACCAACTCACTCCCCCGACGCCTTTGTTCCGTCACTTGGAGCCAGCAACGATAAGAGAGTTCCGCGACTCTTTGTCTCCGCATCTTTGCTTGCTCTGATTGAACGATTCCATGGAGCGGCCCACACTCTGTTATGTTATCTCCAAATCTGGGATTATGGTAGTTATGCTTGAGCAAGCTCTACCCTCATGCAGGCCGTAGGCTCATCCCGGCCTAATGGCTATAAAGACCCCGCGCCCCAAAGGAAAAGGACGTTCTCTTATTAAATCGCACGTCTTTAAAAAAATGCTATTCAAAAGCATCGTGTCAACGGCTATCTTAGCCGCTGCTCTGTGCACCGACAATGTATCTGCTGCTAAACATGGCCGGTTCGGCCAAAAGGCCCGCGATTCTTTGAACTTGGCCAAGCGAGCTGCGGAACAGCAGAAGTCGTCGTTCAAGACCCCACTTGATGATTTCCATTTCCTAAATAATAAAACAAAATGTGAGTCAAAACATATCTATATCGCAACATAGCTAACAGACAGGGTTGGTTCCAAATAGCTTACCGAGTCGACCACCTCCCGGATGTTCCCTTTGATGTCGGTGAGATGTACTCGGGATTGGTCCCCATCGACAAGGACGACAAGTCGAGGGCTCTTTTCTTCGTCTTCCAGCCTACACTTGGCGATCCTGTTGACGAGATCACAATCTGGCTCAACGGAGGACCGGGATGTAGCTCTCTAGAGGGGTTCTTCCAGGAAAACGGCCGGTTCACATGGCAGCCAGGCACGTTTGCGCCTGTCGAGAACCCATACTCCTGGGTGAACTTGACAAATGTGCTCTGGTACGTTCACACTCACTGAATACGCTCTATGAGTGGTCTAATCTTTCTTGCGGCAGGGTCGAGCAACCGGTTGGTACCGGATTCGCGATCGGCAAGCCGAATGCCACAACCCAAGAAGAGACTGCCGAGGACTTTGTGAGGTTCTTCAAGAATTTCCAAGAGCTCTTTGGCATCAAGAACTTCAAGATCTACGTCACTGGTGAAAGTTACGCTGGGCGTTATGTTCCATACATCTCCGCTGCCATGCTGGACCGGAACGACACGGAGCACTATGACCTGAAAGGTGAATAGCTGCTATCGCATGGCCAAGAAGTCAGCATGGAACTCACACTAACGTTGTAATAGGCGCCCTGGTATACGACCCCTGTATCGGCCAACATGACTACGTTCAAGAAGAAGTGCCCGCCGTGCCCTTCGTGCAGCAAAACGCCAACCTCTTCAACTTCAACACTAGCTTCATGTCGGAGCTGGAGAGGCTCCACGACTCATGTGGCTACAAGGACTATCTAGACGAATACCTCGTCTTCCCTCCCGCTGACGTGCAGCCCCAGAAATCCTTCAACTACACCAGCGATGCCGACTGTGACGTCTTCGACCTAATCAGCAACGAAGCCATGGTCGCTAACTCCTGTTTCGACATCTACGAGATCAACCTCATGTGTCCTCTCGCCTGGGACGTTCTCGCCATGCCCACAGCATTCAATTACCAGCCCGCTGGAGCGACTGTGTACTTCGACCGCCCAGACGTCAAGCGTGCCATGCACGCGCCCCTGAACGTCACTTGGTCAGGCTGTTCAAGCGAGAACGTCTACGTCGGCGGCGACGCCGGCCCCGAGCAAGAGGGAGATTTATCCGCGAACCCAATCGAGCACGTCCTCCCGCAGGTCATCGAGGGAACGAACCGCGTTTTGGTTAGCAACGGCGACTATGACATGATCATTCTCACGAACGGGACGCTGCTGGCTATCCAGAACATGACCTGGAACGGACAGCTTGGATTCCAGTCTGCGCCTGCTACGCCTATTACCATCGATCTGCCTGATCTTGCGTGGGGCGAGGTGTTCGAGGAGAATGGTCAGGCGATGTTGCAAAGTCAGGGCGTTATGGGTGTGCAGCATTATGAGCGTGGTCTTATGTGGGCTGAGACTTACCAGTCTGGACATATGCAGCCGCAGTACCAGCCGCGGGTGACGTATCGTCATCTGCAATGGCTGTTGGGTCGTGTCGATAAACTCTAAGAGTCCTAGAGAGGGGTTAATGATGCATAGAGGACCATGATAAGCAGACTGTTTGATGAAACTGGCACCTGACAACGGCGGCTAAGGGTGATGACGATATGTACATATAGTTGAATAGGTATCAAAAATACTCTCACGCTATGGATATGCATCGCGGTATGGTCTGCTATAGATGATACTCAAAATAATATTCGGTTTGAGACTCATAATGCTTAGAGCGTTTACTTGACCTCAACTAGCATTGGTCAATACTGTCAGGCTACCACTAGGAGCGTGCGGGGTATACATTGGTGCCATTGCTCCAGCGAATAGTCTGCATCACTACTAATCCCTGATAGCGAAGGCCAATGTCTGGCTATCTATGGGTGGGGAGTTACATTCGGAAGGGCCACTCGGGCGCTGGCGTGGCATTGCTGGGCAAACATGCATAAGGCTGCGACGGCGTGGGGGGCTGGGGTTTGACTTGGCTTCTCATACGTCCTAATGATCAGCTAGTTCCCCCCTTGCATGGACTCGGTGCCTACTGGTGTGGAGTCCAGCAGCTTGGCATTATATCATGGTCAACAAGGTCAACAGGGACTGGGTCGCGATGTATTCAGTTTCACTATGTTTAAAGCCCCGGTTCCGGATGTGAGCGGACAAATACTTCTGACACTTAAGAGAAGAGCACATACCAACAGAAATTCAGACCAGGATCATTGATAATTGTTCCTGGGACTTGCGACACCGGCTATATGCCACTTAGAGCGATTGCAACTGATAGCATTCGATATCCCTACAGTCTGACGGTCAAAGCCTTATTTAAGGGAATGTCGTTCCGTACCATAAACTCTTGAACAATAATTACTCCAATATCCAGAACCACCATGAACCATTCACAACAGTCTTCACTTAGCATCCTGCTGCTATGTCTTCTTCCCTTACAAGCTACGTCGTACCGAATTACCGAATACCCAGACAACAAATGCGAGGAAGCGCCATTAGCCACCCACTATCTAAACAGTACTGATCCCTGCACAAGACTCCACGAGAGTATCACACCTGCAACACGCATGGAATCCGAGAACACCAACGACGATCAATACGACATTGCCCTCTACCGATCTGATACCTGCGAAGGCGAAGTCATCCGAGTAATCCACAAATCAAAAGGATGCCTGCTTAAGAGCATCATTGGCTCCACCGAGGCCAAGTCCGCTCGCATCGTGCCGAAATCTATAGAAGTAAGCACGCGCAACGGCAAGTCCGTTGCTAAGGACAAACAGGGACAGGCTGGCAGTGAGGATATTCGACCTCTCATCTCGCCGGCTTTACATGTAAGCTTTAGAAGTATGGATGAGGAGGTAAACGGACTCGTTCGCAGTGGATGGTCTGCGGAGTATAGCGTGCCTGCTTGTGACAATTCTCGTCCTAGGAATACCAGCCTACAGAGGGTCTTCCGCAGTGGTGTGGGTGGTCTTGCTAGGGTTTTCAATTTTGGTGTTTCTACTGTCCTGGACTATGTTTCTCGCCTGAGTGCAGCACGGAAGTTGCAGGGTGGCCATGCCGTGGGTGAATCCGGTGCAATTAAGACGGAAACGCTGGAAGAGCAGTTACGCATTGCGAGGGAATACACCGATAAGATAATGGATTTCTGCGCTCGAGATCCAGAATGCTTGGCCTTTGCTGCTCAGCTCTATGAGAAGAATACGAGTGAGCAGAAATCGAAAGCGAACTAAAGCCTTCTGTCCTCCAAGCGCGAAAAATACTCGAGTGGTGTACATGGGGTATGAAGTATGCTTTCTACATCTGGGCACCGTTTGAACTGCATTAGAGTTGTAGTAAATTTCACTTTTGCCTAACATGAAGCAGACCTAGTGGACCAAGTTCGCCAAGTAAATTCAAACTAGATACATTATATCAATAGAAAAATCATTTAAAATGATATAAACTGAGAACATTATACCAACTCCGAAACAGGTATCACACATCAATGCTTGAGAAATTGGCTTTCCTCTTTCAACCAGGTATCAAAATCCTTCAACCCCGGATGGATCTGCTTGATCTGCTTAATATCGGCACCATATCCGTGATTATAGAACCACTTGAACATGAACCTCAAATCCTTAGCCATCATCATAATGAAGTAAGCCACGAAACGGAACGTAGTCGGCACAGTTTGCCCCGTTTGGGTTTTGAACTTCTTTGCCATCTGCTCGAAGGTGAGCTCATCGCCCGCTAGGGAGAGACACTGGTTCTTGAATCGGTCGTGCTGCAGGAGGACCTTAGCCGCAATGATGCCGATATCGCTAGTTGCAATGCATTGGAGAGGCTTTCCCTGTAGATATGCATCCCAGGAAGTGAAGGTCACCTTGCCGATAAAGTCCGCTGTAAGGTTGTCGTAGAAGAACACGGGTCGCAGAACGGTCCAATCCATAGAACCATCTTTGGTCTTCTCGAATAGGTAATGTTCGATATTATACTTGGTAATGAAGTGAGGAACATTGGTGGGGTTGTCTGTCGAGGCATCGCCACCGCGGTCTACAGATGTTTGGACGAAGTGTTGCACGCGTTGTTTAATTGCCTCATCGATCAAGGCCTTGCCTTGGCGTTCTTCGCTTTCGAGACTCTCGCCTTTAGCAAAGGGACTCTATTTATTTCAATTACCCTTGGTCAGCCTACCATATTCTCCATCCAAGTGACTGCTATATATTCCTTACCTGGAGACTGAAAACACCCCAAACAGGCAAGGATGAGGCTGTCTTGGCATTTTCAAAAATCCCCGCAGGATTGTTCAGATCGCCTTGAACCAGCTTAACCTTGTCCGACTTCTGAGCCAGTTTCTGGGCCGCTGGAGACTGGGCATTGCGGGTGACGGCGAGGATCTCCACATCTGCATCCTGGGCCAGTAGCCCGTCGACGACAGCACCACCTTGCTTGCCGGTGGCGCCGGTGATCAGGAGAGCGATAGTCATTTTGCAGAGAGCTGTCGAGAATGATTCAATGACGCTGTGATGATTTGGTTCCTGACAGGTTTGGAACGCTGTCCTCCTTATGTACCTGCAGCATTACATGCTTGATTTGAGGCAGAATTGGTAGGTCTTTGTCGAACATTCAACTCTAGCAAGGGATAATCGTGATGTCATGTTGGTCAGCAGACCCCGAGGCCGAGACCGAGAATGACTAAGGCAGAAAAATGATGACTAATGCCGCACTGCGTTCTATTTTGTTGTGGGTCTCAATAATAAACAATCTCTAATCTAACAATATTAACACAAGCCAGCCCCAGAATGGGATGTTGTAGAAGCGAACAGAAAGTGAAAGTGAAGAGTTCCAAACTCGAAGAATAAAATGAATTATCTCTCCGAATTCATGCCCCCCGGGCGATAAACGGCTCTAAGTCATTTATTTGAGCTTGCCAACACCAGCGTTGGCCATAACGTTCTTGGGAATATCAGCAACAGGAGTGGTGGGAGGCATGGAAGCCTTGTAGGTACCAGCCTTCTTCAAGACGTCGGCATCGGTACGAGGAGAGAACTGGCCGGACTTGACCAACTGGTTGACCTCACAGCTTCTGCTGATGGCGCTCTCGCAGCCACGGCCAGCCTGGGTGTTGGGGACGTTGTAGATAACCGCACCGCTTTTCAGGGTGGTATCGGTGATGGGAGTGTCAACGCCTTCCCAGACGTTACCCTCAAGGAGCATCCAGGTGTTGGCATCAACGTCGAAGGAGTGGCCACCGATGTTCTGGAAGTAGTTGTTCACGCCGTGGAAGAAGTTCTCGGAGTTGGTCTTGGTGGTGCCCATGTGGGGAGCGCGGCCGGAGACGTCGTGGACCCAGTTACCGGCGAAGGTGTAGTAATCCTTCTCACCGATAAGCAGGAGAGTCCAGTAGTGCTTGCCGTTGCAGCCGGCGGACCACTCAGTACGGCCATCGAATTCGTTGTTGGAAATGGTAACGTGCCCCGCGGGTTGCCAGCCGCTGACGATGTGCTGACGGCCAATAAGGGAGAACTAAAACATTAGTCAGTTTAGCGCACATATGAAGTTGTCTGGAGGAATATGGTTCACCTTGTTATGGTCAATCCAGACCTGGTCAGCACCAGTCAGGGTAATGGCATCACCACCCCAGACGTACTGAGGGTTCAAGTCCTGATATGGTCAACGAGTAATCTCAACAACGGCGCGTTTCAACTAGGACCTACAGTGAAGTGAATGTTCTGGATGATCACGTTCTTGTTGCCGTTGGTAATACGGAGACCCTTTCCGCGGATAACACCCTTGTTGCCAACGCCGACGATGCTCTTGTTCGAGCCGATGTCGATCGCCTTCTTGGGGGCATTATCATATTCACAATCGATCCATGTGCCATCGTCGCACTTGTCCTGAATCCATGCCTGGCCCTTCGAGGTACCGCCCTCACAGGTAGTAGTCTTGGTGCTACAGCACTTGCCCTTGGTGGTACCCTCAGTACCGAGGAAGTTCCACTCACGGTCAATGAGGATAACACGGGGAACATCGTCTGATAACCAGCCCACAAGCCTAGTACACTTTATTAGCAAATCTGCACAAAGCCAGAACGCCTTCCAAATCAAACATACTCCTGCAGGCTGGAGGGGGCAGCTGCCTTAGCATCTCCACCACCGGTGGTACCAGCAGCGAAACCGAAAGGTGTACCTTGGACCTGGGCATGCGCAGTGGCTGCCAGGAACACACCGAGAAGAGCAGCAATCTTCATTATGTCTTCTTCTCTGATCGATAGTCCGCCAGAGTAGAGTTCTGGTTTCCAGTATGCGGCGGGAGTAAACCATGGTTAAATAGGCACAGAGACAACATTCAAACTACCCCTAAAACCAACGTTCCGATTCCACATGTTTAGCAGCCAAAACAACCATCGCAACGGCGCGAATCGCGAGACCCTGAACTGCCCCGTTCGCCGTTCGAGTATGTGTGGATCTCTTGCCAAGGCGAACTAAATCCGTTAATTTAGACCCCAGTCAGGGCACGATATCTTAAATTACCGATTAGTGTTTGACGCAGATTAATTCTAAAAGTTCGCAGGTGCCCAGGACCCTTTGCCAAGACCACAGGTTGCGAAGATGTAGGATATAAATTGGTTCGGGGCCGCACCTATCGTAGATCACTTCTGACTTTGGGTCGCATTGATCACTTTACCTGGATAGCAGTACCACGTTCAAATACTATACACCTTTCTTCTAGCAATTTTCCGATTTTAGATTCATCGCAGGACTGATGTTTATGTTACCCCTTGCTTTGGGCATTATACCTCTGGTATTGTGCATGCTCGGAGACCACGATTAGAATATCATTCTCCATAGATGTTATCCCTGCCATATAAAATCGCCGAGTATGCTCCGAGATTCCTCGACAACCTACGTCAAGCAAGAGGGTTGAGCGAATTTGAGTGCGGGGCCTGAAATTAAGTTAAACCCTTCCTCCTTAAGATGGAACAGAATCGTGCACTATTCATGGTGGCTCCATCCAATACCACGCGCCAGGCGTTTGACGTTTCATAGCTGATGGAAGCTAACAATTATAATATACGGGGTGACAGGAGGTGGTTGTGGTTATAGTCAACGTATTATGGCTTTAGGCCACTAGTTGATACTCTTTCCAGAAGACTATGCCATGGGGTAACTTAACCACAGGTAGTTGATTTCACACTAGACCCCTGCTGGTTATAAAACTTTTCTACGAGTTTAAATGTAATGGTATTACTTAATGCCACCACTGTGTACGGGAACTCGCCATCCGGAATCATTGACTATTGCTCAATCATGACACTATATTAGGGCAAGTGTGTCCATAGCCGCTGCATGTTTATCTCTGGGCAATTCAAATAATAAATCGCACTTCTCTTCAAGCATCAGAAACGGTATATAGGCAATCTTGCTGAGGAGGGGTTCCACCACCCAGAGTCGCAAATGTCCATAGCCTTCCCTGGTCGCTCCATGCCATGTTTCTCGCACTTCAAGCACACAGTTCTATAATGAATTGTGGCATACCTGATCATTGAAAGTCGGAACCTACTAGCATGGATGCGACTCAATATCATCGCGCGTGACTTCCGTTAGACGCAAATTCGCTAGGGGGAGGGGACAATCATCTTGACTACCAAAAGACGGCAATTGCCGTATGTTCCTAAAGCAATAAGGCGTAGGTGCTTCAAGAGGTATGCGGCGGTAGGTGTCATATCCCGCGTTTATTGTCCCTGCCTCTAATGCAGTAAGCTTTCGTGCGCGAGATCCGAGGAGTCTCTCTCACTCAGAGGTGTGGTAGTAGCTTCAGGCGCAGTATCGTATACAGATTGATCTGATTCAGGAAACGAGCCAGGAAGTTCGTAAATGTACCCTTGAGACCGTGGAGCATACCTCCTGCTCTTGAGGATGCTTCGACCACGCTCGTCATCTTCAGCCTCGTATCCGGGGTCCTCCTCAATCGTGACTGCGATATCCTGAGACAGAGTTTTGATCCGGTGACTCGAGCCAGGCGCGCGCTGTGTCGCTACTCTTGAGTTACGATGATAACCATTGTGGCGCCTATGTTTTATTCGTCTGCTGAGACGAACCGCCTTGCTAACGAGTGACTTGGAGGATACCGGTCGCTCATCCGAACCGGAACTGTCAGCATCCCAACCTGAGAAACAACCTCTCTGGCCCATGGATTGTATAACCTTTCCTTTGATTATAATAGGGAAGTCTGCTGTGTCCCCTTCAAGGGGTATATATTTTGAATGTGCTGCTGAAGATGACTGGTTGCTGTTGGCGGTCGATGCGTCTCTCGAACTCTCCTCACATTTGAGACAACGATGAGGGCGTCTTTCATTTAACAGATCGAGCTTTTTGACATTATGATGGCTGAGAGGATTGATATTTGCTAGCAGCAAGTTGGTTATGTGGATACAGCTCTCAAACGTGAACGATGCAATGTGCCCGCAGGGGTAGTGGTGGTATGTACACAAGCACATGGCTGGCCATATGATTATTGATGATATACTGGCGAAGTGGAGGGAAAAATGAGCTGTGGTATACACGGGGAAACGTCCATATTATCGTATTGGGAAGGTGTTATATACCATCGATGAACAATAGTACTCCTGGCAAAAGGAAGGGTATGAGGACAAAGGCATGAAAGGAAGATATTCCTCATAACAATTGATTGTCCCCAAGCTCTTTATGTCGAAGCTTTGATATTTTCAAAGAAAAGGCGACATGGCAAACATCTTAAGTCAAAGCGATCCCACATCCAACGAGTGTGTATTTCCCTTCAGATCCAGCAGATAAGTGACACCAGAATCAATTAACCACCATGCAGCCATCTCATGGAGAAACCTCAGCACGGGATTCTCCAGTGGGACAATAGCCTTCTTGCTTTGTCCGGACTGTAGCTTACTTGTCCACATGATCGTCTCCGTGCAAAAGACAACTTCCTCACCCTCTTCCCAGAATCGAATAATCAATCGTCCGTGGACGTCCCCTTTGAACAGCAACTCAAGCACGGCTTTGTTGGGTGCCCGTTCTTGGACACGGTAAAGCCCACAGACGAGATCGCCTTTTTTGAATTGGAGTGACTGGATATGAGATGCGCGGAACGTTATACGGTCTGCAGGTGTGACATTCAATCTCAATATCCAAGCTTGTGGAAAACGAGAGAAAGCTGTCATATTGCGACGTAAGAGCAGTGTGAATAAGTCCTCTAGCTGTTGCGTTGGAAGTAATTTGCGCGCAACGCGACGGGAAGCATGGTCATAGAAAGCGCGGCATTCTCCACGAGAGACTTCTACAGGGAGCGATAAAACTGTAGAAACGGATTTGGGGAGTTCACTGTGGTGAAACTCGTGATGGATTCGATGTCCAAGAGAGCGGTGGAGAAAATAGAGGTATGTCACTGTGGCAGAGGACGTAGCTAGTAGTATAGAAGATACATATACAAGACTGGGCATCTTGCCTGCTGTAGTGGGGCGATCATTAAAGAGGTGGAAGCGTAGTGGGGAAGAGAGAGTAATAAATATACTCGAGCGATGAGAAGTTGATATCAATCGGTGCCTCAATCTCGTATTGGACCCACGCATGAAAAGCGCCAGTTACTAAATTAAGTATGCCAAGGAAACGGTCTGGTGACGGTTTGTATTTGCTTAAATCCAAGTTATTAACCGCAGAAAGTCCCTATCCATTCCTGACATGAATATGCCGCAGTAAAAACTCCCAAATTACGATTACAAGTCTTATCCAATATACTAGTAAGACCAAAACACACACTATATAGCGTAGGCATCGGTCACCCAATTTTTGTCCTCGACCAGGAGTCTTCAGCCAGGACATGTCCGCAAATAAACAGGAGTGGGTATTGCCAATGCCAGATTAGACAATATCAGACACAGATTGGTGACAATCCCATGAGATGGGCCTCATTGCCTTCGTTATTTAACTTCTGTTTGCACTCGGTCACTTTCGTTCCTGCACCTGGTAGGACTCCTTCTTTGCTTTGCGCTTCATCCACATTCGGTACGCGAATAGAGAAACAACGCCCACACCCACGATAAAGACGATACAGAAGACTAGGATGACACCCGGATTTTCTCCAGCCCAGTTGCTGCGTTTAACAAATTCATCCCGGACATGGGGGCTTAGTCTTTGAATTGCAGGCATTGTCTAATTTCTGTTAGTTCTCTTCGCCATTCTGGATATCGAAATCGCTGTGCTTACGGAGTTGGTGGGAAAGCAATGCCCCTTGAAACACAACAGTGAGATGGTCTATGTCCTGTCAAGAAAGCCCCAGGACAGCAAAAAAGTGTTGAACATACCACGGAAAGGTCATAAAAATACTAGGGACGTGAGCTGGGGCATACAGCGAGACCTATTCCACATGTCGGGAGCCGCGGAAGTTACGATGGGAATGACGTGGAAGAAACGAGTGTATGCAACCTCACCGGGTTGGTATTCAGGACCAGGGCTCACAATGTGAATGGAAACTGGGTCCCAGTCAGGATAGAAGTTTAAGTAATGCCTGTCCTGCGCTTCCAAGACTTATACTTTTAGATTACAGTTTGTGGTGCCAATTCTGCAATGCTATTGGCGATTTGGTGTCAGACTGGTGGAAGTTTGTGGTCTCCATGGAAGGTTATTTCCCAGAAACGGTGATTGCTTGACTTCTCCAGCTGTCGGAGTATATTCAGTCACTTCCCCACATATCAATTAGCCTCAGAGTTGATTGACCGTCCCGCGCTATCCGCTCCCCCCACTTGGTGGTTTATATCAACGACCATGTCTGGACTTTTGTGTTACACACGAGACGGGCAGGTGCAATCCTCCAACCTAGACTTATCCACACCACTTCCTCATATCTCGGTAACCAAAAGACATAGCTTTGACAATTTGGGAGCAAGGTGATAAACTTTGGGTCCCGTCGGTCCCGCTGGCGTCACCACTGCAACAATGCCCATGGATGGTGTCATATTGAAATGAGGTATCGAGAGAGGGGGATTGCTTCTTGAGTGGTGGACTGATAGTTGAGACTTTCAAGGGTCCTATATCACAGGGCGGTTCCTAATTTCCCCTTCAAATTGATTTGTGGTTGTCAGGGTATGGGATATATGGTGACGTCATTGGTATCAAAAAGTACTACGTTAGCTCATGACTGACTCATGCTAGTTGCTAGAGAGGTGTTCGACACACGGCTTCTCGAATGTTTCGCAAACAAGTTAGCTTTGTTGTGAGGACACCTTGACGTGCGATGACAGAAATGAAAACCCCTCTCAGGGCTCAGGGCTTTATGCTGGTGCCTTCCCGTTTGGGTATTGATGCACGTGAAGCATGGAATCGATTAGTCATGTGTGCAGATCCTAATTCGGCAATTTGCCAACATTTCAACTTCCACTTCAACTTCAGCATTCAGACTTTGCAACGTTGATCTCTTAGCAGCTGGAATTTTTGCTCCCACATTCACTTCTGATAGACCCATCCATTTTCCCCTTCTGGTGTCAACTTTCGCGGAACTTACCTAGTCAATCTACCCAACTCCCCTTAAAGTTGACCTAATTGAAGGACTAATATCCACCTTGCATCCATTCCCTCGTATTCGGCAGATCAACCACCAATCAGCCTCTTTGCCAACACTAATGGCAGGGCCAAGATTCTTGGATCATAAAAAAAAAGGGTTCAAACACCCCGCAGAACGCACGAGATGTGACCTTGGGCTCCTGTCGCAGGCCAATCATGGGAGATTGTGCCTTGATGGAGGCTCTTCCCGTCTCTGAATGTCACCACGGCTAACCTCGCAACAATTTCTAGCCTTGTGATGATAATCTCATTGTGTCTGCATAAGTGCTAGTGTGCCCTCGTTTGAGAGGCCGTCAAATGCTTGCGGACTCCTGTTTGAGTAAGGATTATCCACGCCATGTGCCGCGCACACATTCTTCACGCATCTCGGCGCCCTGCGCTGGCGACGCCTAGTCCCTGGGCAGGACATCATGAGGGTGCAAGCCTCTAATACTTATCCCCGGGCAAACCCCACCAATCTGCCGTCAAAAATTATTCACCAAGGCTCAGGGAACTGACTGCTCGGCCACAAGCATGGCTCGTCTGTCAATATTCTGCCTAGCATACTTCACCGTTACCTTTCTCTCCGGCGCAAACGGATGGACGCTCACCTGGCGAAATGAAACTGGTGCCCAAATAGTGGATGGTGACTCTATTCAAAACTGTACCAGGATTTACCACAAGAAAGGCGAGGAATTCGCGTTCAACCCGGAAGGCAAATGGTGCCTGAAATTTTGGGACGAGCCAACATGCAGGACGCAGATCGGAAAGACGTGCGAGGGGCGGAGGTGGCAACAAAGTGCATCACGGGATATTTCTGCATTTAACGTCTACGCAATGCCGCCTGCGGACATTAGCGCCAATGGTATGGCGACTACAAGTACGACATCCACATCGAGCACATCCTCTACGATAGGCACCACATCCTCTGCGACTACGAGTGCGGTTACATCGGAAACAGCCCAATCCGGAAATGAAGATCCCTCGGGGCACTCCCTGTCCGGTGGTGCAATTGCAGGCATTGTTATTGGCGCCGTTGCTGGTGTTGCAATCCTCGCTGCGTTGTTCTTCTTTTGGGGTCGTCGGAAACGCAACGCTGCTGCATCGGCTCCGGCTGGTACAACTGCAGCTCCTGGTCCAGATCGAACTTTACCCGAGGCCGTGGATCCGTCCAAGCCAGCCATGTCAGAAACACAGACTCAGGTGTCTTCGGTGTCTCCATATGGTTATCCTGCCACCGGGGGTAAGACTGTGGAGCTACCGGGGGAGAAGGTGGGCGCTGAATTGAGTAGCAGCCGTCAGCTGGTAGAAATGGGCAACACTCCCTTGGCGGAGATGGATGGAACGAGCACTGTTAAACGTCCTTGATTGTACGGTTTAGGATAGTTTCGGGAACATTTGACTACAACTACTACCAATGTGCCGACTTTTACACGGCCTACACTTGGCCGCCGTGCACTGCATTTGTTATATACTCTATAATTTCGATATATGATACCAATTTGGAATTTTGCAATCTATGATAATATAACGCTTCCGTCCGTCTCCAGCAACTCTTTTGATGATCAATGTCAACGCCTCACTCCTTCCCCAGCCACGGCACCTCCTCCGGTAAATATTTATATGCCCTAAATATCGCATTGCTCTCGTACGCGAAACCCATCTTCCCCATCTCCTCCAGTTCACCCTCTCCAAGCACAGCAGTATAATCGTTCAACTGCGGCACCACAAACTCCCAGACCACATCTCCTGACTCTGTAACCTCAAGAACCCTGCCTGTAGCTGCCTCACAAAGCACCACATTCCCATTCTGTAGTTTCTGCGCAGAGCCCATAAAGGGGGTGAACAGCCCAATACCTCCCGTGCTCCTATCCTTGTATTCCCAGACAATCTCTTTCGACTCCCGCGCCACAACGATAGCCCGAGTGAACGGCACCGAGATGCCAGGTCTGAAAACTCCATTATCGAAAATTAAGAGGTCACCCGACGGAAGCTCATGGGCGCAATGCTGCTGATTGACCACCGGCTGGGTCAGATGCCAAAGGACTTCTCCAGTCTCCCGACTGATAACAACCACAGAAGACGTGTTTCGCATCGAGGCAATGATATTCCCATCCGAGTCAAACGAAACACTATTGATTAACGGCCAATGCTCTCGCGGATAATCCTGATGCATGCGGAACAGCTCGGGCTCAAGATGATCGATCGCACGCCAAGACCAAAGGAGCTTTGCACCGCCTTTACCCTCTCCCTCGAAGTCCTCGGAGGAGGATCTATTCGAGCTAGACCACGGATCAACTAATTTAATGCAATCCCCATAAACAATCCCACCCGGCGCTTCACTGCCTGTAATCCCTCCCTGTACTTTCGCCGCCTCTTCCGGCGACAACGCTTCTAATGTGGTGTATAGGATCTTCCCATCTGGAAGATGATGTTGATCATGATGGGCCTTTGGATCACGGTATTCTCGAACGATTTCCCCGGACGGCGATACTTGGATCATTGCGCCGCCGCGGTATTTGGCCCACATGGGGAAGAGGCTTGGGGCATCCGGGTGCGCGCCGTTGTAGGCGAGGTTGCCGTCCGGGAGGAGTCTGGCATGTCGGCCTGCACGGTAGGGAAGCGTCCATTTGTGCACTTCTTCTCCGGTTGTTGAGATGAGGTGCGCGGTGCGGGATGTTAGGGGTGTGTAGAGAATGTAGCCTGGGGAGACTTTGGGGTCGGTGCCGCGAAGGCCCAACCCGCGACGGCGGAGGGTGTGTTGTTCCATTTTTCTGATTCTTTTCAGTTCTGCGATAATGGGGATTGTGCTTACTAGACTTTCTGAATTTTTGATTTGGGATTTTGGCGTTTATATAATAAGGCTGTTGTGGATCCTGAATGGTCGACCGGCATGCCGCGGTATACCGCGGCGAGATAGGCTGGGTCTACGTAACTGATATGGCGTCAATTTGGCTATTATCGTGTTATCGGGATGCCGCGGTGTCTGGTGATATGAGCGATATGGGTGCTTTCAGATATAACTGGGGGATGGATTAGCTGGAATGTAAGTATTTTTGTTCGAAAGATTGTTGCGGGTTATTAGGTGCTGATCAAAATGGACCAAATCTCAGATACACATCGCAAATCTTTGTCGACCATAGAGGCTGATGAGAAGGCAACCTCAACATGGATGCAAGCCCTTTCTATTGAGAGAGGTGGTATTGAGCGTGTTACACCTGATCAACGGCAGGAAAATGTAACCCATTTTTGGAATGCCTGCACTTTCTGGTATGGTTGCACCACGCAGACTGCGACCCCGAACCTCACTAACAGAGTCAGGCTGAGTGCGAACATGGCCGTGGCTACGCTTACGACTGGAGCTCTTGGAGGGCCTATGGGTCTCAAGTTCTGGGATAGCTTCATCGTCATTCTCGTCGTTAACCTTGTTAGCGACCTTCTTCCAGCATGGACTGCGGCATTCGGACTAACGGGACTGCGCATGACCACCTTCTCGTATGGCCTATCCACCTGCATACTGGAAGGATAGCTAATAGATAATAGGCGGTATTCGTTCGGCTATTGGGGCAATCTTCTCGTGGTCATCTTCTCCATGGTTGCTACCACAGGCTGGAACGCAATCAACTCTATCTCTGGCGCCGCTGTGCTCAACGCCCTCTCCGACGGACGATGTCCCACCTGGGCCGGAGTAATCATTATCTGCACAGTAGTCTGGATACTCTGTGTCTTAGGAATTAATTGGATCCACAAAATCGACACCTTCATTTGGATTCCACCGCTGATAGTCTGGTGTGTAACTGCCGGAACAGGCGCATCGCATTTCAGCAGCTCCGAGCCCAAGGAATATAAAACCAGAGAGGACAGAGCCGCTGCCATATTATCCTTCATGGCCATCATATTCTCCTTCTCGGTCTCTTGGGTCAACTGTGCCGCGGATTATAACGTTCGCATGCCGATCAACACCTCACGGGCGAGAATATTCGGCGCAACATACATCGGCATCTTCATTCCCTCTGTCCTGGTCCAAACTCTCGGCGCCGCGTTATTCAGCGGAACGATACATCACCCAGAGTGGAAGTCCGCATATACAAGTGCAGGCGCAGGCGGACTACTGAAAATGGCTCTTGAACCGGTTGGTGGATTTGGAAAATTCTTGATGGTGCTTGCGGCGTTGAGTTCAATCCCGGTACGTACTTCAACTCTCCCCTACCCCTTTAACCTCAGTCACAGAAGGTGTTAAACTGACTAAAGAAACACCGCCAGAACAATATCCCAAACAACTATTCCTTCGCCCTACACGCCCAGAACTTCGGTCCCTGGGCCCTCCGCATCCCCCGCATTGCCCTTGTCACGTTCGGCTTCGTTGTCTCCCTGGTTGTAGGCTGTTGCGCGGCCCAGTATTTCAAAGATACGCTACAGACCTTCTTAAGCGTCATCGGGTACTGGACTGTCATCCACATCATCATCGTCGCAGAAGAACACCTCGTCTTCCGTCGCGGCTGGCAGGGGTATGACCTTGATGCCTGGGACGATCCCAAGAGGATACATTTCGGGTGGTCCGCTATTGGGGCCTTTGGGGCCGGGTTTGTTGGCGCTGCGCTTGGGATGAAGGTAGCCTGGTATGTTGGGCCCATTGCTGGGTTGATTGGGGAGGGGGCGAATGTGGGACATGAGTTGACGGGGGCATTTTCGGGGATAGTGTTTTTGGGGTTGAGATGGGTTGAGAGACGGGTTTGTGGGTTGTGAGTTGCCTTAAATTTTTAATTAGGAGTTTAAGGATTCATTGGGAACACGGTTATATATATTTATAGTCTCAATGTTATGCTCGGTTCACATGAGATGGTACAAATTATGGAGGGCTTGAAAATCCCCAACTAGGCAACAAATCCCAATTCCCGTCCTCCGTTGTCTCAACACCGAGGAACTCGGGGAAATAGCTTGCCAAATCCTGTCCGAAGAAAATTTCACTTTGCTCGGGAGGAAGGGGCTGTGACACAACCGCTGGACGCAATTTCTGATGAACCTTCCCAATGACATGACCGAGTGTATACGCTGCGTGGCAGGGAAGACCGATTGTTTGCATCCAGTGTATGAGGCTGAGTATCAGTGAGTCTAGTTCGTCTAGGTTATATATTTGTACTAGTTGCTCCTCGTACGCGTTTAGCAACCTGCATATGATAATTGCAGCGAACGTGATCATGTGGTAGATGTGGTCAGTTAAATGGCGCGTACGGTCGTCTGTCGTGTCCATAGCAAGGCGAATGATTGCTGTTGAATGACGGATCATTTCGGAAATGACTGATTCGCGGGCTCGTGCGGTCTTGCATTTGAGGCATTGATCGTATAGGAGGAGGTGAGCAAAATGGAAACCCATTAGTAGGAATTGGGCGCGAGGTTGCTCTGCCTTGGTTAGTGGATCGAAAATGTTAATTTAAGATGAAGTATACCAAGGATAAATTGCCATTCTTTCTTCCAGTCCTGGAGACTGGCTATGGACTTTAAGAGGTCTATTGATTCGCTTGACGTACGCTCGTATAGTGTCCAATAGAGATGTATTTCGGCTACCATTCGCAGTTCATAGTTCGTAGCATGGTCGGAGCCTACTATCGCTCGACATCTCGGTATCTGAGAGGCGTGTATCATGGACTTTCTGCTTGTACCGACGCAATACTGCAGATGTGCAAGGCAGAGATGGTTCCAAATACACCAATTGTCAAGGACCGTTTTCATGAGTTCCGCGTGTGGGTTAGTTGTGTTGACTGCATCGAACAAAGGGCTGGATTGACAATGCTGCAAGGCGAATCCGCTTAGAAGCCAACTATCGATGCTCAGCGGAACTTGGCCCACCGTCGTAGACCATAACGAAAGGACAATGGCAGCCTGGAAGAACTCAATCGGCTGCGGGGAGACAAGTAACGCAGTTGAGATCAAGGACCGAGCGCTTTGGTAGAGCTTCGGGGCCAGAGTAGTCGCCAGGCTCTCGGTTGTATGTCGGACAGCGATTAAGCAGCAAGCGGAGAATAGAAGTGGCGATCGATTAACCTTGCCAAGTAAGGCCTTGGGATCACTTTCTGGATCGAACAGAACCCATCGACCGTAATGCTCTAGGAAGCTTTATCTGTCAGATTTGCTGCTGCGTGACGGTCCCCGTAACGTACATGGTCATGAGATCGATTGCCAGGTCGGTTGATATAAGACCATCTAGTACTGATTCATTTGAGCTGGCATCTGGTGATTTTACTCCGACGTCCGATGCTAGATCACGGATGACCATGACAGGTGGAGCCGACGGGTAGTCTGGCTTGGCCGTTGTACTCGCTGCACTTTTTTGCGAGAAATGTCCTGAATTATCAGGGCGCTCGCGCGAAGGCATGATACTGGACGAGTCCTCTCCCAAGCGTTCTAATAGCGCCCCGACCGTTCTTTCGAGTTGCTCTATTCTTCGTTATATTAATACAGTCCAGTTTGCAAATCCAGGACATTGAAGCTACCTTGCATCTACATTGGTGTTGCGTGAAGCAGCATTCTCCCGTGAAGGGGTCTGTTGATGCTCAAATGAACATCGTTGCTGAAGGCGTTCGCACCGAAGACATGGTCGCCCACCAGTGCCTGATTCGTAGCATCTTGTCTTCTGCTTTCGGCAGGAAACGCACGCCCGAGAAGCGCGACCTCGATCTGGGGGCATGGTTCTTGCGTGAATACTATGGCACAAGCAGCAGCATGAAGGGTAGAGAGTAATCTGGTGTGGAGAGACTCGCCATGATATGGGGAAATGGCGTCAAATCTTATCGTGTCCACTGATAAGATAAAGCCTTGGCTTAGTGATCTTTCGGTCGCTACTTTTTCCTAAAAGATACATCGAAGAAGACAAACGAAATCGATCATCGGAGTCTAGAATCACTCTGTGACTGATAGTGGATTTTTTTTTTTTTGGTGTTGAAATGAATTTTTAACATATTATTCGCATAGCATATAATCTCTCCTTGATATAAAAATGGTATCATAACATATTCCCCGAACGCCGACCGCAGAAACGAAAAATATATCAACCAAACAAAGCAACTACCTTATTGTCTCACATTTTGATGCACCTCAACTCTTCCACTGTTATGCCATGTAGCTAGCATGGTGCCACACTGACCGCAGTAATGATTGTAGTCTTTCAGAGAGGACATCAGGTATGGGATACATCCCAGACAGAAACAGCAGCAAATCACCGCAGCCCATCCACTATTCCTTGTTAGCCTTTGCCCTACTCAGAGGCTCCTGAGATCATTGTACGTACTGTGTTGTGTTTCCTGACTCTGCCTCTGTTCTGGTCATCTCACGGACGCCGCAGATCGGGCAATCAACTGGGGTAGGACCGCGTTGTAAAGCATGCAATGGAGTTGCAGCGTTGTATCCGCTTGGATGACCGCCGGCGGGATGGACATATGGCTGTGGTGCGGCCATCATGTTCGGATCATGTACTGGAGATTGGACGTGTGCATTTGGAGGAGCAATTGGCTGCGGTTGGTAAAATTGAGGCTGTTGCTCATACACTGGAACGGGGGCTGTTATGACCAGCGTTAGTGACAGGGTCGGTTGACAGCGAGGGCCGAAGGTTTAACATACTGGATGGTACTTTCTCCATGGTGGACGATGATAGGAGTAAGCGTGACGTTTTCTAAGGGTTTGAGAAATGGCTTTGGAAATGGCTTAGCAATATGGGAGGATGGAAAGAGGGAGACTTGCAGGAAGAGCTAGCCGACTACCTGTCGACTTATATTGAATTTCATTGCCGTTGCAATCCTAGGACCCTTCAATTAAACTTGGTCATAGCCGCAAACTCTACGAACTACACATCGATACTATTTGTAGAAGCCCAATCAGAAATGCGTCGGGCGTAGGGTAATTTCCTATCACGAACGTCGCCTCGAGTGTGGGCCATTCAGAGGTGATGTTGAACCCCACTGATAGTCATTAGAGTGAACTGTCAGAGATTGGCGTGGGACTTTACGAGGCTCAAGCAGGCTCTGCCTTGTGGGTGCGGGCAATTAGACTTGTGACCCAAAGGCTTGGCTGAGGCTGTACAGAGTAACCATATTACATGACTTCTCCTAGGCTGATCTTTGCCGTTTTCAGATTTGGCATGGAAAATACGAAGGCCAAGAATGTCGTCCGAACAGTGGTCAGAACGTAAATTCTTCTGTTTTATGACTTCTTCGCTATTTCCCCCCGGAGACTGTTCGTCAGTTCTGTGGAGTTTCATGTTGGGTCTAATACGAGTTTCGCCTGCATTAGCACAAACCCTCAAAGACCGCGGTCAGAAGATTGTGAATGAGGATGGGGTGCCCCTTTCTTTTTGGCCCCTGTGCGCGACCTTCTTCGATGTGGGTCTGGCTCTGATCTCCATCCTCTGATCTTCATCCTCTTTTCTGACTCATCTTTTCACATACCTTGACCGGTAAAGCTCTTGAATAGGGCGCAGTTGTATATACAGCACCCGCGTCATATTCTAGCTAGGTAGCTTCAATGTCAACCTCTCTGCTGAGCAGATGAACTGCGAAAAAGAGCCGTGGAGAAGAGCAGCGCAAGGAGATTTCTCAGCGGTAAAACGAGGCTCCTAGTCAGCCACGATGCAACACATTTTAGTCGTATGCAGGTGGAAGCTTGGCGTGCATCCCCCGAAATTAATAACACCCCTATCTTTGTCATAAGAGCTGCAACACTTTTAAACGATGCGACCAGATTCTAGACAAGCACAGGAGACACAAGCTCAGGCCTCTCTCGCCTTTCGTAGAGATTTGCCAATAAGATCGTGGTTCTACTCCTTCCAAATCGAAACAAGAGCAGGTGAATTTGGATGGAGTGTGCAAGCAATAAACTATTTTTTGGGGGGCTTTTGTCGGACTTTCATGTTCCCCTATTGCTGGAAGTCGTGACATGTGGGACAGTATAAAGGATTCTCTGGTACATGCTAGCGTCACGGCTGCTTTGTCAAGATTGGCAAGAATCAGTCATAGCTTCTCAGCAGACTAGCTACGGAGGACTCGTGGGCTTTATACCATACCGGACGAAGGGAGGATTGCCGTTGGGGCCTAGATCATGCTTTAGGGCTGCATTTTAATGCGTTGTGGGCTTATGCCTAGACCAAAAGTTATAATATTATACGGAGTACGGAGTAGCATTGAGCGGGACCACGAACCGTTTTACTGCACGGTGGATCACAACTGACAGATCCGAAATAGACAACATGGATTGACAATTCTAGCACGTGGTCTAGACGTTACATAGCACCAGGATCCAACGTTGGACCCAAAGTCTAGCTCTGCCAGGCTGGAGATGATTGCCAACTATCCTTGCCCACTATAGTAGAGCTACCCATATTCTACGTAGTGAATATGTTGAATTGTAGCTTATATCTGGGTGGTCGGATCTACCAAATCTTGCTTTGCTTGTTGATGTATCTGGTAAGGATAGGAAGCCACTATTCCATAAATCCCAAAAGAGAGAAGAACTCCTCTTCACTGAAAGGTACACTATTTGAATGATCCACTAGCCGGGCTATATTTATATTGCTTAACAAAGGGTGACTAAACCCACAGTGTCATACGCCTGGGCTACTCACCTCGTCCATGTCGGTTCTCCTGGTGTCCGTATAGTAAATAGTTTCTTAGACTGTGCATCAATCAACAAATATATTCACAATGGGGGCCTCGCCTAGATCATGGAAACCTGGCAAACCAGGCGATGGAGTATTTTAGCCAAGACACTCCAATAGAGCTCACTGATAACAGTGATTGGATCGATAGTGTATTGACAATAGGGATGCCTATTTAGGCAACAGAAGTAGAGAGTATGTTAACGGAGAGTACTACGCATCAATAGTTAACAGGCGGAATTTTACAAGAAGAGATTTAGAGAGAGAGAGAGAGAGAGAGAGAGAGAGAGAGAGAGAGAGAGAGAGAGAAAGAGAAATACATTATACCCGAATACAGCTCCTATTTGGAGCTCTTCTCGGGTCGCCAACAGCCATTTATAGTCTAGTACTATACAGCTCTCATTGACAATTGTATTATAAATATACTTTATATATTGTGGATATAGTAAAGGGTCTGAAATAGCGGCAATTATAGTAAACTACTTCCTCCCTTTCCCAAACCTTATACTACCAATTTTAAGATTAACCTAATAGTCTATAAAATAGACTACTAGACAGAAAGAATACAATCTACTAGACATATCAATAAATACTATATTGTAACATGGAATTCAGCAGTAGAAATATATATTGAGAAGACATCCAGATAGATAGGCTTTCAGAATATATTAGAAAAAGATAATATCCAAAAGTAGTAGTTTCCAAAAACTATATATCATAAGATTAGTATCCAAAGGATCTAGGATAGGGTTGAATAACAGCAGCAATAGTTACACTATAAAGTATAGACTTTTCTATACAATATAGGCGATTTTACCTCATCTCTTCGAGCGGACGATCAGGCGTAGGGATGAGGGAAATCGGGCGATTTAAGCGATTTGATCAGTACCAAAATATATATACAGCAGTTTAGTCCAACAAAGCTTATACCGCAATAAGAATGGACAGCAGAGAGAGAGCAATACACAGAGACAGGTTTGGAATCAAGACAAAAGATCTCGGATCAAGTTATAAATAATATATAAATATATGTTCAAACGAACTGTACCCCTATATCTATAGTCACCTATTCAAGCGACCATGATAAACGGGCCAATCAGGGCGCCCAAAGGATCGAACTATTCTCTTGCCTCCAATCTACCCATCACACAAATGGCGCCCATCATGTTTGATTCTTTGAACGACAGGACCACCTGTGGTCAAAAGGATTCTCTTCCATACCACAAGTCAACCATGTGAAACTTCAATGTTTTCCGTCAGCTCGTACCCCTCGTTGTGTGTGAGGAACTCACATATCTCAACGCTTCTTTCCAACCGCCCTCCAACGGCATCATTCATGCTGCCATCAATGAGTTCAATCCACAGGCTCTGCTTTCCCCTCACCCAAAACCTGGATGGTAACAAAATGCTGAGAAGGTGCGACAACTGATCGCTCGATACATCAATGCCGATTCTACATCGATTACTCTCATGCGCGACACGACCGAAGGCCTGAACAACTTTATCCGTAGTATCAGCTTCAAGCCAGGAGACAACGTTGTCATCTTGGATTCGGAGGATCCCAACCATGCATATGGCTGGATGGCTCTTCGCGCTATGGGGCTGGAGGTGCGACAAGTGCCTACTATTCCCGAATCTCTTGAGACGGGCAAAGTGGTCGCGGCCAATGCAGAGGCCTTCGCCCCATTTGTTAACGACCGAACTCGTGCCATCGGCCTTAGCTCCATCATGTTTCACAGTGGACAGAAGAACGATGTTAAGGAAATTTGCAATGTGTACCGTCCGAGAGGGATTCACGTCCTTGTAGACATGACGCAGCAGGTTGGCTTTGCGCCCGTCGATGTCACCGATCTAAACGTTTCGGCAGCCGCCTTTGGGTTCCACAAAGGTCTCAATTGCCCCACTGGACTTGCAGCTCTCTATGTGAGTCAATCTGTCATTGAGGAGGCAGACCCTTCCCCTCCCGTCGTTGGGTACGGAGCCGTGTCAAATGTGAGGGGTGACGTGCTGGTCCCTTCAAATCCAATCATATATCACCCAAACGCGCGGAGATTTGAGCACCTTAATGTTAGTCTCATATCATGTGCTGCAGCTAGGAAATGGTTTGAGTTCTACCTAGACGTAATGGGCCCTGAAAACGTCCAAGAGCACCTTAAATCCCTGGTCGACACGCTACGGAACGCATGCAGGGCACTTGGGATTAAGATTGTGGGGCCCGAAGACCGTGAACACCACGCACCGCATCTTTACATTCTTGACCTTCATGGCGCAAAGTGGATGGAGCACCTGACGGCACATAAAGTCTATGTGACACTCTATCGCCTGGGGAATTGGGTTTCCTTCGGCTACTAACTATAACAACCTGGGAGATGTCGAGGCATTGACTACTGTTTTACAATCTGGTATTGACGCTGGTATTCCTTTGAAGTAAGATTTTGTATATTGCTCTCAATTATCTACCTACCAAATATTAGACACAGTAGAATTGCTATTGGCTTGTGATCTCAATCTGCGCTAGTAGTCCACTTTGAACTTGACTTGTATGTACCAAGGCCTGTGCGGCCAAGCCCCAGATTGCGGAGCACTCGCTCAGAATACTGTACATATAATCGCATTCTCGAACAGACCCAAAATGTCTTAAGCTCCGCATTGTTTGACATATGCTGTATATCATAATTATTGGCGCATGTCTGATACCATGTTTTGTTGGACGGTACTTTCTGACAAGACACAAGACATTGTGGGCAGCCATCAAACCAAGTGTTCTTTGACTAGGTCTGCGCATTGGCTGAGCCAGTAGTCTCCACAATACCGAAATTGAATGCGATATGCGTACTATAGAGAGGAAGGCCGGGTGTGGCTTACTGGTATCATCATGGGTTGTGATGTAGGCTACACTTACTGTAGAGCTGCGACAGTGGGGAGCAAAGGAAGGGAGGATGGCTCCCATTCATTCCACCTTATTGGAACAGGAATCGCGTCTTTCCAGTGACAAAACTCAAGGCTCAGGTCACTTATGCAACCTTCCCACTGTGTGCGGTTCCGGCGTATCTTTCAGGGAAGCTAGTTCTGACAAAACGCGCTCGATAATGTTAGACAAGCGTATCTGCTCTTGAAAACATGCTATCAAACTAGGTGGATTCGTGATGCCATTTGAATCGCTAGAATATCCTGCTGGAGGCCATTGGCTTATTTGCGGGAAGTCACTGTCAAGGTCAGTCGTGCTGAAGAGCTCTCAAAAACCTGACTTCACATACGGGAGGATTTCGGTCAATTCAACTGACGCATCTTGCGATGGAAGCTGAACAGATCGCCCTAATATCAAACTAATTAATCTATCTGATGTATAACGGCCCCTATATATCCGGCGGCGTGTCTCGATGTCCTCGCTGGTGATTACTGAAAAGCCATGGATAATCCAGTGCCGGGGATCTTTGTGGAAGCCAAGGTCTAAAAGGCTAGGCCCGGGAATCTGTCCCACTAAACGTCCTAGCCAGTTTATTTCCAGAGGCATTTATACAACTATACACATTAGTATAACCTGGACAAGACGTAAATAGAGTTCGGGTTCATGAATAAACTATAGCAACCGTCTTCTACACAGTAAAGTTCGTTTATGACCGTCTCCTCTTTGGCGGTGGAGGAATTCAGAAATGACGACACTGTCGTATTAATGAATTTGTTATTCCGGAATATGAAAAGGTTAACATACTACCCATAGCCTTCTCAGCGGCGAGAAGGCTATGGGGAGTATGTAAATTGAGAGAGAGGCTACCGAATATAGTATTAATATGTGACACACCACCTAGTCTCCATTCTTTCCACTGTATCACATAGTAGGTTTTTTTACGCTTGTCTCCGAGTTAGAATCTTCACAGACGTGACCTCTTGAGCTTGTGATTTCAATGTTTATCATCTAGGGCTAGAAATGCTATAACAGTTGTCTATTACGTCGCCTATGCTTAAACAACTGAAGATAGAACTGACGTTCAGTCAGATCAATGATAGGCTTTCTACATTAGCCTATGAGTGGCTGTGCTCAGAATGTCTCATTATCTATTTCATCTTACCTACACTTCTCTTTGAAAGACACGAAACTGTCTCACGTTGTTAATTCAAAAACCACTCATGAATAAAATAAAATAAAATAAAATAAAATAATAATTATCAGTCTTCAATAGCCGTATATAGAAAAGGCACGCGAGATAACTCAAAACATGCTACGACCAATCATTCGCTGCAAGGTTATGTCTTATTATACAGCTGTGGCCGCTGGGAAGATTAAACTTAAGGTTGAGGACATAGCACTTCATTCGCTGGAAGTCGTCCAATTCTGAAATACAGCAAGTTCATTGGCTCATAGACTGGTAAAGTGAGTTATGTTGAAAGCTAAAGACTGTCTTCGGGGAGAAATTGTTTATTGGTCAAGGACACTGAGTGGCGGAATGAATTTAAGTTCTCTGGGGAAGTGGCCTCGTGACGATTTCCCCAGGAAACTTTGCTTAGGTTCAACTCACTAGCTGCAGTCACGATAATTGCTATAAAGCAGAGTTTCTTGCCGTTTGACCGACTTTCCCCTTTTGCCCCTCTGAGACGCATTAGATGCGTTGGACACCCACAATGCCTTCCGGGCTGCCTGTCACCCTGTCCATCGCAGCATGTCCCATACGGAGCCGGACTCACTGTTTGGCTCAGGTCCCGGCCACAATGCTCTAGGAATCAGCATTATCGTATTCATGTCCGTCGCTCTCTACAACGCCCTCGAGCTAGCCGTTGTCATCCCGTTGACCTTCCACCGGTACAGCAGTTTATATTTCTGGGCGCTGATGACATCCGCTGTCCTCGGTGTGATTCCCGCAACTATCGGACCGTCTTTGCAGTTCTTCGATTTCACACCATTATGGCTGAGTATGCTGTTGTCCAATTTTGGGTTTGTCATGATGGTCCCAAATCAGTCGGTGGTACTTTACTCGCGGTTACATCTGGTGTCACAAAATAAACTGATGCTGGCCTTCGTGCGGTGGTTGATAATATGGAGTCTATTCATGATCGTTGTGCCAACGATTGTGTTAAACGTCGGCTCAAGCTACCTGCCACAGTCGCTTCCATGGGTGCGAGGATACGAAGCGATTGAACGGATCCAAGTTACCTGGTTTGCAGTGCAGGAGACCTTCATTTCCCTAATATATATCTGGCACACGGGTTGGATGATTCGACTTAGTCCTACCGAAGATAAGCGGCGACACAAGATTCTATACGAACTAGTGATTATCAACATCATAGCCATTGCCATGGATGCGTCTCTGGTGGTCCTGGAGTACCTAGGGTTCTATTTCACGCAGGTTATTTTCAAGGCGACCGTCTACAGCATAAAGCTGAAGCTTGAGTTCGCTGTGCTGAGCATGCTGGTCTCCCTCGTGCACCCGCCTAGGTCTGACCCGCCCACCTGGGGGACGAATTGCACCGTGTCGACTTTCTATTAGCAGGTACATACCTTTTTTATGTGGTCTATATTTTAGAAAACCTCTGTACAAATCTAGAATAAAAGGACTGTTGCCTATGGCCTCGGTATTCCTAGTACATACGTACAGTCAATCATTTGTCTTTTGTACAAATAGAGCACAGACCCCTTGGTAAGAGCGTCATGACTGCCGCCACCATCCGTGGCACTGAAATGCAGAAATCTACTACGCGACGTTGGATATTTAATCGAGACATTCTTTACAGCGCTATTAATCATCCGTACTTAGTAATAATATTCTTGGAGGCGTCATGGCTATTTATTATTATAAGTTCGAATCGACATTTGTATGAAGTACGGGAGGCGACACGAAGCTAACCGCGATTTTCAGCCAACAACCGCTATGGCCTACCAATTGAGGAGAGAAATGGTATCATGTGACGGGAAATTTACCAGTCCAACACTGACTCGATTTTGTGCGAGGTAGACTATGACACTATATATCTGTTCGCCATGCACTCACTCTAGGTCGATGTACAATCCACCTCCGCCTTAGGTACCACCATAGGGTGCGAGCTTTTGTGATATTAAAAGCCACAAATGACAGAGCGCTAGCTACTGGTTTGTTTGGCTGTCCACTTTCAGCCGATATTAGAGGTGTAACTTTTCCTAATATCCTGTCGTCGTAACCATCGAGATGGAATTTAAATTGCGGGCTTGATGCCTCGGACAGGCCGTCCTAGGATACATAAGGTGCTGACTTCACCGCGTCGCTGACAGATAAAGTATAATGCCTTTCTAAGCTTGACGGCCAACGTATAGTTATATCTCTTCATTAGTAGTCACTTCATGTGTCCCTTGCAATCTTATTATATACGCACACGCCATCGACTCTATTTGGGCTTAGCACCCTAAAGATTAAAACGCCAACTATGTGAGAAGTCTTCCTGGTGGTTGGGTTTAGACGTTCCAAGTCTACTGAGAATGCTATGGTACGAAACCAGTCAACGTACTGCCCCCCCATACCAGCAGAGCGCACGGGATGTTGGTCCCGGGCGGCAAAGGTCGACCTAGGAGGAAAACCAAATTTCACAATCTTGGGTGTCATAGAGATCAACATGGCAGCAAGGAAAGGGGATAAGTGCAATGGAGGAGGATGGTAGACGAGTGAATCATGGGATGGTTCGCTTTACGACTTCGCCGGCTGTTCATAGAGACACTAGGCACAGTGTGCACGACCGCGAATGATCTGTTAACGTCCCATTCCGATGCTCACACGGTTCCCTACCTTGACTGCAGGGATCTGATGTGGTCTACCACAAGTCTCCTGTCACCAAGCAGAGCTACAGAGGCTACTACTTCTCTTTCTTCTGGAGAGCCATGACAGTAGGTCACACCATTGGGTTTCGCCTCCACTGAGCTATATCCATCATTTGTTGTAACATAATTATCCAGTCGTGTGGAATATAACCCCATCGTGTCATGTTGCAGGGGTCAATGACCGAGATGGATAATCGTCGGGCTCTCTTCCTGTTTATGAAGCTGATGGGGAGGAGGAAATCTCTAGTAAGTACAGTCAGCATTGCTTCGTGAAGTCTCGGTCTCTCCCTCAACGCTAGGTAGATAGTATCGTTAGAATGAAAGGTGCGCTTGGACTTCTAGTGCTTCTGGGATTGCAGAGAAGCAACCAAGACAGTTGTCAGAAATTGATATTTGCAATAATCAATCTGTGCGAGAGCCTATACTTCTGAGCTCTGGAGATGTCAGGGTAAGTCAGGTATACAACAGAGTCTGCGCCGGAGGACACCACAACGACAACGTGATTCCTCCAAGATAGAGAACCCCCACGGTCCTTGATGTCGGGAGAGGGTCGCTTCCCCAGCTTTCAAGATACCAGCAGGACTATACTTGCCATACCATGCATTCATTTCCCAGTCAAGCCTAGCTGCAGGCTACACGGCGACGGCGACGTGGACACACGCGAGATGAACGTTGAAGAAGAAATTTTTGCCCGTCAACACGATTGCCGATATTAGACATCCGCTAATATTGGAACTCCGGCCAATCCGGAATTTCAAATTTCGTTTTCCGATGGTTTGATATCAGGCGACTGTGACTTCCGGGAACATAGATGAATAGGTGGCGGGTGGCACGATTTTCCAGCGTTCGAGTATTGGCCACTTCTAACGACTTAGAAACAGATGATAGTATGATAGACGGAGAAAAGAATATCGGAGTATGCAGGGACGAGATAAAGAGTTCTAACCAGAAGTGTTGGCTGGGCTAACGTTCCTACAGGACGCCACGAAAGGCTGAGACGCGAGCAACCTTAAACCTCGGCAGGCTTGCCCGAGTTATCGGAAGGGCTCCCGACCTCCTAGAAGACAATGAGATTATCTCTGATTATCTGTCGATGATGTCATCTTAGATGTCTGAAAACACGTCTGTTTAACACCAGTCCCTGTGGTATCAAGAGTATACAGCAATCAAGCGGTACCCGATCTTGGTTAGTTTCCGTATTCGATACTACTGGCATGAGATGCGCTGACTTGAAATGCAAGTACCAAGCCGTTACACTCGTCTGACCAAACATTAATTGCGGAGAACCAGGATTTATTGACCCTGTCACGACGGAATGTGTAATACAGTAGTAGGGCTAATTATTACCATTACGGATTATATAGCTGTTCTGTTTAGGGCTACACGTACCTTTCTCTACCGTTTTTGCTGAAGACATCAATGTCGTTCAAGTCGAGACAATTTGAAACATTGCACATTGTAGTATTACATACTCCCATCATAGATCCCAGGTGGACTGATTGCAGATTGCGAGTGGCGATGTATACAGATATCAAATAACTTGTATGAGGGAGAGGCCTGAATGCTATGTTGTTAAATAGTCCAGAAGGCGCCTTGATAGTCTGCCACTTGACGATCAGTACTGGCAATATCAAATCATGAAATCAGGCTGACGTGCAATCCACCGGTTCTACTCACATCACCGCCTTCCAAATCTATACAGACGCGGCCGTGACTACTACGTATAGCTACTGGGATTGTTCAAAAAATAGACCCCTTGTCAACAGCGGAGTCAACCTTTGCATGAGAAAGCTGGAGCTTTGAAGTGGGTAGCCGCCCCCAGACTCCACATCTCAACACCCCACAGTCGTAATTGTGCAGAACCAGTGATTCCTAACATTCACATCCACATGGGCCCACCTATTGACCGCTGTTTGACTATGACCGGGGATACCTCGAGGCTGGTCGACGTCATTTCCCTTTAGCTGTAGCTGCCAGTGGACCCACCACATATCGGTGGAGGTATGACAATTTTCTAGTTTGACACCTGAGATAATACGAATATGGCGTCTTCTATTACCCTAACACAGAGTCACGCCTTCTAGAACATATCTTGCGAGCAGAGATATATGATGCCAGCAACTTTTTCCATGCCATCGTGTGCTTTTCCATTTTGGCTTTAGACAATCTAAATTCTCGGGAGGGGTCCCGTAGTCCCCCAGTGACTATTTGCTTGAGACAGCGATGACTCGTGGAAAAGCCAACCCTATCTGTTAAATAGAGTTGCATCTTCCGTGGCGGGGGGCGCGAAGTTCGCGAGGCCTAGCCTCCCCCCGGTCCGGCTGGCTTTTAGCGTGCCATTAGAAAACCTAAATCTGCTAGAAAGGTTCAAAGGTTGAGGGATGCCCTCAATACAAGTGACCTGGATAGAATCCCAAAGTGGCGCTGAAGAAGTTCAGTCGAGAATTGCTTGTTGGCAAGGCAAATGGTTGATATCCCCAAACACTACTCGTTGGGGTTCTGGACCGGGAAGGGAATTTGAATACCACGGATGAACAAATATAAGATTTTCAGGAAGTTACAACCGGCTAGACTTTTGCGACTGCGGCAGACTAGTCTCAATAGGGAAATTGTCCAGGGCTCCCAGACAATCCAGTGGCGAGTTCTTGCAACGTGGCTTTCTGTGCCCCTCCAATCAACTCCTATGATTGCATTGGGCAGGCTACTCCCGTGAACTGTTACCTGGGTGGGTGTTTCTACATACAGATTCTCTCGTCCTGCCGACGCCGGGCCGGTTCACCACGACGTCGTATCGTATTCGTGGGGTTCCCCGCGTTCGGCAATGCGCGTTTTATCTGGGGGATCGGCGCCACTCCATACTACCCAAAGATTTGTGACCCTACCCTACCCTCATCGGGAACGCGCCCCGTACACTGCCCACACAGATCATGCCATCGCTCTGCCACCCAGTCCCTTGGGAGCCTGTACTGCATCTCAAACGACAGTCGGAGGAGATAATCATTACTACTTTACAAATTCCATGGACTTCCTATCAATGCAAAGACTCGCCCTGCATGTTGTGGACTCCAGACGTCGAAATCCAGATCTTGAATCTATGGAGTAAGTACTCCACCCGCAAAAGACTACATGACATGACCTGTGGAGATAGCCACCCTTGTTTAATTTCGGCTGTATTTGAATTAGATAATACACTCTCTACTCGCGCTTATTTTCTAGTGGACGGTTCCGGACGGTTTGGGTTTTAGGTTTTGGCGTTCCCCTCTCGTAATAGTAGAAAGAGAGTTCACGCGTTCCCTGGGATGGATGATAGTGCGCATTCTCCCAGTGGCAATCTAAACTTTTGCCGCTATCTGCCGCTGTGTGTATTGACGCCCGATATGGGATCGCCGAGACCAAGTAATATAAATACTACGCATGAAACACCCTTTTCCTTGTTCAGTTGGACACTCAAATTGAATTGTCTATCCTTCTACCATTGCAGCCACAGGTCTTAAATATGTATGAGAAAAAGCAAGACGAGATTTCACCCTCCGAAACATACCACATCGACTATATCGAGAAAGATCAGGGTCCCGATCAAGATGCTGTTTTTGGAGAGATCACCGAGGAGGGTCCGAATTATCGCAATGTTTGTGCATCCCAGGACTACGTGAGATACTGTTGTGAAAACTAACTATTTGATTAGGTAGGATGGCTGGGAACCACAGCCCTCATGATGAAGACCCAGATCGGTCTGGGTGTTCTTTCGATCCCATTAGCCTTCGATACCCTCGGTCTGATCCCGGGAGTCATAGTCCTCTGCGCTATTGCGACGATTACAACATGGTCCGACTATATTGTGGGTGTCTTCAAGCTTGCCCACCGGGAAGTCTATGGAATTGATGACACGGGAGCACTCATGTTTGGGTATCCCGGTCGGGTAATATTTGGGGGGGCATTCTGCCTTTGTGAGTTCCTTTCTCAAAGAGTCCGGTACCCTGGCCGTTCTAACTGTCGAGTAGATTGGATTTTTGTAGCTGGCTCTGGAATGCTTGGAATCTCTATCTCCCTCAATGCAGTCTCCACCCACGGCGCTTGTACGGCCATCTTCGTGGCTGTCGCCGCTGTCGCGGGCTTCATGCTTGCTAGCATTCAAACCCTAGGTCGTATCAGCTGGATCGCATGGGTGGGACTGTTCGGTATTCTTTCAGCGAGTAAGAGCTATCCTGTCCCGGTACTGCAGATGAATAATTTCTAACATTGACCAATAGTCTTCATCGTCACGATTGCTGTCGGAATACAGGATCGCCCATATGCAGCGCCACAAGACGGCGTCTGGGTCTCAGACTATAAGCTCTTTGCTAGCCCGACCTTTACACAAGCGATCACTGCCGTGTCCTCGATCGTCTTTGCCTATGCTGGTACCCCGGCCTTCTTCTCAATCGTTTCCGAGATGCGCGAGCCCCGCCATTATACGCGGTCCCTAGTGATTTGCCAGTCAGTGGTTACTGCGGTCTATGTTTCCATTGGCTGCGTTGTATACTATTACTGTGGATCTTATGTTGCTTCACCAGCCCTGGGCTCCGCTGGTCCGACTGTGAAGAAAGTCAGCTATGGCTTTGCGCTACCAGGTCTGATGACGACCACTCTACTTGTCATCCATGTAAGCTACAACGATTGGAAATGGTTCAAAGCGTTCTTGATATACTAATTTGTTCCCAGTTGCCAGCCAAGTATATTTTTATCCGCCTCTTACAAGGCTCGAAGCACCTTACTGGGAACACTATGATCCACTGGGTGACCTGGCTCAGCTGCACTTCGGGTGTCGCTCTCGTCGCATATATTATTGCCAGCGCTATTCCCGTGTTCAATGACCTGGTGTCCCTGGTTGGTGCCCTCCTGGGCACAATGATGTCCTTCCAACCTATGGGCTGCATGTGGTTATATGATAACTGGAGTAAGGGTAAGATTAGTAAGTCGCCCAAGTGGATCCTCATGGTCTGCTGGAGTGGCTTTGTTATTGTGTCTGGCACCTTTTTGATGGTCGGCGGTACGTACGGATCGGTTGTTTCCATCATGGACAGTTATAAGAAGTCCGGTGGGTCGGCAGCCTGGTCTTGCGCTGATAATTCTAACTCGACTTAACCGATATAAATCTCGAATCCTAAACTTATGTTTTTCGTTTAATTTCTAAACAACATGTGGCTGGCTACTGTTTATTAAAGCAAGACTTACGATATATATATACATGTCTATTTCTATATAGTATAAGAATATAGAAAATTAAAGATTTCTTTTTTTAGAAAAAAATATATATAATACTGTCCCATAGATATGATCATATCGAGACCGTAAAGAGTATTAGAATCAAATAAAATAACTTGACCAACAAAAGCAAGACTTGCATAGGGCATAAAGTCATGACTCATGTGAAGAAATTCCATGTGATCTCACGTCATGTGCTGAGCTTTCCCCATCTTAAAGGTGGAATTCTTCTGCCTAGTAGCCCGATTACATTTCTCATCTCTTTCCTCCTACATGCCATGGGGGAAATTCCTCGCAATCCCGCCCCCAATAGGGACTCAACCCTCACATTTCGCGAAGTCACCGAGGATAACTGGCGTGCGGTAGCAAACTTGAGTCCTAAGGACGGGCAGGCAGGCAACCTCGCCGCCAACGTATGGTCTCTCTGCGAGGCCCACTACTCCGAAGACGCATGGGTACGTGCCATTTACGCCGACGAGACGCTTGTCGGCATGTTGATGATGGCGATATGGGATCCTGACGAGGCGTACTACATCTGGCGACTCATGATTGATGGCCGGTATCAGAGTCTCGGGTACGGTCGACGGGCCGTGGGATTTGCGATTGCGCATATACGACAGCATAATCCTCGAGCAAAGCAGTTGGGGGTGATGTCAACGCCACCGGAGGGAAAGAAAAGCGATAATCCTCTCAAGAACGTCAAGCCTGAGGATTCGCCGTATAGGTTTTACCAGAAACTCGGGTTCAAGCAGATTGCGCCACCAGATGAAGATGGGGAGATTATGATGTCGATAGAGTTGTAAATGGCTACTACCCAAGAGTCACCATTACGCGTATAGTCATATTCCATAGTGGTTTCTAGAGCCACGCATCATTGTTCTTTGATATGAAGTCCTTAAAAGTGGCTTTTGGCATCTCTTCATCGGGACCACCGCGGACCCAGTCAAGGATTGGTTGGTCTATTTTGGTAGATCCGCCCACCACAGGATTTTCGGGATTAGAAGATTTGCTGTCTCTATTTACATATAGATAATATAGAAAGCCATGAGAAAAGGTCATGATAACAATTATTATATGTGGCAATAGACTTTTATTTGAGAGTTTGGTTTCGATGGAAGTCGGGCGTCAGGTGGCTCAGGGCAGTGAATGGACAGGCCCAGGTAGCTTCCACTTCACATGACCTGCCGTTTGCATTGTGTTTCGCCTTCGACTTTTCTTATCTTCCTTTGATACTACTTCCCTTAGACTCTCTGCTGTTCTTATCTCCCAAAAACTATGCCACGATCTTGCTGTCGTAATGCTAAGCAGCTGTAGCTGCGTGGTCTAATTGCCACAGCCTCCATTTTGAGGCCTCGTCCACTGTGCGAAGGCCATCGCTCTGGTGGCAAAGCCTAGGCTCATGACCATGAGCACTTTGCCCTGGGGTTAAATCGGCCACTTCTGGCCTGAGTCGAGACAAAGCCATGTCTCAACAGGAGTTACGAGGCCGCCGGCCCTCATTCCATCGCGTCGTCCAGATGTAGATGACGCTTTGGCGAAACTCACTCGGATTGAGAACGGTGAGTCTGGTTACGCATCATTACCTTTAGCGATAATCATTTGTATCCTAGCTTAACTGATTCCGTTCTACTAGTTATGCCTCCGGTGACGACAATTACTTAAACGTGGCGTGAACGTCCTTTGCGCATCCAAGACCGCTAAATCACATGACGATCCCTCTATGTTCAACATAGCCATATACCTACACCTACGTCAGGACGCAACGATGTGTTCAAATCTTGGATCAGCCAGATGTTTGTCATGTTGTGCCTCCGGCCTCGTTCCCCGTTTGATGGAATGTACATACTGGGAAGCAGGGCAACCTTTCGATATCTAGCGACGTTGTCCGAAGAGTTCCTCGTTCCTGGCACAGAATACAGCTGGCTCTGCAGATGCACGATCATTATATACTCAGTGCCCGTCACTGTGGGATGTTGAACAGGTTTCCTGGGAGCCGCATTTGTTTGAGCCTTGTGGCTGGGACAGGTACTTTGCCAAGGGGCACATTCTATAGGTTCCCATGTCTTCGTATTTGGGTTGATTATCATTCAGTGAGGCGGCAATAACTGTAGCGATGAGTCATGCTCCACGTCACAGTATATTAAGGCGACTCACATTCCCCTGGAAAATGTCCTTGTTGACGTTGTATCATTGCAAATGGACGTGGCAATCGGTTATCACAGATTACGGGAGTCGGGCAAGTCACTATCTCATGTAATATAGTCTTGAAGATAGCAATTCCGACAATATATATTCCAATTAGCGGGTAATATAATGTGCTCAGCAGTAGGGTCCAATTCCACTATGGGCGTATCCTGTCACAACTCATCATCAAAATAAATAGGAATTGCTAAGTCAACAACACAAGAAGGGGACCTGTATCTAAGAGATTACCGCGAAGGCGATGCATGAACACCGCCTATGTCACCTATTTAAATATATGAACATCCTTGGTCACAACCCCCTTGTAAGAAATACGTGCCTCCAGGAACTACGATGGAGACTGTATGAGTCTGGCACGACTACTTTGACCTTTCTTTGTGTTTTCTGTTTTTTGATCAAGGTTGCAAGAGAACGTCATATACTGGTTTCAGCTAGAGTATCTGAAGATGTACCGACAGATTAAAACATCATTAAATCAGCTTTCGTCAACGTGGTAATTTTTTATGGATCAATTTTTCACAGGAGCATGGATCAACATGTATACCTACTAGTTGGCTTCATTAAAGAAGTTGATAAATGAACATAAGAATCGTTCTTTTCTCCTACCGGACTACTCGGGGTATTATAGAGCAGAACATACCAATACTATTTGCGCAAACACCATATTGTGTAAAAGCATGCTTTGACAACCCTTGCACGGGGTGAAGAGAATGATATAAATTATATACCAGCCAGTGACAGTTACAGAGTCGTAGAGCTAAGTATATACGGCCCATGCTCCCTTATTTTGCTGCTTTCCGTTCAGGGTTGAGCACCCCGGACCCTGCCACTGGCCCAATCGTTTACCATCTTCAGAATCCTGTTTATCGGGCTTCTTCCCCTACTAACCTCGCTTGACCCAGACTGGCCCCTTCTCAACGAGCAAACCGATAGCTCCACTGGACTTTGCCGCCAGGTAAGGGCTGATCTATGCCTGACCAGTAGAGCCACCAAGAACATCTTCTAAGGGATTGCCTTATGAAGTGAATGTCAGCCGCAGTCTCATTCACTTGACACATAGTTGTAAATAGTACGTACCGTCAGCGGGTTCCTTGGCGGGCGCCTCGTCGCGCCGTACCAGGGGCCCAACTCCGAGACCTAGTAATCCATCTTTAGGCTTTTCGGCACCAGATTGCTCCTGGCCTTTATGAAGTTGGTGTCAGCCATAGCCTGATCTACTGGGACCTAGGTAGAGGTAGATAGTGCTTACCTTGGGCGGGCGGGTCGTCGCGACGTAAAATGCCCGGTACGACTTTACCACCTAGTAATCCACCTTTAGGCTTTTCGGGACCAGGTTGACCCTGACCTTTATGAATTTGGTGTCAGCCATAGCCTGATTCACCGAGACCTAGGTAGAGATAATGCTCACCTTCGGCGGGCGCATTGTCGCGACGTACAATGCCCGGTATGAGACCACCTAGTGCTCCACCTTTAGATTCTTTGCCACCAGGTTGTGGCTGGTCTTTATTATGAAGTGGGTGTCAGTGGCAATCTCGTTCACTGAATATGGGTAGGGGGAGTGCTTACCTTTGGGGGAGGACTCAATATCTCTTCTGGAGGCACTGGCACCGTCAGGGCTGCCTTCATTGCTCGGCACACCTGATGCTGGTAGGCCAAGTTTTCCCAAGCCTTACAAAACCGGGTGTCAGCCACTGTCTTGTTCACTGGGAACTGGGTGTAGGGAATACTTACTGTCCGTTACCCCATCTGCGGCGTTTGTAACTGGACCTAGAGCACCTCCCCCGCCTTTGGCGGGAGATTCTCCCTGGCCGCCTGCGAAGCTCTGGGCGACCGGTGCCGCCACCGAGAAAGAGGCAAGCCCGAGGGCCATGACAGAAGCAATAGCTGAGTAACGCATCGTGGAATAATTTATACACTAGCGAACGTGGTATTGATAGAGTCTTGAAAAAGGCTGGTTCGGGGATAAGAGGGAATTCCAGAAGTGGATAGATGCTTGATGGATTGTTTTCTCCGGGGAGTGGTGGAGGTACTTATAGGTTCGAATGTATGGGCCGAACTAGCATGCTTGCATGGACGGATGGGTTTGACCGGGCATGGATCTGGTCTGGGCAGTTCATCAGGGTAAGATACATAGATCCCAGGGGTACAGATCATCCATGCAAGTTATCGATAGTGTCGTGTAGTTTTTGAGAAGATCTGCCGTACCTTGCATTAAGGTCATGAACCTTAATTTACAGTTCTTGGTGTTGATCAATGCTTGTTCTGGTTTGTTTATAACTTGATATCTCACATGCGAGCGCCTCGTACTGCTATATTATCTACTGCATATTCCTACTCAGGGGTATTATGTCTTATTGCACTTTCTCAATGTCTAGGTAAATTATAAACACCATAATTATAGCGTCATATCGTTGTTCGGAATTCACAGTGACGATCCACAGGGTTCAGAATGACAAAATGGAATGGCCCGCGGATGAGATGTATCACATCGCCTGCATTGCGACTTTCTTGCATCACGTCATCGTATGGTTTGGCACTCTTAGAAGCATTACGCGGCGGAGCATTTGCCTCGCCGGTTAAGTTGCATAGATAAAGGCTTGTTGCGCCATACCCATCTCAAAAGCTTAGCTCACGTGTGTACGTCATGAGGTGGAGGTTATACATCAATAAGTAAGAAACACTGCATACTGAGGAAGGCTCACGGGCCTCTTAGCTATCTAGAAGCCAATGTGTTGACTACACAATAGGTGATGATCGACGAACAGCTGATGACCACGATGCAAGGGATGGAGCTAATACATGATATCTACGTACGACGTTATACGAAGTCCCACAATGAAAAAATGATATCTAGTAGCCTTGCCCAGATCGGAATATTAGAGTCGATGATCGGGTATATTTGGACAGGGCCTTGCGTATTGTTGGATATTCCTCCGCCAGGGGTTGTTTTCCACTTATAAGCCTAATGCGATACATACACAGCGTAAGGGGTTAGTTCTGGCAGGTTGAGTTAATCGACGATAATAATGGCCGCCCTGAGTACTCCGTAGTTATTTTGCCACTTCTATCGACTCTATAGCCTGACATATGGCTTGGGCACAGGACCGATAGGTAAGGGGGGAAAGTAGGACCCTTATCTTAGCTTTCTCGGCGATTTTCAAGCCACCAATGCTCCTGGCACAATATACAGAGTACGCATCAGTGTGTTCCGTTTCACCTCGTAATTCCTATTGGTGATATAGTAGTGTTCCGAAGTCAAGCTCTTGGTTACTGTGGTAGCTCTCCACGATAGTCCTGACTGGGATAAACCGAAACGAACGACAAGCCGCTTTCTATGTGTCTTGTATGTATTTGAAGTAAACCAAAGTGTACAACACCAAAAGTCCGAGGCCTTTCTCAATGTAGCAAGTAAATATTCACACGGGTAAGAAATATATACAATTGAACAGTGAAAGCTTATCAACCTCACGTTGACTTCGCCTTTTCTCCGTTGGTCATATCCGGACGAACAAGGTAAAGAAACTTGAAGAAATTCAAATATGCAAGCCCGGTATAAGTAACAGGAACATAGCAAGCTCCACGCCGAATCCACCACATGGCCACACGCGCCGCCCAATCTGGCGACACAATAGCCTTACCCATCTGCGACTCAAACGCCGCGGGTACAATATGACGATAAATAACACGCGGATCATCGTATAGCGCACGCGCATAGGGCATAAACGCGCGCTTGGACGCCGAATACCGCTGCATCTCGGGAATACCCCATGCGGGATGGATCTCGATCTCGCTGCCGACGTACCATATCTCCGGAATTGTCTTACTAGCACGCCCTTCCCCAGCTGCTTTCTGTTCCAGGAATAGCTCGATGAGACGAATGGTCGAATTGCAATTAGCGTCCATCGCGTCTAAACCCTTGGTGCCATGTGACAGTATGAGGATATCGGCGTCTTCGAGGATGGGGCCGACACGCGAGAAATCTTGGTGTGTCCACTCTTTGCCGAACCCTAGTTTCCGGACATCCTTCACCCCTTCTGCTAGTAGTTGCTTTTCGATTGCGCGTCCGAATGCGCCAGATCCACCGGTGAGGACTACTCTTTTGTTTCGGACGAAGTAGGCGGTGCCTGCGACCCAGTCAAAGAGTTTGACCATGGAACCCATGTACCGATCGGGATAGACGTGGTGCAGGGCGTGGAACTCGGGGCCGACGAATAGCCAGCTGCGGTCTTTGGGCACTGTGTCGAAGGCGATGTGGTTGGAGTCGCGGCCGCTCATGGTAATTACTACCATCGTCCTTATGAATTCGAAGGCGGATACCACGATTAGCGGCGTGGTGTCAGGGTTTCCGTTAACATCTGTGATCAAGCTGCGGGCGAAGAACCAGCCGACGACGCTTCCTAGGATCTTGCTGAGCATTTCCAACGGCAATGAGATCCAAGCATTCTGTCGTAGGTATCGGTTATTGAATTTGAGGGAGCGATTGTAGTAGAGATGATGGAATTGGTGACACCAGGACAGCCATCGCAGGAACCGCCATTGCGACTTAGACCACTGGTGGAGGAGGTAATGGGCTGTATCGAAGAAAACGGAGCCGGTTATATAGAGGTAGAAGAACGACACGGCAAATGAAAGCGGAGACATGATTAACTAACAATACACTTATGCCTTACTGGTTTCATCCTTCGAGTCATTCTGGCGAGTCGATATAAATATGGATTCTGAGATAGTAGGGCAGGCATACGAAGGTGAAGGGCAGTTTCAGGGACTTCTGAGACAACAGCATCGCCACGAGGCGTAGTCGATATCAGGTTACCTAACCCCATAGTGAGGCCACTGCTCTGAGACATACCTTCTTGGCCTTCGTGACGTGATCCACTATCGGGAGACTCGAGTTTGATCCAAGGTGGTCACCTTGGGGTTTGGGACATGTGCTAACGAATGGTTGTATGCTTCCGTGGTTCTAATAGGTACTTCTATAAGCTACCCGTATAATGTGGTACTCTGGAGATATACCAATCTATTAATGGCAGACATTGATTGAAGGTTGTGTTGAGATACCGTCACATTACAATTGTCAGCCAAGCATCTTCCTCGGCCACTAAAGCCGTCCAGAAAGTGCCAAGTTGAGGTAGGGCTCTATTGATCCATTACTCAATAACAGAAGGATCCAGAAGATCGTTACATGAGCATGTTCATTGTGGCAGGGCAAAGGTTTTCCTTCCTCATACCAAGTCGAACCACAACGAGCTTTGCATGGCGGCAGTTCAGAGAGCGGAGTGACACCGAGCTGAGCCCTTCTCGTAGCAGAAACCACGGCATGGGATTTCTTTGTTACACTCTAGTCTCTCACGCCATTTGACAGTAGCCTAGCGAAATATTAGCGCTAAGCATGCAGACAAAGGCACCAACATAGGGAGTACCCTTCATAATCCATCCAGGGGTCCAACTACTCCACTCAGTTTACATACCAAAGTCGGTTAGAGCGATATATTATGAACGGAATACACATTCCGTGGATAGGCGGTGACAGGTACCTGACCCTGCCATGCTTGAGATTTATCCCAATATGCAGTATCCCAGGAATTAAATCGGAACCAAACATCCATAAAACAGCTCCGATCTCCGACCGGACGTTACTGAATCAGGTAGAACCTCCAGCAGACGTGGATCTGCGAAGCGGTTGATCGTATTTTATGCCTTTTCCAGATTAGTTCATATTGATGTACTGGGTTGTCACAGCAGGGTCCAGAAAGCCAATGTTTTAGTGGCTTGGATCTGTTTCATATCCAGAGGGAAAGTGGTTGCGGTGAACCCTATCCACAAGGACGTTTCGGATTTCCCCGTTGGGCGGAATCAGCCTTACTCCACCGAGGCGCCAGTTTCTAGAATCGTGTTTTTTCTACTGTCATTGCTTGACCTTGGGTTAATATGGTCGTTGCACACGTCAATTGTTAGAGCGTTAAGATACAGGCAGAAATTGACCGAGGTATAACATGTCCTCAACCAACAGCCATGGTAAGTGGTTACCTAGAATTACCCCTCGGTATTAGATCTGAGAAATCTCGGCGGCTTCTTTTTCACAACCCACGAAGCGAGAAACCAGTGGAATCCAAGGGTGGAATAGTATGGCCCACAAAACGCTTAAATGTGGAGCCAAGCTTAAAAATAAGTCTGTTCGACGGGAAGCCGTTCGGCCTATCGGCGACTCAACCCTTTCTTCAGCCCTAGCCACCTCGTGGCAGTGCATACGAATACGAATGCGGATTGGACAATGGCGGCTTACCCACAAGCAAGATTTCTCTTCAGTAGGGGGGTGGCTGTGATGTGACGAACATAGATGATGTGAAGGTTGTGATAATAATGATAAGATGGATAAAGGGGTGGACGATATACGAAATGTGGGTATCCATTACTCAATCTGTGTTAAATAGCGCCCTTAAAGGGCGAGGGGGTGGGATTGAAGGATCTATAATACGAAGCCTTATAGCTTCCGAATCTCTATGACAAAGTCGGCATGGTGCAGGATCGCTTTCCTTGGCGGAATGGCCAGAGGGTCAATTCAATGGCTGCCTATAATGAAAGGTAGTATTGTTTCAGGACTCTTAGGTAGCCAGATGTTACATTTCGATTTTATCTGCTTATTGCTGTCTATTCTCTCCTTCTTCGCATGTATGTAGCGGGGTTAGGGCTGGTCTGTGCACAAGCTACCGGTACACGAGAAAATGCGAGTACGAAATGATGTCGTTGTTTGTCATAAAGTGGATGCCATAACTAGGACTAGTGAAGGTAGAGCATTGAAGCACCCTTTTAGAGTTATGGTGCGCAAGGCTTCCATATTTTCCAACTCCGGCAAATGGTAACACTGTATGGATGAGAAGGTCTTTCATTGTTCGATACCCTGCCATTATCCGCTTCAGCTCATGGGGAATTGATTGAGCCCTGTGTGATTGGACGTTTGATTGGCCGAACAATTCCAGCCAATGATTGATTTAGATGGTTGTTGCACCATTCCAAACCACACAGTATTTCTCTTCTAAATATTCTAGACAAAGGTTACATATGCATAGCCATGTCACATTTCAATTGATCTCGTTCCTAGGCAGCACTGGCGCTTCCTACACGTTCGGTGTATTGCCACGAATATGTTTTGGTTCTATTTGTGTTGAGACCCATCCCGTGAGATTGACAGTCCTCTGAAGAACCAAGAAATAAGATATGTGCTAAGTTTATCAGTGTTTAAAACCAGATTTGTGCTGCCATTTAGCCCTGCCTTTCCCTAATATGGTAGCTCTTCAGTTTAAGGAACGGATCGAATGCCTTTGGTCCTAGGGTGAATCCCATGCCTGAGTTCTTCCACCCGGTCCACGTCTGATCCTGTATGCGGTGTTTAGTTACTTGGCTAGTGTAGGTATGAAGTGAAGTTATACTCACAAGGTTCGGATAATCGCAGCGGTTGATAAACACCGTTCCTGCTTCCAACAGCTTGAAGAGCTTTTCGCCAGCCTCGAGATCTTGAGTCCACACACTCGCAGTTAAGCCGTAGTTGCTGTCGTTCATCAATTGCACAGCTTCTTCGTCCGAGGATACTAGCATAATAGGGAGCACTGACCCAAATGTTTTCTCTTTCATGATGATCATATCGTGGTTTACTTGTGTTAAGATCGTAGGCACCACGTGGTTACCCTCTTCTGGGGGGCCGGTACAGGTCGGGTTAGGGGCGTAGCATTGACGGCACCCTTAGCCAAGGCATCTTGAATCTGGGAATCAACCGACTTCTGAGCGGCGCGTGAGATGACCGGGCCGAAGTCTACCGTCTTGTCCGCTGGATGTCCAAGTTTATATCTGCACCTTCGTCAGCGTCAAATATCCACATTTGGTCTGTGGGGAGGTAAATTTGGAAGGGGCTTCTCGCTTGCAAATTCTTGGTTTGGTATATCTACAGCTTTAGCCACTGGAATCAAATCGGGAGGTCCCGTGCAGGTTGTTTATGGTCTTATTATCATCACCTTTGTTTGTGGATGTATCGCAGCCTCCCTTGCTGAGCTGTCCTCCGCGATGCCCAACGCTGGAGGTCAGTACTACTGGACAGGACAGCTAGCAAATCCAAGATAGGCTCGCTTCATGTCTTACGTCACTGGATAAATCGCCTGGATCGGCTCGCTCTTCACCTGCGCAAGTATCGCCCTCAGTGTCGAAGGGCTCTGTATAGGTTGCATCCAGCTAACCCACCCCAACCTGTGAGTGACGCTGTGACAGCTTGGAGACGCAATAACACGTACTAAGTATGTGTACAGCCAAATACAGCCTTGGATGGTCTTTGTAAGCTGACAGGTAATTAATGTCAGCTGTGCAGTATTCAATATGTACAGTCGGACTCTGCCTCATGTGAACCAGGGTACCCTCTGGACATCAATTATATCGTTTGCGGTCATATTAATTACAGTGCTGCAAAGTCACCGTCACACCAACCATCCACGTTTGTATTTACGGAGTTCATTAACGAGACAGGGTGGTCTAGTGATGGAATAGCATTCATTGTCGGGCTTATTAATTCAAAATGGGCATTCAATGGCCTAGATTACGCGGCTCACTTGGCCGAAGAGGTCCTCTACCCAGAGAAAGTCGTTCCCATTGCCATCATGGCTACAGTAGCGATGGGCTTTGTCACTGCTTGGCCGTTTAGTATTGCCATGATGTATAGTATGAACGACTTTGATTCTATCGCAGCGACCGTGACAGGAGTTCCAGTTCTCGAACTGTTTCTTCAAGCACTTGATAATAAGGCTGGTGCGGTCGTTCTCACATCGCTGATTATTCTTTAATCGCCTCTCACACATGGCAGGCGCGCCTTTGCTGGTCCTTCGCATGAGACAACGGACTTCCCGGGTCGAGGTACCTTTCCCAAGTTCATCCAACCCTACTAGTGCCGGTCTGGAGCCATTTGGCTAGCACTCTGATTGTCAGTATTCTCGGGTGTCTATATCTGGGATCATACACTGCGTTCAACAGCATGGTCACTGCCGCTGTGGTTCTCCTATACGCTTCGTACAGTAGCCCAGTAATCTGTCTCTTGGTCAAAGGACGGTCTAGTATTCGACATGGGCCATTTTGGCTCGGGGTGGTTGGACATTGTTGCAATTACCTTTTACTCGCTTGGCTGCTGTTTAGTATCGTAGTGAGTGTGCCTTTCGCCTTTATTCCATACACTTCTCTCTTCCTCCTTTTTCTTCTTTCTTTCTTCCCTTTCCTTCGCTTTCCCCTTTTTCGCATTCCCTCTTTCCCCTATTGTTCGTATCCTAAATAGGCTAACATAGGACAGATGTATTCATTCATTCCCCCCTTCCTACCCAGTTACAGCGAACAATATGAACTACGTGTGCGTCGTGTATTTCGTCACATTTATTATTATCCTCGCGTGGTGAATGTTGCACGCTAGGAAGAATTTCACATTGCATTAATCAACACGCGCAGTCCTTTCCGCAGACCTTCCCCATGTGAGAAGATATGAATGTAACCATGGTACCACCGCAGAAAAGTACATCTTAACTTGAGTCCATTGGCACTTTAGCAAGCATTTATCGAATTTCTGGAGACTGCATTGTTATTGATCCTGCTATACCTCTAGATGCCAGAGAATGTCTTCGGCAAATATTATATTAATAGGTAGGTAGGGTTGAGCTACGAAAGCTACTCCCGCATATGATTTACATCCAAGGAGCCCAATGCTTCACGTCCTCAACTTGTAGATAGACAAGGGTATATAGCTATTCAGATATGAAATGTTACGTAAAAATATATCTTCAAGCGGTAGATGGTGACGAAGTTATCTTCCGAGCGCTATATAGGATTCAAGTCATATGCAACCTGGTTAAAAGATCCCACCTGGTTTGCGCCGTGATGCTCTGCAGAAAAGCCAGCCATCAAATACGAACAGGTAGCCAGGTTTATACAGGACCACAGGTAAATGCGCCATGGACCTTGCCAGTCCGGTAGTTATTCCTCTGTTGATATTATTGTCAGTACATGCGCGACGCTCCACATTCCAAAGAGGTATGGGTTAACTTACTATATCCTGAATACTGGAATATAGACCACAGACCAAGACAGCTACACCAAAAATAAAAACCAACGTGTTGACGATACTGCGAAGTAGGTTCTCCTTGGAGTACCACTTTCCCTTCCGGAGGAACATGAACCACATGACTGGAGGCAGATAGAAAGAGAACCCAGATGTGAAAAGCGATGAGACGATAGATAACAAGTCTGAGAAGAAAGGGATGGCTTCGGCGATGACCCATGCTATTACCGTAATAACGGTGATAAGGGTAAGCCATGTAATCCAACCTCCGGTTGTATTGATATATCTCGTGACGCTGTTGACATATATCCGTTGATGGATTAAGCGACCCGCGACGATGGTGTTGATGGCGCCCGAAATAAAGATAACAGGAAGTGCTATACCAAATGCAATCTTGCTAACTAGCGGGCCGGCCGATAGAAGCGCGGGGGACTCGACGTCTGGTCCGACGAAGGCATAGATGGTTGCACCTGTAATGGTGTAGATGGCTATTTGAAGGAGGCCGAGAGCCCAAATTGACTTCTTGTAGTCTTTGGGGGTATGCATTTCGTCCATGAAGGAAAATTGTGTGGTGGCGAAGGAATAAGCAAAAACGATGTTGCTAATGGCTATGAAACCTTCGGCAAAGGTCGGATCTCCTTGAGATAGCGGGGACCAGTTCACTGCTGACAGTCCACCTGGTGCATCCGACGATCTGATTCCTGTCGCTATAATAGTAATACCGATTGCGGCCAGGATGGACGCGAAATCGACATATCCAAGCCAGGCCATATCGGCAAAGGATGAGGGAATTGACAGCAATAGAAGGATGATGGCAGATACGCCACCAAACAGAAGAGAGCATATATCGCTTCCAGTGATGTGACGGAAGGCGATGGTGCCAGTTAAGCAGTGCGATGCCGTTACAAAAACGGTTGACAGGAGGAGCATGACTGTGAGTACTTCATATCCAAAACGTCCTGCCATCAAAGTCCCAACATCCCCATAATGGCGTATGGATGGGTGGGCTAATTTCACTTCACCAATAATATACGACGTGTATATCGCAAGCATACCAATTGCAACCGTGCAGATCACGCCCGCGACCATTCCAAGGGTAGCAAATGCTGAGGGGAGGGACAGGGCACCCAATGCAATCGCTTCAATGATTAATAGGACGGTGAGCTGCACCCATCCCACCCGATGGTATTTTATTTCACCAGCTTCGATGATCTGTTGTTCCGCATCATTGACTTCCTTCGTGATTTTGCCATGGGAAAATGAAGCTTCAGAGGTGGGAGAGTCCGGCCACTCGAGCTTTTCCTTGTGCGTGCTGGTGCGGTCCGCCTCATGCCCTGTGACAGCGTCTGTTATCTCGTCCTGGTTCCTCATACTGTTGAGAAATGTTTAAACGATGGATACATGGGAAAGGAAAAGAAGGAATTGCACATAAATTGCAACCCAACAGATCAAAATCCAAAGCACTGACAGATGAGTCGCTATTTGACGGTAGCATTGATTTACCACGCTCAAACCAGGACACAGTCACACGGAGACCTCCGGGGCTGTTGCAATTTTGGTATCAAATACCGTGCCCCATCCGCCGTATGCAAGAAAGCCCTTGCATAGGTAGCAATGGCCTCTATTAATGACTAGAGGCTTTCGAAATGACGTATCAGACTCCGGAGATCCACGATATTGAGCTCATCCTCCGCATCCGGGGTTCGTCCCACGCCTTACTCAGCGCGTTTCGTCATCTGATTGGTTTCCGAGCGGATATGATTGCGGACCGACCCACCATTCTAACCTGACCTGACCTAGTGTGTATTCTGGTCCATTATCCGCGCCTGCAACCGGCCTGGCTCGAGATCTGGTGCACTGAATCACTTTTATGGGAGGCTTGAAATTTCACATAAGCTCGTGATAGATAGAAATTCTACTGTCATCCTCTTCTGCATTTCTTGGGTTAAGCTCGCCACCCCTTGCTGAATCTATGCAGCCACAGAAGTCCGAGGAATGCTAGCCCGAGTCACCGACACAATGTGCTAGTATTACAACTATACCAATGCCGGTTGTTCTAGAATTGCCTACGGTGCGCACCCGTGCGGATGCTGACCCTATCGTACCCGACCCGCCGCGGATAGTGAACCCCCGATCTGCATCCGCACTGCTGTGAATTCCGCGCGGATTTGCAACGATAAGCTGTGATAATATATTAACCATGTTACCAATTCGAGATAAAGTTTCCTGTCGTGCGCAGTGGTATCCAGAACCTCCAGGGTTTCGATGCGGGGAAGGAGTTTCAGCGTAAGCTAAAACGGGCTCAAGAATCTTATCTTCTCGGACCAAGTCCGCTAAACATCTCCTCTCATGTCCAGGATTATCCAGCTTACGCACTCTGTCTGTCTCACTACAGAGTAACGTGGATCATTACCAACAAAGTAGGGTCAGATAAGAGCGATCGTTACCTTATCAGAATGAAAAGCTGACGGCGACACGTATCTCTTAACTTTATGTCTGAACTTTGACACCGCGCGGCTGGGACTAGCTTCAGTCAGCCACGTTCACCACAGCCCCCTTACGTATACTCCATAAACACCGACTTTTCGGCAACAGACCTCTTGGTCAGATCTAACTACATGCGTGACCTCGGTGATCTATGCCCCTTACTTCCGGGCTACACGTGGTCAAAGAAAGCTCAGCACGTTTTGCCATCAAGCCCCTTGCATTGGTGATACGAGAGCCCGGTCCTCGATAGCCATTAAAGCTTGTTCCTCGTATCTATTTTAGAAGTGCTATCAATTCTTCGCAGCGAATTGTGCTTCCATTCTAAAGGCCCCATGCCGCTAGTCACCGCCAAAACTAACTGGAGTAACAGTACTGCGGCGCTTGGCATACGCTGCCTAAGTGTGGATTCCTTTGTGATCTTTGTTTAGCTTGCCGGGGTACTGAGGGTTCAGCAAGAAACAGTATTCATTGATTGAATCGTGGTATTCACTTTTGGTGTTAGACCATCTGGAGAGGAAAATATATACGCCTCGTCCAAGTGGGCCACAACTGTAAGATAATCTAGCCTATTGAGAAGTACGACCTGTCACAGTATGTCAACTTCCTAGGAGGAGGGCTTAAATTGGCTACGGACGAACATTGATGCATCTATATGCTAGTCTGAGGGGCTCTTATGATGCCGGACTGCACACTCAGGCCCATTCTCATAGTCCCAATTACCTAGACGAAGGCATCGTACGTCGCGTAGATCTGAAGCTTGTCATAAATTGCCTGTTCTGCCTTTCCGTAGTAATGAATATCTAGGCGTAGCTCCCGGAAGTAACCGGAAAAGCTTTAATTGGGCCTTCAATTTCATCGTCTAGGCATCCTTTTAACCCGACCTTATATACATCTCCCGGTCGTCAATATGATCGACAATCATCGATACGATAACTATAGTTCAAGCGCTAAACGGCCATCTGTGGTTTGCTAATTTATTTGACACTACAAGGAACGAATGTTATACTGAGACTAGCCCATTAATAAAGCACGAACACAGTGGTTGATAAACATGAGCCCATCCGGTTAACTCCGTCGACGATACCCGAATCTCTCAATTTTGACGTAAAGAGGTCATCCTTTCTCAGTAAATAAAGTCAACTACCTTCGCCAGAAGACGTTCGCAGACAAGTTGAAGCCCAACATTTCGCTGGAGTAAATCCCGACAATAGAAAAGTGTACTCAACGACCGCGACCAATGTGACATCACCGCCCGTGATATTCGAGGAGCTAAAACTATTTGTTAAATGGGGAATCGCCGTAAGCGTATCAGAGGCCCAGTGTCTGTATGTCGTCCGGCGATTCCTTCGAGATCATGTCCCAGTTCCTGAAGTGTACGGGTGGCGTACAGATAGAGACGAGATCTTCATCTACATGGAATACAGGGAAGGACCAACTCTGGAGAAAGTATGGGATATGATGGAAGCTGGCAACCGGGTTTCAATCTGTCAGGAACTTCGAGCATTTAGTGATAAATCACGTCAACTTGAACAGGACCCGACAGACCCATTCATAAGTAAAATATCTCCCCCAGCCCCTGAATCATTCTAGCCTATACCTCTAACTGTCGATAGTTCAGGCAACACAGCACGCAAACCTCTTTATGACAGAGCATTCCAGATCAACTAGACGTCAGAGGCCGAGCCATTTGATACAGCTAGTAAATTTCACAACTGTTTTACGTTTCTCTATCGAAGACGAATGTCGGATCCATACTCAGTCCCGGTCGAACCATTTCGTCATGAATTACCCGAGGACAGTACGATCAAGTTTATTCATGGCGATCTCCACCGAAGCAATATTATTGTAACACCTGGCCGGCCATATCATATTTCGGTGATTGTCGATTGGGAGCAGTCAGGATGGCTACCTGCCTACTGGGAGGCCCGCAAAGAACAATTAACTGCTGGCAGGTCTGAAGGGTAGTCTATTCGGTATTTACCGATGATTTTGGATCAGTATACAAACACATGGGATCCATGGGAATATTATATCATGGCTATCAGATGCTAGACTGCATGCACAATATTAAACCGTGTTGGGATAATGGCATGATATTTCAAGTAAAGGGCAAGCAATTGGCCGTTAATCGAGGTTTGGAGAGGTGAAGATTTAGCATGTACATATATTTCGTTGATAAGACCAGGAAAACAAATATACTACATTGTTGACGTTAAGGGATAGAATGACCATTTGATACTTGTTATGCCTAATATCATAGTAAATATTAGAGGTCGCGTATGCAGCAGGTAAGGATATAAAATCACCTGGCATGTGAGTTTCCCTGCCCTTTATTCTCAAGTTGCTATTACATCAAAAAGTTGTCATTATACGTGACTGACCATACAAAGACTCATATCACAGATGCAATCGTTGCATTTATACAGATAACAATATCTCGTAAATGCCTTCTGGTTTTCACTTTTCAACACCATCACCTTTCTAATAACATCGTCGAGCACCGAGATTACATTAAACAGCCCTATTTTACAGATTAGCGACCTTTGCACGTCGAAATGGATCTTCTTGCCGAACTCGAGCACCTAGCCATCCAGGCTGAAATCGAGATCGAGAACGAGGACAACACACTCGAAACTAATCTGATCAATAACCACAGACCAACTACCCAGATCAAGCCACAGAAACGTGACTATACAACGACATATCTCGTTAAACTCGAAGGGCCACTATCCAGCCCTTCACATATACAAGATATCGCAGGACTACTAGAACTACCGCTTCAAACAACAGGTGAAGGAGAATTTGGCAATGCCTCATTCTGTCTTATCAAGGGCACCATAAGACCGGAGATACTCTCAGCATTGTCCAACACTACACATACACCAACCTTCATTCGAGTCAATATGGCAGAGAAGCACCTCTCCAAGTACAGCATGATTGATCCAACCCTTCCTTATCATCGAGCTCAAAGTATGGATCAATTATTCCTGCCTACTCAGAACCAGTATCCAGTTTGGTACTTCTTTTATGGGACACTCGCCGACCCCGAGATCCTTGCACGGCAAATATCTCTCCCTAGGCTACCTGTTCTTCGAAGGGCCATGGTCAAGGGTGGTATAATTAAAATGTGGGGTGGAAAATATAAAGCTCTTATAGATGGGCCCTCGTCCTCTATTGTTCATGGATGGGCATACGAAGTCGGCTGTGAGGAGGAAGAACAGCTCCGGTACTATGATTAATAACGGGTATGAGTGATTACCGGTGCCAGTCCTACAGCGGACTAAATTGAGTTAAAAGGACTTGAAGTCGAAATCTTTATATGTCATGTCAATAGCGATGCACCAAGTCTAACCATATAAATGAAATAGACTATTTTCAGTATCTGACCTACTTGACTTACCTCGATTATATAAATTGCTGAATTGTGTAAATTTTAATTAACTTACTGGCAAGCTGTATTGACTTAGTATGCAGATTACTTAATGCTTGCCTCTTTAGGCGACAATAAGTACACGGCCTTGGACATATCAATTACTTAGATTGTATCTGGAGTGCTGCCACTACAATTGAAAATCTCATGGAAAGCATTTGAAGTCACCCAAGTACCCGTTTTACTACCAGTGCTGTCCGTTCAATGATCAAATCGATATCCGCCTTGGTAGCATTGTATGGCGGCGCAATCTGGATAATATCGCCATTCTTTCCATCAGCAACTCCGGCACCAGGGATAAATGAAATCGAGTACTCTGACAGCCCTGTCTTGTGGATAAGAGGCGCAATTTTCTGCTCAGCCGTGAAAGGCTCTTTCGACTCTTTGTCCTTGACAAATTCGATCTACGCATGATATTAGCAAGTGCTTGCCAACACCAGTGACATCCACATCACTCGAATTATGAAGGTCAATACTCACACCCCAGAAAAAGCCACGACCACGGATATCGCCTACATGTTTGTGGTCCCCAAGCTGTTCTTTCAGACGTTTGCCCAGATACTCGCCCAAACTCCGGACGTTCTGAAGCAGATTCTCTTCCTTGATAATCTTTTGAACTTCATAGGCCGCCGCACATGCTACTGGATGGCCCTGATATGTCTGGCTGTGTATGAATCCGCCAGACCCTTTGTCCAGAGCCTCAACGACCCTCTTATTGACCAGCAGAGCCCCAATCGGAGCGTAGCCACCTCCCAAACCCTTTGCAACTGTCTGGAGATCGGGCACGACGCCTTCTTCTTCCCATGCGTGGAGTGTGCCATAACGGCCCATTCCGCTCATTACTTCATCGAGGATGAACAGCGCTCCGTGGCGATCGCAGACCTTCTTCATCGCCTGATGATATCCCGGAACTGGAGGGACGCAGCCCAGTGTCTGTGGGTGTCTGCGTTAGATAATCGAACAAAACACTGACATGGAAACTCACTGTTCCTGACACAGTTTCTGCGACAAATGCGCACACATTGCTCGGGCCTACAGCCTGGAATTCATCCTCCAATTCTTGTGCCAGTCGAGTAACATAATCTTCGTCTGTTTCTCCCACACTCTTTCCTCGGTATGCGTAACATGGAGACACGTGGGAAACATTGGTAGTTAGTATTGGCGCATAAGGTGCCCTACGCCCAGCATGTCCTCCCAGCGAAAGAGATCCAAGAGTGTTTCCATGATAGCTCTGCCGACGGGCGATAAATCGCGTTCTGGAAGGTTCCGGATTTGGCAGTTCGATGAAGTACTGACGCGCCATTTTCAACGCAGCCTCGATAGCTTCGGTACCTGATAGCCTTATGAGCTACATGTTCCGCTGGTTTGAATGATCCAGAATGACATACCAGAGCTGACAATGAAAGCTTTGGATAGCTCATTCTGTGTCGATTCAGATAACAACGTGGCCAACTTTTCCGACGCCTTACTCGTAAAAAATGGAGCGTAAATATAGCTGAAGCTTTGTAACTGACGCATTATAGCATTATTGACACGAGAGTTGTTGTGACCGATACACGCCACTGCAGCACCACCACTGGCGTCGAGGATCTCCCGTCCACCCTCGGCAATGAGGTAGTTTCCATTGCTGCCTACTATTGTTGGAGGCTTCGTGTCCAGTTTTGAGTGAAGGATAGCACTCTTATCTCCCCTTGTTAGATTAATAGATGTGTGATTTTGTTCGCCCTCGCGCCCCTTCTCTGCTTGCACCGGCTTCTGTCTTCCAACAGATGAGGAAAATCGGCGAAGGGAGATGCACCCTTTCCGTGTTCGGGTTGCATCGGACAGCGACCGGCTCACTGTGGAACGCATGGTTATGTTAATAATATCCGGGATGATCGAAGATTAACTGGACGAAGGCAAAGTCGACCCGAGCCAGGATGTTCATATAGTAACTTGGACCTAGGGTAGTATCAGGCGACTCGGCCGATTAGCCACGTCTATGGGTCACTCAACGGGCATATTGTACCTCTTAGATTTAACATGTGTTGGGAAGGCATGCCTTTTTCTGGGTATCAAAGTCCCTTGCGGGTCCGATTTGTTGGATCGCCGAAAGGGCCGCAGATACACGAGAGATCAGAAGAGTCGGATAGGCTCCTTCTTCCGAGCTTCCGAGTTACTATCAGATCGTCATCTCCGCACGCCCCCTCCGCCTTCCTAGCTGGGTATCTTCAAGGCCCGAGCAGGTCCCTTGATTAAGAATTAACTACGCGTCGATCATATTCCCCGCTTTGTATGAGCTGTTCATACGATAAGCTTGCATATGGTGCTCGGGTTCCTTATCCGACAGTTTCCCCTAATTAAACAGGGTGGCCTGCACAACCGTTGACTTTATGTCATATATTTACGAACTTGACGCAGAGTCTTTTTTCCTCAATATGCTTCTATGAAATCAATAAGGTACATAGATCCATAAGTTTATCATACTTCTAATGAGACATTAAACGGTCGTAATAATACATTCGTGATCGTGATCTCACTGCGGCCCAAGTGCCTGCTTGAGCTCCTGTGAAGCGCAGCTTTCACCTGTTATCGACTCCTCAATCATTGCCACTCCCACACAGGCCTTGTGGCTGATACTGGTGGAACTCCAGAGCGTTGTTGTTCATGGCAACAATAGGTCGGCCATGGTCGTGTCGCGGAATTTCGCGGCGGGACATAGGTATACTAGGTCCTTGTCAGGATGCCCAAGGTACATAGACATATCCCAAGTACTAACCGTCTGCATGAGGATTCCCTCCCGATATAGTCCCATTTCAAGAATGATCTCAGGATGTACGAGAGTGAACCGACTAGGGCTTCGGTCATTCGACGCGGTCGACGTGCAGGAGGGCTCGGCTCGTTGGAGTTCTAGAAGAGTAAAGAAACAGTTAGCATCAAGGAATGACCTGCAGGAAATACAAGAATAGCTGGCTATTACTGATACACCGCTTTTGTCTTCGTCTGATGTACTTCCAGATGAGTAACAATGATGAAGGAGCTGTTACAAGGAGGGTAACGAATGCGATAATAGTTTCTGGAGACCACGCCATTGTCAATGCTATAGTAAATCTGTAGGTTACAACCGTCTTTACAGTACCTTTTATGTAAGATAGACTGGGCTAAAATATTCAGTGCTAAGTTGCTGGGGACCACATCAAACGTAGTACAAAGACTTTGCCCACGCCACCTCAAGGGGTAAGTCGAGCGACAGGAACGCAAGTCCCAACCAAATCTGTGGTTCCTGCCGTTGGATTTTTGTCATTTTTGAATTATTTCAGACCATTCCTGAATCATGCATTTTCTGCATGTTACCGTAGTCGCTGAGCCAGGAATGCTTCAACTGATTAGGTAGATGAAGACCAAACTGGCAGTACCCTACTAGTACTTTCAGATCCACTCCCGCAGAACAACGTCCGACTGTGAGCAGAACAAAAAAAAAGAAAAGAATGAAATAGGGAAGCAGGAAGAGAAACAATATCATGTATCAAGGCTACAGGATGACTCCTTTTCGTTTTGGTCGTGCACAAAGATACCATTCTAGGAGGTCAGGCAACGTGACGTAGGCTACTATATGTTAACTCAATAAATCAGTCATTCTCTTCACAGCAGCCCGCCTACTAATGAAATTTTTGACCATTGTAGCGGCGCTCTAGTGCTTGCCCTCCAATTAATCGCTCGCATTTCAGGACGTAAGTACCGTGAGTAGCTCTGACGGCGAGAATCCCTGACATCTCAAATCCTTACCCTTGTTTGATCCTATCATCTTTCCAGCTACAAAGTCATCGAGATCGAGTTGCCTGGAGGTTAAACTACCGGTGCTCCACAGGCAAGCATACTAACATAGGCAGATGTAGGACGACGGATGTTAATGATGTCGAGGTTCCTAGTGGCAGATAGCAGAAGCTTCTTTATCCAATACAGTTGCCTGCCTGCACCTGTCCTTGGCGTCGAGACTGGGAGCCGATACGAGAGGGAAATTGCTACACAGACTAGTCCAAACAGGACTGACCTTCTGGCATGCATATGCACAAATACACTCAGTGACTTGCTTTCAGCCGGTGCTTCGGGTGTTATTATATGTCTCGCACCACACATAAACACACTCGTCCGTAGCCTGGGTTCAAAACTACATGCCAAGTTGAGGAAGTTGGCGATTTCCGGACATGTCATATTCTATATGGTCAAGTAGCTTGCAATCGTACTTGCCGGAGTCTGTCTCCTTTTGGTCATGTCATGCCTGTCGCACTGCACATCTACTTTGTCTATCCCCATGGCTAGAGTTAAACGCGTCACAAACCCAAACGTCTGTTTGGCTCTTAAGACCCATACTTTTGACAAAGATAAAATATAATATAATATAACATAACATACAGATATTCAGCTGCCTTCTCTGGTCCAAATTCTACCGTTTGGAATTCCGTGGATTGAGAAAAGAGCTTTTTGGTTTATGTTCAACTTCTAGCCAATAAGCCCTCTTCCAACCTTCCCGCCGTCGACGAACCTCGTGGAAGCACACGATTAGCCCATAATTATCCCTCTATGGTTATTTCATTTACGTAAAGACATACACAGATGGCTTACCGTTAGATCTGCAGCCGGGAAAGCCATAAGTCTGGCTCGACACCCTCAGTCGTGAGAGGTAATTACTTATGTTGAAAGTTCATTCGCTGTTTATATGGACTGGCGGTGCAACGTGCACCACATCTCCTAGGTTTCTGAAACCCAATGCTGCTCGCAAAAGTATTTGCTCAGTATGGGCATAGCCCCCGGAGCATAAACGTGATATCCGAAGACGCACACTATCCTTCTCGATCTTTCTTTCGCCCAGATAATCTAACCTTTACTTTCCTGTTCACTAATTACCACATTTGCAGAGCACCTAGAAGGGGGGGGGAGTATTACTCGTTAGCCCCCTGCCATGTCTGGAATAGCCTTCCCCTGCTCAGCTCTCAAGCTCAGGATGAGCACCTCACCCGGTTCTAGACATCCCTTCGTCATACATAGACACTAAGAGGTTCTCTGGTCACCTGGGAATTGTCTCTATTCACATCATGATGCATGTAGATCAGACCGATAGGGTCGACGACCTCATTCATTATCCTGGAGCATAACCGCAAATAGTGACATATGCTGTATTAGGTAGGTCATCGTTTTCTATTGCTCTGCAGGCCAAGCAAAGTGCTCTGCTAACCTGTTCTGTCATAGTTTCGGGCAAACTGTAATCGGAATCCGACCTTCTACATAACATAAAACATACATCCTGCCCGTCCTAGACTCTCATGGCCTCAAACCGGTCGCATACTACTAGTATTTCAGTCAATGCAGGCGTGGATACCCGATGCAGTTGATAGTCACCCCTTACCAATATAGTGGTGTGGGTAGCCAGGTGCCCCTCCGTCGACAGGATATGAGCCCTGTTCCTGATAGGCGTCATGTCGGCAATACCATTCCTATAAAGCACTACCCGTCTCCGTCCTTACATCAATATCGCATCAGAGCGGTGCAGGGTATATCTATCTCCAGAGAGATTGAAGAACTGGAATTTATGAGTATGTAGAAGGTTTATACCGATTGTTATATGACAATCCCATTGCACCAAACCACCACATAGAACGGAGGTTGTGCCTTAAAACACCCAATTCTCGATTACATATATATCCGGGTCCTTACAACCTCATCTTCGACAACAACCAAGTTCAGATGCCTCTTGTTAAAGCATCGCTGACTTCTTCCACACATAGAAATACGTCTCATCATCTAGTATAACCAGTTGAAATGATATGAGTCCTATCATCCATGCACATACAATTACTTCTATCAAGAATCATAGCAACGCCGCCCAAAACGCGCTATACCACATCGATTCACAAGCAAGGGCTAAAACCCTTGTTTTATACACACCGAGAGCTAAGCTACTGAATCCGGTATCTTCCTGATGATAAATCTTCCACGATTGTAACGCCCTCAAAAGGGATTATTTTCCTAGATAAAAAATTACATAAATAGCCCGTTATATAAACTACAACCTGGAAATTTTTTTAATCTAAATAAGGCGTTTCGGTAGAGTTATTCATGTTGCAGTATTCAAGAAACGAAAACCCTTTCCACGGTCGGGAATTCCACTGAGCTATTTCATAAAATGGGAAGGCGGGCTTAACCTCCAAAGATGGTGATGAAATATACCCCTTCCATCTCAGTCAAATGGGCTTTTTAGTGGCGTAAGAAGTGCTAAGCTTACATTGCTACATGGGGGTTAGTGATATTATTAGATTATATACAAGTCCTAAGAGTTATACACGTTAATATGCTGACCGCGCAAAACCTACAGTTTACAATGGTCAACGTAAGAAACGTTCAAGTTCTGCCGGGTGGAATGGAATGAATGATGCGATGGCTGCTTGTTTGGTCAGGTTAATCGAGATGTGGAACTCTCAGCTACAACTTAATGTATCCCTTCTGTTGATTCGACATTCTATTCTACTTCCGTTCTCCGGCTATCTGTTATTTCTAAGCTATTAAAAGCAGACAGTGTATACGATTGCAGCTTTGGCATAACTCTCATGAAAAATATAGTAGAGTTACGGTTAGAAGGCTATCGGGGTGGCTATGTTCAGGAGAGACGACGGTCTAGTTACATAAAAAGATGAACGTAGATGTTTTCGCCGAGGGCGACTAATGCAACCATCATACACCCATACAAATAGATTATCTATCGTCTTAAGGGATATATTTGCCAAACTTCTTGAACTCTTCATCTGCAGCTAACCGCGCCATATCCTCCTCCTGTAACGAAAGAGCAACAGCGATCTCGCCATCCGACCTCTTGGGCATGAAATAAATCAGACCTTCAAACGGAGTGAACTGTGGTCGTCGCACAGCCTCCGGCTTTCCAAGACCAAACCCAAAATCTAATTCATAGCAGTTGACACTTGCCCACGAGCTAATCATAATATCCGTCGACGGGTTGAAACTCGCTCCGAAGGAGATGGACGATTTGTCTACGAGACGCTCAATGTATGTCGCTAGTGCGCGGGTGCGTGACTGTAAAGAGGACGTCTGCGGGTCTATTGCTGTTCTGAGTTGTGAGGCAATGATGCCTAGAGGTTTATCGAGTAGATCTTGTATTGTATCGGTGTGGTATACCATGTTTTGCATGAGACCGGTGTATGTCGGAGGAATGCCAAAGTATTTCCGTACATCAACAGCACGGCCCAGTGTTGTGTTATGAGATGCTGATAGCCGCTTCAGGCGAGCTCGAAGCACCGATTGCCAAACGAAGGCGCTCAGTGCATCATCGGTCGAGATGAACTCTGAATCCTTCGACTGTTCAGCAAGCAATTTTAGTTTAACGAGCGATGATTTGTCGAACGAGAAATATGACCAGGTAGACCTTGGGAGAGGCACTGATGGCTGCGGGGGTCCAGGCCTGATTATTTGACGGTTGAGTTCCGGGCCGGGTCCATATGAGCCATCTAGGAGCGGGATGAGGTGACTCTCCACCAGGTTCCCGGACTCTAGCTCCAACTCCGTAAATGTATCCCCACGACATGCCTTCGAGAGAAGGTGGATAACCTGTCCCTGACCAGTCATGTCCATTGCGCTATGATGGCCAACCAGAGTGAGGACCAGGCCGCCGTGAATGAAGTTAGCCTGGACAAGAAAGGCCGGTGAAATAGGGTCTTCGTCAGGACCTGGCAAGGTCGTTCGAGGAGCAATGATGTTCTCGTCTAACATCCGAAAGGGAAAATCGGCGTGTCTCAAATCCTCCATGGCTGGGACGTTGGGGTCATGACGAAAGTCTTTCACGACTAGTGGTGGAGTCTTCCCCAGTGCTTGGATCTTGGTCGTGCCAGAGTTATTATGGCTGCTGCCTTCACTGACTATCTGGCCTGCTACCCACGGGAAATTGATGGACAGTGTTTCGAGGCCTTTCTCTAGGCTCCCGACTATCTCGCAGTCGGATGAGGCGGCGAACGGAAAGCAGAGGCAAATTTGCGTGTAAATCCTGAGGGCAGGTAGCTGACCCAGGAAGTTCAGTTTGACAGGTAAAGCATCCATGGTGTGAGAGGCCAGTGCCTCCAAAGGACTGCCTGTTCCTATCGCGATATATAAACCGAACGCCACTGTAGAGGTGGGGATGAGTAATTATGAATCATATTAGCTCTCAACCACTAATATTCAATCATGGCGATTGTGGATCCAAGGTGGGTCCTAGAGGTCGTGCTCGGCATTAACCGATCGAGTCTCGGTACACGTATGTATTGTGCCGAAGACCACAAAAGGGACCATGTTAATATTCCTGGCCTTGACCCCCAAGGGTGGCCCAATCAACAGGAATGGTGTTACCAGCTAATAGCCCGCATCACTCCGTGTCTAAGACTGTGAGCCACGAACCTCCGAGAAACAATCAGGTTGGCAGCGAAGAGATAATCTCTTTTAGCCGATTCATATTGGCTGGCTTCGTGAGAAAGAGATCGATACCACTCCTCATTGCATCTCTCTTCATGGCCGGAGTATCAACTGCAGTCAATGCGATAATCGTCACTGGGTGTAATGAATTACTATTTTCATACTCGCGTATCTTTCGAGACGCGGTTACACCATCCATGACGGGCATGGAGAGGTCTGACTAGTTAATACAAGGACTAAAATGTGGAGGGGTGCTAACTTACCCATGATAATTGCTTGAAAGGTCTCGCTCTCCGCTTTCTGTACTGCCTCAAGTCCGTTTAGAGCACTTTCATAAGAAAACCCGGCTTTTTTCATAGTAGTTTGTAGAATCTGGTCTGACGGTTAGTAAGGTAGTACACAGGGCATCATTGGTTTCATACCTTGAGATTCAAGTCATTGTCTTCGACAAGGAGAACCTTCCGTTGTCTAATTGGGTTGTTCTGATTAGAAGCTACAGTGTCCTGGTTGTTTGTGAGTTCTCGTTCATGAACAAACGAACTACTCGTATCTGAGTCCTTGTGATTTTGTTCTGCGTCTTCTGGCGATGTAGATGCGGCGATTTGCAGTTGACGCTGGTAGGTATCTTCGAGGGTGGCTGTGGTTGGTTCGTGCACTCTGTCGTCACCCGCTTCACGCAGCTGAGTCCTTTTCTCAATACAGCTCGTCAAAGCAGAAGCTAGAGTCTTAGGGCAAATCGGCTGCTGAAGAAAAACAACCGACTCCGAGGGATCTCGGGGTTCATTGAACCAACTATGGGCATGTGTGCAGAGCACAATCTTGGGAAACGACATTTTAGGATTTCTCCGGGCCTTCGACTTCCTAGAATAAGTGACTGCACTTTCTTCAACCTCGCCATAGCGGTATTCATGCTCAGTGATGATGAAAATATCCGGATGTTCGCGATCCCGTTCACTGGGCGAAAGAACACGCACTCCAAACCATTGGGTGATCATCTTTTCCATGCTCAGCAAAATTGTATTAAAGATATCTGGGGCTATCTTTAAGTCTCCATATTTGGAGCTGTTGGGAAAGAGAGTTATGGTTTTCCCTTGCAATTTCTCGCGTAGGCCCCCATACGGAATGGAAGGTGAGGACGGTCGCGAGGCTGGGGTTATAGGCAGCAGGACGTTAACCACAGTTCCTCGGTTAGGTTCGCTCTTTAGGTCTATTAATCCATGCATCGAATCTACGATACGATAGACTACATTGAGTCCAACACCAATGCCTGGCGAGAGAGAATCTTCCTGCTGAAACGGCGTGTAAAGGTTTGAAAAGGTAAAGTCGGGCGAGATTCCCCGTCCCGAATCGCTTATTTGGAGGAGAATAGCCGGCAGGTGATTGTGTCCGACCTTCACTGTGTCATGTCGGAGCTTCACCTGAATAAAGCCAGATGGTGTGAACTTCAGTGCGTTGCCAAGGAGATTCAGTACGATCCGCCGCCAGGCACCAGCAGAGACATGGCATTCCCAGCCTTCTCGACATTCAATATCCACGATCGCAAAAATTGCCCTCGGGACGGAGTTGGGGATATTTGACTCGCGAAACGGCCGGTCGGCCGTTTGTTTTGTGGCAGAGAAAAGAGCCTCCGCATTGCGACCCATGTAGTCCTGGCTGGCGAGCAGCGCTTCGGCCACCTCTTCGACCAAGGTAGCCATATTCACCTTATCGATCAAAGCAGGGGCATTAAAATGGGACCCTTGAGCTGTTTCGGCATTCTCCAGCGGTCGATCGTGAGTCGTTGGTCCAAGAAGGCTATTGATTTTGGCATAATCCAAGACATGATTAACAGTGTCAAGGAGAGTTTTCCCACAATTCATGGTTATGTCAATCAAGGACCGTTGGACATTCGTCACCTTGGTCTCTTGAAGCATATCAAGCATAGTGAGTATGCCATGTAGGGGAGACCGCCACTCATGTGACACTGACGAGATAAAATCAGCCTTTTCGCGATCCGCGGCTCGCAGGTCTAGACGGGAAACTTCTGCCATGACGCTGTTATTGAACGCCGCAAGATACGTTAAATCTGTGGACTCAGCAAAGAGACGCCCGGAATCTTTGGTCCACGCGAAACAGCCCGCAAACCAGCGATTTTGTTGAAAATCCCAAAGAGGAAAAAATGCAATGCTGTTTGCTTCCGAAAATGGTTGAGAAATCTGACGCATGTCAATACCATAGTAACTCGACGCCATATTTTCTAACGAAGAGCAAGACCCATCGATGTCCGACGAGCACTCGTCGCTCAAAGGCGAAAACTTGTCTTCATCAAGATGAAAGATACCACCCCTCCCATACCGTTGGACTAAATCTCCCAAAAGTGACATCGAAATATTTATATCCTGATTGTGACCTGGAACTGTAGAATAACCCAACACATGGCCCGCCGAGCTTTCGTCCTCGGCCATATCCGGGGATCGGGGCCGTGAGTTGCCCGACACTTTAGGTGAGAGACCATGGCGCTCCTGGTTGAACGCACTAATATCCAGAAATGCAACGCCATCCACATCCAGCGCCTGTCGAATTAAAACCGATGCCCTGTGAAGAACCGAATAAGTCTCTTCGGAAGTTAGAGACTCTCTCCTTGTTCTGCGTGGGGGTGAGCGGGAGCGATATGAATTTGGGCGACCACGCAATGGGATGCCCAATTCGTTTTGAGGAATATGCGATGGAGGTATATCTAGCGTCTTCTGACTGTTGGCAAAATGGATGGAACTCGCAGGGTCAACTGATCGAGATGATTCAAAGCCGAGATGTTGCCGCACAGGCAGGCTAGAGACCACCCATTCATCGATATCTGACTTTCCTTCCATGAAGGCACCTAACGCCTTGATCATTCTCTCACCACGATGCTCTTCGCGCATTGTTCGCAATGTCGCCAGATAGTCCAGCACAGTACCCGCCCGATCTTGGAGAAGTCGTGACTGGTCATCATCTATTTTATCGTGCTGGGCGCTCCCATATAACTCTATAATACCGATAACAACGCCAGCTGGAGTTCGAATTGGCACTGCAAGATAAAAGCGATTCCGGGAGAGTGTTGACCAATGGGCATCAAATTTCGAATCCTGCGCAAGGTCCGCGACCATAAACAAATCTGTATTGTCTTCGATGAACGCTATCATAGCGTAATCACACGGCGCGGTGTTGTCACGACGCAGTTCGCGCTTGTTGTGAGCGACTGAGGGCGTCTCAGCCAGGACATACTGGTTCTTGCGATCGCATATCGAAATAACGGCACGATCAGCACCCACTTGCAGCGCGGTTAGCTGAGCAAGGTCTGTTAGAATATCTGATGATGATGCTTTTTCGGCCGAGGGCTCATGGGGTGGGAGGTATCTATAACAATCCAAAGGTCAGATTAGTACTTAGGTTCGAAAATGTTTGGTAAGAATGGTTATACTGGTGCACCTCTCTCTCACGGATAAGCTCGCTGCGCCGCTCACGTTTCCCCCGCCGTGGGAGATGAGGGGAAGAGTCTCTTGCGGACATCATCTCGACGAACCAAGCCACAGCATGGATGTGTGAAAACGATAAGAAGCGGAGCGGACATTGTGGTTCTGCAAAAAGAAAAAGAATGTGTGTGATCAGATGTTGAAAGTTGGAAGTGGCAACGTTCTGGTTGAGCTCGAAAGCTTGGAGCCTGGACCATGGCTAAGGCTCCCCCACCCCGGGCTTCTGCTTGGTAATTGGGCGGGCCGTCGTGCCGGCAGTAGTTGTGGCGTAATAGACAAATTAGAGCGGCGGGACAAATTAATCCAGGCACATAGATGGAGTAGTATCCAGTACTCCGTACATCATAGGTTTTCAGATCACTCGGAAATATTCATTCTAATACGCTCATCGTATGATCGTACAACCCAGAGTCTTGATTATGCGGAGGCAACTGCCGATCATATCCATCCCAGGTTAAAACGTTATCTCTACACTAACTTGCAGTCCTGGGCGAAATGTGCAATATTTTATTATTAATACAATAAAGAGTCAGTACTAGTTCCCATCCAAACTATCCAAGTCACGTGATATTATATTGAGATCTTTATTGATTGTTGGACACCCAACTCTCGATCTGATGTCTTCCTGAACATAGGTAAAATCTCAAGTTGGGCTGCTTTGGGTATGTTAGATTCGCTTGAGCTCATCGGTGTTCTGGTATTGGAGTCATTGTATGGATGACAATCTCGTCTGATTGCCAGAGAGTGTGTACCTAGCGAAATGGGATGTCAATGCCGCAATTTGCAACAGTGATCCATGGATGGATTTGAAATATCCGAAAACGGGATATAACCCAATCTCATCGTTCGGCTGCCTGGATTACAGTCCCTTTACCATGCACGTACATGGTATACAGTGGATTGACCATAGATGGTGGAACCTGTCTTCAAACCGGATTATTCCTTTTGTGAACAATGACAGGAATCCATGCATCATGCTCTAAGCATTGGCCCATGCCTGATGAGATTGAGCACTTACAAGAGTAGCCCCTCCTTTCTCTATATGGTATTTCTAATTCGGCAGTCCCGGATATTCCTGCGAAGTAGTAGAGACATTCCCTCATGCTTAGAGCATTGGGGGTGGAGGCCTGAGAGCCATAAATGACCGGGGAACCTATGAAGCGGAACATTGATTGTCGCTTTATAAATATGGCCATCCTCGTCTGCAATCAGCAAAATGCCACGGCACATGAAGGCACCGTCCTTTATCTCGTTCGCATACCAGCGGACAATGTCTGAGTCAACAGCTTGGTTGGTACAAATCAGGATTCTTGCAGTATGGACTGTGTGTTCCGACAACACTTGTACGGCTTGTCAAAATAGATTCTAATCTTGTTTGATTGCCTCGATTTCATCCTGCGTTGGCCTTTTCTTCTCTCCTTGTTGAGTTCACGAAGGAGATGTCTGTCATGCTATAAGATGTCGATCAAGGGTCGAGATGTGGACTTGTAGATGGAATGTGTCTTGTTCGGTGTGATAGTCCTGGAAGACGTCTAAACACGCTATTATCCGGCGAAAAGTGTAAGCGTGGTTGTATATCCGGGATTCATGTAGACACACATAGTTATGTTTCCTTGCTGACGTAACCACCGCATGGTTGATTTCTCTTATTCCATGAGCGTATATGAGTCAATATACCCTGACAGCGAAGTGGAAATCAGCGTGTGGATAACATGCTCTGTAGTCCTGAAGGATATGACGTCATATGCTGAATGAGAATGCTCTGTAGGTATATGGATATTCTGTCTTGCTCAGAGCAAGCAGAAACACCTCAGCTCACATGTAACGTGTGAAGCCCGCGTTATATAGAGTAGTAAGGCAATGTATTGGTATATAAGAAAGGCCCTGGATGTATGAGGGGTAGACATGACGACAATAGTCCAGTCTCAGTGCTCTTTAAATAATGAATTGCATACGCATGAATGATCCAACTCCTTCAATAAATATTCGAAAGAAACTGTAACACAATAAAGCCCAGACCCATACAAACCGATCGCAATCGAACCGGGTATATTCCTGGAAATTAGCCAAAAGTCACGATACAAAAAGAGACATCGGCACAACTCCGAACCCCCACGAACATCCCACTTGAAGCCGTCGGCCATGAAAGCGACTCCCGATTGGATTGCCTCTCTTTATTAACCGCTTTGAACCCCATAAGATCCATAATAATTCTCCCAAAGACGATCGAAACATTCGGGAATATTCATTCTTCACTCAAAATCATTATGTCCAAACCTACCATTGGCTTCGTCGGCCTAGGGGCCATGGGCTTCGGCATGGCCACTCACCTCGTTCACGAGGGTTACCCAGTCCACGGCTTTGACGTATTCCCTGCTTCTGTAGAACGATTCCAAGAAGCCGGGGGTATTCCCGCTTTATCGTTGCGAGAGTCTGCAGAGGGAAAGTCATTTTACGTGTGCATGGTTGCATCTGCGCCTCAAGTGCAATCAGTGTTATTTGGCGATGAAGGCATTGTACAATGTATTCACTCCCTTCCACCCTTTCTATAGTATCTCTATGTTATAATGAGTGTTGTCGCAGAGTACTAACAGTGCACTCTAGACCTCCCCCAAAATGCCACCCTCCTCCTTTGTTCCACCGTCCCCGCCTCCTACGCCCAGTCCGTCGCAGCAGAACTACAATCCTGCGGCCGCGGCGATATCCTTTTCATCGATAGCCCTGTCTCGGGTGGTGCCAAACGCGCCGCGGATGGAACACTCTCCATCATGGCAGGCGGTTCAGACGAGGCACTGGAAAGCGGTCGCGACCTACTACAGACTATGTCCGCGCCAAGTAAACTCTACCTTGTGCCCGGGGGCATTGGAGCAGGAAGTAACATGAAAATGGTGCACCAAGTTCTGGCGGCTATCCACATCCTTGGTGCCAGCGAGGCCATGGGACTGGCCGCGCAATTGGGTCTGGATGCGCGCCAGACAGCGGATAAGATCATTAGTTCTGATGCGTGGACGTGGATGCATGAGAATCGATTTCCGCGCATGGTAGAGGAGGACTGGAATCCGGGTGCTAGTGCGCTGACTATTATTCTGAAGGATGCGGTGAGTTCGCACACTAAAATAGTATTGAGGGAAATGCTGACGATTGTATAGGGCATTATCACTTCCTCTGCCCGTCAACACCGGTTCCCGACACCCCTCTGTACCACCGCTGAACAGATCTACCTCTCTGCCTTGCTGCAGGGCTATGGCCCTAAGGATGATTCAGCCATGGTGCGCCAATACTTTACCACTCCTATCGCTTCCGTAACGGCTTCTGCGGAAGACCAGAGCACTGCGCTACAGCTAGTCCTCGACCTGATGCAGGGTGTCAACCTCGTCGCTGCTGCGGAAGCCGTTGCCTTTGCACGATACCTCAAGGTCGACCTCGCGCAGTTTCACGAACTAGTTAGCGCCGCCGCGGGCGCCAGTAGGGTATTTATCACGAAAGGTCTGGAAATGATCAAGGGACACATCGGTGAGGAGGCGCCAGCCGGATCACAAACGGTGGACGAGGCCATCGCAAAATTAGAGGCTGTAGTACAACAGGCTAGGGATCTTCATTGTCCGTTGCATTTGGGCAATGCGGCGCTGAATGTGCTCTTCACTGCTCGGAGAGCTGGGCTGGGAGCCGAGGGTGCGACTAGTGTGATCAAGGTATTTGGAACGGAGTAATTCGAGCGTTATTTTTGTGTGAGATACCGAGTTTAGATTATGTTATGGATATCCGAGTAGCAATTTAGGCACAGATTTTCAGGCACATGGACCCTGACGTCAGTCGGAGCAACTCCGGGGTCGGAGATCGGAGCGAGTGGGGGTTTCAAGATCGCATCGACTTTCATATGCTTTGCGACAACACATATAATAAACCCATTGTTCCATGATCCTGTCTCTCGTAATCACTTTCCTTACATTAATTGATCCTTTTGAACGGGAGGCACAAACAGCAGCCACTCAAGATGTCTCTCTCCAACAACCGCGCCCTCGATATCCTCAACCACGCCGCCTCAAATCACTATGGCATCCCCGCAATGTGCTGCTACAACCTCGAGGGCATTCTAGCCACCGTCCGCGCCGCAGAAGCGAAGCGCTCGCCAGCGATGATCCTCCTATTCCCATGGGCCGTCAAATACGCCGACGGACTCCTCGTACACGCCGCCGCCGAAGCCGCGCGCAAGGCCTCCGTGCCGATCACCGTGCACATGGATCACGCGCAAACGCCGGAGATGATCCGCTACGCGGCGGACCTGGGCGGATTCGACAGCATCATGGTTGACATGTCACATTACGAGAAGGAGGAGAACCTCGCACTCACGAGAGAGCTAGTGGCTTATTGTAATGAGCGGGGGATTGCGACAGAAGCGGAGCCCGGACGGATCGAGGGCGGAGAGGATGGAGTCGCGGATACGGCAGACTTGGAGGGATTGTTAACCACACCGGAGGAAAGCATTGAGTTCGTGAATACGGGGATCAATTGGTTGGCGCCTGCGTTCGGGAATGTCCATGGCGAGTATGGGCCTCGTGGCATTCAGCTGGAGTATGACCGATTGAAGCGCATTCATGATACGGTTGGAGATAAGGTGCGGTTGGTGCTACATGGAGCGGATCCGTTTACGGAGGAGATCTTTTCCAAGTGCATTGAGTGCGGTGTTTCCAAGATTAATATCAACAAAGTCCTGAACAATGAATACCTCCGCGTGCAGAAGGAGATGGCTGGGAAGGTACCGTTGACCACTTTGCTGGAGGAAGCTACGAATGAGATGCAGAAGGCTGTCGAGAGGTGCATGGATATGCTGAAGTCGAGTGGGAGATATCCTTGATTCTATTTGTATAGAGCATAGATAGCACATAAATATCCTCGAGCGCTTGCAAGCCCTTTTTGTTTATTCTTCTTTGCCAATTGATCAATCAGAACACTATGAGCCCATTAGCGTCACACCAAGCGCTCAGAGATGCAATCATCTTGTCAGTGAGAGGAAATCTAGGTCTGAGATGACATGGCCTACAACCAGAACCCAGTACATAGGATATATGACGCATGAAAATCTTTAGAATCACTAGCTGGATGCCGTAGCCTCTCTCAGTAGAGCTCTCCTCTTGTTACCTCGGTTAAGCTATACAAATAGAGCGCGGCCTATCGTGCTTTATTCCCTTAGATTACACCCTAGAGACCGCAAAGACCATTCTACCTTTAGCTAAGCCTAGTATAGATCGCACATCGGCCGATGGCCGACTCGGGCACTCGGCTCGGTTGCCCACATTTAACCGCATAATCCCTGACAATGGCTTGAGCCGGATCTATGTAAAGAGGACGCCTAAAGATACATTTGAACAACAGTGAAAGAATTAATATAGAAGTTTATGTATAACTACCACATCTACTGTATGATCTAACAAAAAATAAAATCAATATATAACACTTGATCAGCTAGTGTAATATACTATTTTGCTATAAAACAGATTCTACTTTAATGCCCGCCGTCCTCTCTCCAGATCCGTCAGTGACCTCTCCGGGCTAGTTGTATCCAGCATTTAGGAACCATTTTGTAACACTTTGGTTTTGACAAAAATGCCACTATTGAAGACTATAATATATACCTTTTGATTATGCTAGACTCCCTTGAGGATATCATCCTGCTTCAGGCGGTTCAGGTTCTATATCGCAGTACTGTGATAGTGGTTTCGTTGCCCTTGCTTCATATATCGACAATGCATATGTGCATAATGGTATCCGACACTACCTGGGACTAAAACTTCAGTTGAACCGCTGTCTTCCATGAATAATCTCTGATCAAGACAGTTAAAAGTTTTATACCATGGAAATACAATTAGTAGATTAATGCCATACCGTAAGTGTCAATGAGGACGCCTTCATGCGGTGCAGAAGAGCATATGATCTATACGTTTTCTTCGCCCTGGTCTGAACACTGCATTTGTACTTCCAAGTCTAGACTTATGGCCGTTTGTAAAGGCCTGGGATATGATTATGTGAGGTCTAGCTCTTTCTGGTAGAGTATTACAATCCGTAGCAAGCACTGATGGAAGCAAAATAACATTGATTCATTTCCAAGTAAAGGAGCGACATTCTTGTCATAATAGCCAGATTGGGGGAGAGCGGTCTGAGACTAGAAACTAATGTTTCCTAATATTTTGATCGAATGCATCCATATGAAACCCCTTCAAATTCAAGTTCAAAAAGCAGGGAAGCAGATGTAGGGGTCATGACAAGCTTAAATGGTATTTTAAAATACTCAACCCCTTGCGAGTTGCGCTTTCTCTGGAATAACCCCTCAGGAATTTCGCTGAGATCGGAATCCAAAGTACATAATCTCATAATGCCTTTGCCTTGTGAGTAATGAAGGACGGTATTTTACCAATGCAAACTTACTTTTATTCAGGGCCTTTGGTGCATCTGCGTCATTGCAGATATAGAGGCCTGTTGAATAAGACAGAGATTCCTTGGCATCTCGTACCCGAGTTGTTCGATAGAAGTCCATCTTGATTGGATCATCTTCGCGGATTATGGAGGACTGGATATCTGTGATCAGTGGGTACTCGATGTTGTTAGGGGTGTAGGAATTGCCGCCGGTACCTTTTGGATATACCACCTCATCTGAGTGACCTTGTATGTTTCATCCAACGGATCCCAATATTTGTCTTCGTCATTATGGATGGCTGGAATATACTCTGTGGCAATTTCAATCCCATAATGTCGACGCGCAACTCGGCACTCAACTTGATTGCCCTCTAGTCCACGATAAACAGCACCGCTTCATAAGCTAATCAGCAATGAACTTTCTAATTCTGTTCTATGGAGCCAATTATACCTTACAACCGCAGACCATCTGTATATGTCAGCAAGTAGTTTCTCTGTGTATTGGGCTTATTGAACCTACGCGTTTGGTGGTTGGAGAACTGTCACAGTTGGGTTCGCTTTCCGCAAACGGCGAAGGAGGTATTCAGAAGAGCCGAACCCGCCAACAAGAACAATTGCCTATTATAGATTAGCTAGTCCGTATATGATTAGGTATTGAGAATGACCTCAGTAACAAATCCGAGTCTCGTTATGCTCGCCACCTGCTCTGCAATAAGCTCCTCAACGTCACGAACGATGGGCTCAAAGATATGTTCAACGTCGTCACTGCTCGTATGTCAGTTCTCTTGGACTAGAATTCCGAGCAACCGAATACCTAGGTATGGGTGTAAATTGCATCGCACGTACGTACCTACTGAGTTGGAAAAATCCGTCTTCAATCGGAATCGTGGGATCATCTGTGACTCCCGGAAGAGGAACGAAATAGTCGACATTTGCATAATCATAGTCGAGTTTTCCAGTATAGTTAGGCTTCACTCGGTCTTGCCAGTAAGATAGCGCAGCTTCTTTTGACTTGCTCGACAGTGTGGCGTAGTTCACTCCCATCCTATCTCGGAGAAGTTCCTCAAACCTGTGATCTAGAAGCATTGATCCACAGATGCGTCCTAAATTTCGATTAATAACGCTCACTGTTAAATAAGCCTTATCCGAGGTAATATGTACCTGTGCCCTCAGTCACCTCTGTGAGAACGAGGGGCTCTAGGGTTTTAATTTGATATGAAATGAGATCCTGCTTGTGTTTAGCAACACTATTATACAATGAAGAAGATATAGCCCTACCACTGTGCCGCCTCCAGCATCGCAAACGATGAACACGTCATTTTTCTACAGCAGTAAGACATCTGAGTACACTATTAGTCCAGCGAAATCACTTACCGCTATTGAATTAGGTTGAATAGAGCGCAACGCGTAAAGAGCGGCGGCTTCTGGCTCGGAAACTAAAGTAATATCTTGGGGCCGGATATTCGCTTTTATTGCCGCATTCATAGTCCTATCTTTGGCCTTATCCGACCAGACAGCTGGGACGGTGAGTGTGAATCGCAAGTTCATATGTTGAGCGGGAATACCAAATCGTCGTTGGAGGATCGATTTAGCATATTCAACAAGGTGCTTTAGGTAGTCTGCCATCACTTGCACCGCATCCGTTTTGTATTTTCTCAATAGCGCTTTTGAAGCCAAAGAGGGTGTATATTTGTTTTCCTGGCCCTCATCAAGCAATAATTTGATACCCCGAAATGCTTCTACGAACGGACGGACCTGATAACCCCAATGTGTGCTCTGACCATCACAAGATATAACGGATGGGACTTTGACGGTGGTTCCTATGATGGCTTAGCTTGAGTGTAGCAAGATAGCTAGGAGTCCCTCACTGTTGCCTCCACCTGGCCAGGCTGAGATGACTTCAAGTTCATCGACAGGCCCCTCGAGTGCCCAAGCGATTCTGATAATGTATTCTTGTTACCATCTACCAGAATCAAAGAGAATCATTTTTGCATACCCACTGAACGTTGTACCGAAATCAAGTCCAACAAGGATCGCAGGCCCACGCTCCATGATGACGATTAAGATATGAGCAGGAAAGAGAAAGTGTGTGTCTAAACCTGACTATACGCAAAATAATCAGCCTTTTCGGAACTTCCTTATATTAAGAAAACTAGAGCTCGAGTCTGTCGTATGTGTGATCCAGACTGGGGTGAAAGCATGGTAACCTGGAGCGTTGACAACTTATGTTGACGATTATGGCGCGTCATCCATCATTCATCATTCACCGTAGTCCGTCAACCTGGTCTCGGCTAACCATAAATTCAAAGACAATTCTCAATGTTCAGTTTTCACCAAGAGCCAACCATTTCTCAAGATGTCTTTTTTGTCTTTTGATTATTGGACGAGACGCAGCAGCCGCCAACAAAGCCATCATCATGCCGGTTAGTTTTGTGATTGCTTACACTGTACTTGTTTTCTAACACAGTTAGGCCCTGAAGATTGCGAGAGAAGTCAAATACAAATTGCTAGTCAGCTTCGTCAGTTGACGAGCCTTTATTATGTCAGTACTTTGAATTATTAAAATGACAATACCATCTCTCACAAGGGACAAGGAAAATCAATACCTCAAAGGGCAGGCAAGTGAGCTAAAACAAATGCATTTGGCGGATTCAGAGAAGATTCGACGGCTACAGGACCTGGTATCCCAAGGACGTGAGGATGCTTCAGAGGCTGATAAGCTACACCATGAGGAGTTGAAAACCCTCTACAGCAAAATAAATTCGCTTCAGATGAGAGGGGAAAGCTTACATGATGACCAAGTCCTTGACATAATGCGCAGTCTAAACCAGAATCTGGAGTTGTGGATCAAGTCTAATTTCAAGGATGTCAAGATACTTGCTGGTCTAACAGGGCATTTTGACGTCCAATTTCCGCGCAGTTCCCCTCAACGCCGAGCTTTGATCCAAGGACATGTTACGGAGATGATATATAATTCGATCTTTGCCCCATACTATTTTGGATTACCCAATGACCCCTGGGGCGAATTCATCGAGGCTATTAAAGCTGGTGTTGGGCAGACCCGTGAGTGATGACCCCATCTCATGTATCCAGTATGTTAACTGTCATCAGAACCTGAAGGAACATGGCATGATTGGCGGGAGGTTACATGTGATGCCATAGAGCAAATCATGAATGACAGCCAAGAAGCTCTCTTTACATATATCGTAACCTCCTTCGAGGAGCAGTTTGGCACGTATTCATCTACAGAAGAAAAGCAGAGAAAGCGTCAGCTCCGAGAGCTTTTAGGGAAATGCGCTAGTTTGAAGGCCGCTTTAAACCGACAACAAAACGTGTTCTACTTCTATCGCAGTGATTGCGGAGCTAATTTCTCCACAACCTCCATGACCTTTGCTGGAGGAGAGGATGGCCCGGCGAGCAAGGTGAGAATCTGTCTTTGGCCCGGGCTTATGAAGCAGAACTATATGGCCACTGGCAGCGTTTTCGAAGCAGAGCTAGTCTGGACCATGAATTAAAACTCGGATTGTGGATGACGAGTCGAGACAGTATCAGTTGCTCTAGGTGTCCAGCAAGAATCAAATATTGCTGATCATTCAATGTCGATGTGAAAAAGATTCTTCTTGCTACCCACGCAACCCACGCAACCCCCAAAAGCCGGAGAAGGCCTCGATCGGTAATAAGGTCGATCAATATCTTTGATTTTCGTTCTTGATTATCTGGGAAGTCTAAAGGTAGCTTTACAGAAATATGGGCGTTACTCTCTGTAGTGGTTCTCAGCAGTTAAAATTTGTTGTGGGTTTTCTAGACTCGAATAAAAGGTTTCTTCTCACAAGTCTAGCCTGGTAAAGCCTTACAAGGCGTTGGACTGACCATAAGGTAGCTGTGATCATTAAGTTGCTTGTACTGCAAGATCTGGTTCTTATGGATAAGACGGAAGCCAAGCACGGTGTTTTCCTGGTCTCATGGAATAGTGCCTTCCTTACACTTGTACATGGCCGCCATCGCCTATACTTTCCGGCAAGCCAGCCAGGCCTGGTCACCTCCATTCAGACTAACACATCTCTAACGACATCCCATCGTGAATCTCATAATCACCAAGTGTGATATGACCTTTATAAACTGTATACCACTTCTTGAGTTGGATCTAAATTCCATATCAGTATTGTTCCCCTTCATCCATACCCCCTATAGTGGGTAGAATATACCTTTGCAGGGTCAAGTCCAGTCTGGTCTGCTATCAGTTTCTTCAACTCACCAACTGTGTTTTCCGGTTCGCATTTAACGCGAGTCTTTCTGCCGAGACGGTCGTTACTTGATATTAATGCAAAATTAGCAAACAATGGAGAATAAAAGGTAGGAAAAGGTGCGTACGCTATTACTCAATCAAAGCCATTGTTTTGAATTGTTTTGGTTTGATTTAGTGGAAGATTCTTCAGTACTTCCCTTCGATGATTTTTATAACCAACTGTGACAACCTGCGGGATTTAGGGCACGTGGCTAGATATTTACACTTTTTGTATTTATTGTATTTACCATGATAGAATGTGAAAATATTCTGCCGATCTCTGGGGGTGTGTTCGTATATCGTTACCTTCGGCGAATTATATGGATGGATAGGACCACTCTTGCCCATAGTGGCTCTAGACTACTAGTTCCACCCACGATCTCTTCGCAGCCTAGTATCCCCGTACTCCTCCAGAGAGACCGCCACGATCGTCCTCGCCTCTTTCCTCTTTAACTTCAGTTTTGCAGTCATCTGGTTTCGATACTATCGTTATATAGGAAAGGTCGGGTTGGCTAGCTTACAGACTAGAAACGAAGATAAGAGTACAATGGCAACTAAAGAACACCCGGTCAGAACACTCAGGCTGGTCTCTACCAGCTTCCAAACTGTTTAATAAATGCTAGTCCGTGTGGTGTTATATCTCACTTGGTTAGATAATAGGGTTGTGTTTAAAAAGCCTCTGAGAATTTATGCTAGTGAAATCTTGTTATTCTTGTTGACTAATAAGACGACCCTAATTCTATTGACTATAATAGCCAGCGGAGAGGGTCAACACAAGTGAGTTGAATTGAGTGAAGCCAGATAACGCCTTGTAGTATCATTGTAGGACCAAGAATTATGCTACGAAGTGACACGCTTTGAAATCAAGACAGCACGAACGGACGGGGAGCCGAAGAGCAAGCGAATGTTATAGGATGAAAGCTCTGGACTAGTTACTTGGCCATCACTACTAAAGGTGCCTTGGAGTCGACTCTAGAGTTATAATCGTATTCAACTCAATTAGCTCATACCTTGATCAATTTACTATTTAGACACTCTAGATCGGAATTTCGAGGGTAATGTGAAGGACTAACAGTCAGTGGATTGTATTGACCTGTAAGGGTCTGATAATTGTCAGTTCTGTGCCTAATACGCATGCAGTACCTAAGTGACCCTCCAAGATAACTGGTTGGTAACCACTGAATGACCATTTTCTGTATCTACTTCTAAGCTGACTTATTTGTCTACTCCCGGGGAGGTCAGCTTCTGTTCCCCAACCATTCCCAATAGCCTAAGCTGATGTCCATAGCAGCTGCTCACCTCCTATATAGGCAGGAACTAACCTGACCTCATTATCCTATTGCTCACTATATCCTTACATGATAATCATGACATCAGGTTTCGTGGTTGCCCATAACTCAGAAGAGCATACCAAGACAAGGTGCAATGAAAGTTCAACTTCTAGCCGCCTTCTCACTTTACTCACAAATCGATCACTCTTCTTTGTGAGAAAGTAGGAAGTTAATAGCTTCAATCCTCACTTTCAATTTGAATTCGACCCTTCCACTTTTACCAAGAATGGCCACCACAGCCTACTATCCATACACACCTGACGCACCCTTCGCGATAATTGGTGTAGTCGTTTATACCACACTAGCAGGCATACACGCGTTTCAAGTAGTCGAGAGAGAGGCATGGGATGGGAGCTTCATGGTCCTGGGATGTCTCGGTACGTCACCCATACCTACCTCCGTTTCTAGCAAATCTAACAGCTTCTCAATAGTCCAAGCAATGGGCTGTGGTGCCCGCTTCATCTCCTCCTGGGACATACACGACAAATGGTCCTACTTCAGGATTTCTTCATCATCTCGTTTGTACAGAGTATTGTGAAACTGATACGGCTTTATTCGAGATCGGATGGCTTTATGAATACCACTGAGTGGCCACTTTATACTTTGGATATATTCCTAGTGGCGCGCCCCTTGTTGGGATGGGCGATATGGTATTGGCCGGATGACTGCAAGAAGGTTGTTGGTAAGCAGGATGTTCAATCTTAATTTAGGGGTAATGCTGGAGGAAGAGGGCCATCTCTTTGTCGTGTCCAGGTCCAGTAATGTGGGCATGATATGAAGAGCTATGAAAATGCACAGCTTTATTCAGTGGATGATACTAGGCTCCGTTGTACAGTTTGTCATCGTCATCGAAGGCTAGTTCTCAATGAATTTAGACCTCTATCATTCATCTTTACATATTATAGAAAGAAAATGTATTAAAACAAATCATGGTCTCCGCAATGAGCGATACGTTGTCCGTTGTTCCATGCACGCCCATTACCTAACTATTCCCTGAATCCCATTCCGTTACCTTATAATTAGCAACACCGGTGAGACAACCTCTGTGATGAAGAAGAGAATACCACTCTCTCTCGAAGTTGGAAACAGACATTGGAAAGTATATTCAGTCCAGCTGTCTATATTGAACCCCAATCACTGGTATCTATCAACCACCAACCGCCTAAAGTCCAGACACTTGAGCACCGGACTCTTGAACCCGCGATCAAGGTGTCTGCGACAGATAGCCTCAGCATGCTCTTCATCCCTGGCTTTAATTTGGCTGGTATTAACAGATGATGGTAGTGCTTTGCCTTTATCCTCTGTGCTTCGTCCTGTTGTGTGTCAACATCGCTCGGACACATCATGTGCGTATGTCTCTTGATTGCCTTACCGGTGGAGAAGGCGTTTGCACTTGGATTAGACTGCTTCCTCAGTCCCGTCGTGCGATTTATTATACCGTGATCCTGCGTCATGGATGTGGGCGGCTGGTACGCTGCATTAAAGCGAGGGCTGTCGCTCTGGGGGAGCTCGGACTCCTGTATAGACACGGTCAGTGATCATATTCCATCAAAGGATCGGAGCTATCTCATACATCGTACGATGCTGCTATATCGGTTGTGGCACTCTCTTCATCCAGCGCCTTGGTTCCCTTGGCCCCTTTCACACCGTATGCAACAGTGTTAACGACCAGTGCAGTGCCTTCAATGGAAAACTCAGTAAGAGATGTATCGATGGAAGAAAGAGAAACGGTGGAGAAGCTCACTAGTGAAGGGAAGCAGAGCGATGTTTCCAAAGAGCCTTGCGGTACCGATACCAATGTCCTTGGCCAGATTCTTTCTTTTCGGTTTCTTTACGCTGCTGTCATCACTCTACCGCATTTTAGCCATTCATACGGAAGGCTGGCCAAATAACGAATATTCTCACCTTTCGTTGCATCCCGGGCAGCATGCTCACCAGATCTGAGGACGTAGCAATGTTCTTTGCGGCAACCGTGACCCCGTTCCAATAATCCCTTGCGGTATCTTCAACAGGTCTTGAGCTTTCACATTCGATATTGTAAACCTGGCGGGTAATTCTGGAAATTGCAGCGGTCGGAAGTTAGTATAGTATACTTGGGCTTGCAAAAGATTGCCTTCCTTACAGTACAATATCAGTTTGTTTTATGAGCTGCTCTTCCACCAAAACCGCTGCTGCTTCAGGGGATATCCTCAATGATGGCCTATTCCAGACTCGATACATGGCCAGGTTCTGGTTCGTGATGTCACATTTTTGGACCTGCGGTGGTAACCAACGATAAAATGCTTGAACAGCTCTCTCAAGACCTGCTTCATCATGGACCTGCTTTTGAACAACGCGAGTTGATTCTTGAATATCCGGACGGAGGCAGAATTCTAGTGCCTGGTATAGTGCGTTGGGAGAAAACCTGTTGGTTGTGAGTGGTGCACCTGCTGCACCAATACTTGAAAGTCCTATGCCTCTTGAAAACTGACTGTGAATTTGTTAGTATGCTTATAATGCGAAATATTCCGTTCTCGGAGAGAGTGTACTCTGCTGTATGCGGGATCACCACGCTTGGCTTTCCATATTGTAAAGCCAGCGCGCTTTGATCTATACTTCCTGAGTGGACAACGACAGCAACCCGCGGCAGAAGCCATCCTGTATATTGACTTATGTTAGAACCTGTTCGATCAATTATATGTTATACGTACCATGGGGGATAGAGTCGGCCAGGAGCACGTTAGCGTTGTTTAGAATCCTACAAATGTCACGGCAGTCTTGGGACAGTATAGCACGCAGTCCGTGCTTTACCACAGTGTCCTGGATGGCTCTAGCTAGCATGCCCGGACTATCCATAGTGTTCTCCTGTAACATGAAGTATATCGGCGGTGAACCAGACTCAATGAAATCGCTCAGATATTTCGCCGGACTGTATTGCACTTCTTCCTCTATAAATACATAGCTCGACGTATCTTGCCACCATCAGCGATTCATCAGTCCCCACCACGGCTGGACGAAGTGTTTGACATACCAATCATGTTGTCCCAGTCACCTGGCCTTAGAACAAGCACTTCTGGGCAGAAATAGGTATGGGGAATCTCGTTGTCGGTCATGAGTCTTCCCCCGGTAGCTGACGAGATCCCGTTAAAGCCTAGAACATGTTGCCGGAATTTGTTAATAGGCTCGATAATGCTGAGTTTACCACGCCATTAGTTCTAAACAATAACCTCAAATTCTCTTCAGTTTCGTAAGCTCACGTGTTCCAGAGTGTCTCCTCAACGAGCGCATAAGACAGAAGATTCGCCGTGTTCTGGTCCATGTTTTCACTACCTTCTATATGGGCCCACGGATGGGGAAGTTTCTTTGTCGGACTCCAGATTATAGTCGACATGATATGCAGAGGGATTGAAAGACGTTCAGCACAGTGAATATGCGCGTGTGCTAATGGATTCGCAATAATCGCGTCTGCGAGGAATGGTCGGCATTCACCGTTGTATGACGCAATGCACGCTCTCCATGAGTTGTGATAGCTTTGATATAGTGAACGCTTGACGCTACCGACAGCCTTGTTCATAGCATTAGGCCCACGTAGCCATTCTGTACTACCTATGTCGCTCTGGTGGCTACCGTCAGTCAAGTAGTATCTCCGGGGCAGTATAGGTCAAATACGTGCCATCGGATGGATTATATCCTGGCTAATTGCGAAAAAATCCAGGCCGTAGTCTTTCACCAATGATTCGCATGAGACATGCGTAGCAATCCGAACCCGATGTGAGTCCTGGAGCAGCCGTTTGCCGACCGCAATAAATGGCTCAATATTTTCTATTATGTTTTTCATTTAGTGATGATCAAAGCAGGAGACTAGTACGTGGGACTTTTACCTCCAACGACCATTATCACAATGTCTAAGGGCACTCCTCTAAGCTCCGGTCGTACTTGTCTGTCGGATGGGCCATCTTCTGGCAGGATTTGAGAGTTGCACCGCACGTTTACCAACCGTGGCTGCGCTTTTGGTCGCAGAAAGGCTTGGATGAAAGCTGATGTACGCGACCCGCATCCTAGATGGGTGCTAAACTCTCGATTTTCTTCGGGCATAGCAGAGAGAATGTTAGCAATTCTATCCAGACATTATACTCTTCTCAGCTATAGATGCCGCACCATGAACTGTAGCCCAACCACTCCCTCGTTGGGAAGCATTTGTGAAATCAGGTGCAAAATCCGGCTCCACCGTCCACAAAGAAGCCTCAGAGGAAGCAATCGAACTAGCTGGAGGTGAATACGCCGGTGGTGGATCGGAACTATGATCTGGTGCCTGGTGCTTCCCGTGTAACTGACTATTTTTCTTGTTTACCATTTTCTTTGTTCAAGGAAGCTTCGAGCAGGGTAAAGATTCAACAATTGGAAGTCGATCAGGCTCTGCTTTTCACCGTCGCTTGAAGCTCAAAGTCTTCCAGGTGAACAGGAAGCAAGGAAAACAAAGTATGAAGGAAAATGCAACCTGGACCCGGCATTCTGCTCTCAATATAAGAGCTACAGCGGTTGACTATGCCCTGGTAATAGCGTGGCCTGAAACGGAACGACTTGATTCCTGGAACTCGACGACTATTTTCAGGATGTAAATATCCAAGGTGTCAATTCTATTGGCCCAAGTGAGTGGGTCCCTGAAGAAGCTTGTCGGGTTCGTATTCGGCTTCGGACCTTAACTTCCCGTCACGACCCATACGGTTAGGATGGAGCGTCTTGTTGACTGCCTGGGATGTCCTTGTCTATCAGCATATCAACAATTTCAATTCAAGGTCGAGTTGCTTACAAAGTCACAACTGAGTGTGCATAAAAGCTGGGGAGTCCTGTCCCTACCAACTTCAAGCGACTAAGAGTATGCGAACCGGGTCCGGTTTGAAAGGGCGTCGGTCCCATCAGAAGTCACGAACCGGTTGCCAACAATGCAAGCAACGAAAGGTAAAGGTACATCGGCCTCTGAGTGGAAAAGATACCATATGGTAGTGGAGCGACTGACCCAACTTTAGTGTGGGGAAGAGAAACCGACTTGTGGCAACTGCAGGAGACATGAAGTGGACTGTTCCTTTGCTTTCTCCGCCCAGACGAAGGGCCCGACCTCAATTGATAACCAGCTATCACCTCGCAGTCGGACCATAACACCCCTACGTACCCCCGGGACGATCCACTCTGGCTCCCCAGGGAATGACAGCCAACTACAGACTGCCGCTAGCTCTGAACTGCATATTCCAGACTTGGAGTTACTGCACCATTATACTACCTCAACCGCATACACATTCTCGCTCCACCCACTCCTACAGACATTCTGGCGAGTTGAGGTCCCTCGAATTGGGTTCACCGCACCATACACTCTCCGGGCAATCCTAGCCATATCAGCTCTGCACCTGGCCTTTTTGCGACCAGAGAAAATCCAGTTCTACATCACACTGGCGAAAACTCACCATGAAGCAGCACTAAAGCTCGCTACTCCCGAGATGGCAAACATCGGCCCGGATAACTCGGCTCAGTTATTCCTCCTATCGGCCTTGTCATCCTTCATCAGCTGTGCGAAGCCGCTCAAACTGGGTAACTTTTTCCTTTTGGAAGACAACAACATCGCCGACTGGCTCCTGCTTATCCGGGGCACCGGAACTATACTGGACTTTGCCGATGAGTCGCTCAAATCGGGGCCGTTGGCGTCGATGTTCAGCGTCCGGGATCAACTTCGGAACTTCAGAACTAGTCGGCGGCATCATGTTCTAGAAGAATTGCACCAGCTTATCCTGACCGAGGTCCATGATCAACACTTGATCCATATGTACATTGGCACGCTTGATGAAATGAACAGATCGTTCGCGATGTGCTTAGAACATCATCTGCGCCTTGAGACAGCGGATGTCTTTGTCTGGCTAATTCGTGTGCCATATGACTTTCTAGTATTACTAAGGAACTACGAGCCCTTGGCCTTGGTAATCCTGGGTTATTTCTGTGTACTTCTGCATCAATTAGAGTGGATGTGGTTTATGAAAGGCTGGAGTACTCATCTTCTTTCGCAGATCTATGATCAGCTCAGTCCGACATATCGTGTTTGGATTCGATGGCCGATTGAGCAAATCGGCTTTCTTCCGCCTACGTGATATCTCGCATTCGCTCAGGAAAGAGACCTCCTACTCCTGATGGGCTGGTAATGGACAGTCTTCTAGGGATTAGTGTCGCCGTCCTTGCTTTAACTAATTCCCTGTGCCTAACTTTCCAGAGCACCCAGGGCATGGCTTTTTCTACCTAAGCATTTCCAGATGTGAGGTTAAGTGATCTTAGATGCAGCCGTGGCAAGCTATATATACAAGAAAAATGGCATTTTCCCATTTCTTTCATGGGAATTGTGGACTTGTCTCAGCGAGACCCAAATTTCAGCCTCTCTCTTTCATGCTGCACGCCGGAAGGTGCATCAACAGCCCTACAGAGCGACTGTTGATCGGCATCGAGAACAGCCGCTTAGACTTGTGCCTCAGCCGACAGAGACCAATGGATTCAATCCAAAGAAGGTTACCTCGCCTATTCAAAGCTGTTCCGCCGTGCATGATATAATTCAGCTCTCAAGTCGGGGAACACCATATATCATTCCTACGGTATATCGGTGCTTAAGAATCAACACAGTGCGGCCTTCACTCATACATTGCCTCATATATGTCGATGATGAATATTAGATCGCTACTATCATATCTGGCGAGCAGTGGACCCCATTCCACTTCCCTTGAATCACAATTTACCCCGTGACAACTGCCCCAGGAATATACAGATTGCCAAGAGTGCTCTTCTTCGAGACGGCATTTGCGACTCATTTCCAGTTCCTCCATCATAGATATCTTAAGGCTTGCAACAACGCTACATATCCATGTCCTGCATAATATGGATAATCAATGCACTATTCTATTAGTTTACAAAGCGCTTAATAGTCAGCATACTAGCCAACAACGACCAATCAATGGTGACTCGTCTCAGCCCGGCTATTCACTTAACCGACAAGGGCGCAGATAGTTACACAGTGTAACTATTGGGACGTACCTACTAGGGATGTGAGAAAGCCATTACGCTAAGGAAACACAAAAAAGAACACTCATTCTAGAAAGCCCGAGAGCAGGACAGGACGGGACAGGACAGGACGAGGCAGTCAGAAAGGGAGGGGGCCAACCTGGCATTGCAATGCATGACGGGCCGCGGCGTGGTTTTGTGGGTTTTGTAGGTTCAGTGGTTCAGTGGTTCAAGTGGTCGAATTAATTAGAAGCCGAAACACAAAACAACAGGGATTAACGTGTCACCGACACACTATTTGCGGCTGAGTCTCTGGGTGGTGGACATACAGCAAAGTAACAATTATTTTTATAATAATTTATTTTATTCACTTTAATGGATTATTGTATTTTGAGAATAAGAGTTAAAAAATAACGATTGGGAAAAAAAAAAAAGAAAAGAAAGAAAGAAAAGAAAAAAAAAGTTTCTTTTTCTGGGGAAAACACTTAATCAACAGTATTATTAGTGCTTTTGAGAATTTAATTTCTTACATCGTGGCTCTATTTTCTGTAGATCGACTATCACTCCTTCTCAGGTTCGATACTACGGAGGTAGGTAAAATGTCAGTAAAATGTCAGTAAAATGTAAGTAAAATGGAAGTAAGATGTAAGTAGAATCGGGTTGGAAATGGCCAGGAGTTGGAATCGACTACCTAGTAGAGACTAGTCTTTAACTATCAATAGTGACCAAGAATTCACGTATGCAGTGGCCATGTACTTAATATAAATTCTCAATCCCAGTACCCAAACAGCTGAATCTTTTGGCAAGAGCAAATGTAAATCGATTGTGCAATGGATCTCATTCAAAAATTCATAGAGCACGTTGAAGGTAAGAGCGGATACAATCCATCGCCCTCAAAAAAAAATAAATCACATGACCCGTAACAGTAAGAACGGGGTTATTGTCACAGTCTTCGTGTTGCTGATTGGTTGTTCTTTGACCAGCTACCATCCAAGCCCTCTATCCAGCCCGAGTGGTAAGCCCACTCTACATCCATCTATACAACAGTGCTATCTCAGTTAAATCACTCATTAACGCCGATCTAGCACGTCGAAACAGCAATATCCCTCTTCTTCGGTATCTCCCTCGTAGCAACTACCATCCAAACCTATGCTCTATTCCTCCAACGAAACGAACATCGCCAAGCTGCCATATGCGACGCCGATCACCTCTCCGCGATCCAATCCGTCATAATGCAATACATCGGGCTCTATCTAGCCCTGGTGGCAGCGAGGCAACGTGGGCTGCCATTCATGCTGAGCCAGCCGGCTCTGGTCTGGCTCGGAGTTGCCCTGTTATTCCCTTTCGTTGGTCTTGTTGTATACCCGAGTCATGATTTTCTGACTCCGTTTTTCCTTTTCTTTGGTGGTCTTGGAGGTAATCTTGTGTCGGTTCTTTTACTGCAAATGAAACCGGCGATGATGTTGGTGTAGTGTTTATATTCGATGGTTTGGTACAATGTCACGTGGTGATGTCCTGGACAGTTTCCTAAGCAGGAACCTTTACGATACATGTACATGTCCTTGATTGGGCTAATTGTGTTTCTCTTTTCAACCTCAGATCCATTTCTGGAATGTTGACAACAGTGTCAAAAGTATCCAACGCAGAATACTATAGTTTCGAAAGGGATGTAGGGCTATATGGAGTCCGTATAGTTCGTCGAGGTAAAGATATACTCTCCCTGAAGGCCTAGAGTGTAAACGCCTTTCCATGTAATAGAATAGATTTTTAAAGAAACTTAGCGTTGATTGGTATCGGCTCACTTGGCTAAGTGTTCGAAGGATATATCCAATGCTCCAGAAGATATTGAGATCATACCAAGGAACTTGCGGATAAGTTCAGTTTGTTACATTAGTTGCATAACCATTCGGAACAAGTCGCTTATACATAAAAAAACTAACGTCTATATAGAAATACCTATATAGGAGCGTATTAAATCAATCTATAATATAAGGCTATTGATAATGAATCTAGGATGCTTGACATGATTCTTATGATGACTGTTACCATTGTTGTTTTGCTATTTTGTTTGAACCCGAATGCTAGGGCGCGGATATATATATAATCGGTCCAATGCACCGAAAAATTGCCGATATATATATTTTTCCGGCGGGCCGATCAATAACCTTCACATGCAGTTCGGAACAAAGGTCGGCAAAATCGGTTGTTTCTTTCACAACATATATAATCCATTGACAACATAACTGTTCTCCCCCATCTTTGCAATAGGAATGCAGCTTTTATTATTATATGCCCGTAGGTACACCTCTAAAACGGTTAATCATCGCCAGTTGCTTTGAAAATAAATATTCACAATTTACACCTATTGAAACATGCGACATGACGGCCTCAAGAACCGAGGGAATAAAAGCTAGAACAAGGGAAAATAAAAGGAAGGATACAAAAGAGAACCACCAAAGAAGACATATCTTAGAATATATAACAAACACTCCTTTACTTTTTACCCACTACTCCCTTAATGAGCGGCCATCAACTTCTTGATCTCCGCGATAGCACGGGCGGGGTTCAGGCCCTTGGGGCAAGTCCGCGAGCAGTTAAGAATGGTGTGGCAACGGTAGACGCTCATGCTGTTATCCAGGGCGTGCTTGCGCTCGGCGGTCTTCTCGTCACGGGAATCGGCCAACCAACGGTAGGACTGGAGGAGGATAGCAGGTCCGAGGTACTCCTCGCTGTTCCACCAGTACGAGGGGCAGGAGGTGGAGCAGCAGGCACACAGAATGCACTCGTAGAGGCCATCCAACTTCTTGCGGTCTTCGGGACTTTGACGGTATTCAAGGCCCTATGTATATGTTAGAACATTTACCATTGCCGTTGGAGGTCTGGAATAAGATGAAGGGACTCACATCCTCGGTCTTCGTTTCGCGCTGCAGGTAAGGCTTGATTGACTTGTATTGCTTGTAGAACTGGGTCAGATCGGGTACCAGATCCTTGACAACGTAGGTGTGAGGCAGAGGGTAGATGCGAGACTCCTTGGCGGTGTCGGTAGGAATGCGGCCTATATATAGCACAGTCAACACCCCAATTCCTCCATAGTTGCGCTTAAAACTTGGCGAGTGACGTACACAAGCAGGCCAGAGTGTTGACACCATCGATGTTCATGGCACAGCTTCCACAGATACCCTCACGGCAACTTCTCCGGAAAGTCAGGGTGGGGTCCATCTCGTTCTTGATGCGAATGAGGGCGTCGAGCATCATTGGTCCGGTCTTGTTGAGGTCCAGGGAGTAGGACTGCATCTTGGGCTTCTCAGTCGGCTGATCGGGATTCCAGCGGTAGACATGGAAAGTCTTCGTGCGTGGCGTCTCGGACGGGTTGGGGTCCTGTGCAGTTCAAGTCTTAGATTCGTGAACAGTCTTGTTACTGACATAACCTGTTCCGCTCACCTGAGCAGCCGCATCGACGGTCGCATAGGAGCGAGCGAAGACAGCCGGGCGGAAAAGAGGCTTCGAGGATGCGACAAGGCGCGAGGTTGAGCGAAGAGCAGCCATGGCGGGCGAAAGGACACTTGACGCGCAAAAAGAGAAAATGGGATGAAAATGGGATAAGAAGTGGGGAGAGGCGGAGAAGATGGAGGAAAAGAGGGTGGCAGTCGTCAATAGAGAGAGGAGAGGGGGCGGTCAAGTCAACCAAATGAACAGCCAGCCAGCGGCAGCGACGAGATGAAGTCGAAGGGAGTTGGAGAATGATGTTTGTGAGCTTTACCCAAGAGGTAACCTCGGGTTTGACGGCCGGCAGGCGGCTTACTCAGCCCATGGGCCAATCACGCAAAAGCTAATTGCAAGCGTCGGGGATACACGGCGAATCTTCACTCGTTCTTTGGGGAAATTCAATTCCCTTTTCCTCGCACGTGAGAAGCGAGACAACTACGACGGCAGAATATTTGCGAACAACAAAAAAATCATTGCAACCAAACTGTCAGAGATTGAGGGCCGCTGAATTGTACGCACACACACGACTAAATCACACTCTTCAAACCCTCTGTTCTTCTTATTACATCACGAGTCAATTTGCCTTCGCCAATTGCCGCTTTCCCAAAGGGGAAACGGAACCGAGTCCAGTTGCCGTCTCGACCCTGAAGGCTGAGGTATGCACCGGGAAGCCGCCTTAGGCATATAGCCGCCGCCTGAGGCATAAAGGCTTCTCCCGATCATTGACTATTCCTGTTCCGGAAGGGCACCGCCTAGGTGGTTATGAAGATTTCAGGTCAATTAACCATGGTGTGGTTTTTGCTCCTTGATAAATTGACTTCCTGACAGCTAGAAACCTGAAGCATAAGGAGCTTGAACAAAAGACTGTCACTGGCCCCATGCTTGGATATTGCTTCTGCTGGACAAGAATGCAAGTTGGTTGGTATTCATATGTCGTCTCTTCCCAGTTCCGGCCTACGGAACATTCTTTTTGCTGGCACTGAAAGAGACCTTCGGGTTCTTTACCCCCTTAATTAATTGGCCTTGTCTCGAGCCAAATAAGGGTCACCTGATTGTGGCTACCAATCCACTGTAAGCCAGCCCACTGGACACTATGCCATCTCTGAAAGAGTCCATGAGCATCCCGCCTGTCATCAGAGCTTATTAGGAGGTTGAAGGTTGCTTCTGCACTTGGTGCGAAGGAAGGCCAGCTTGAGTTCCTGCTCCACGGGATGGTACCTTTTGCTAAATGAAAGCAATGGCTTCCTGGAGACGAAAATGGTTCATTCGCACTAGTACTGCGAGCGCTGAAAAAGCCTACGAATTTCTATGCTTATAGACGAGTAGTAAAGATTATGGCCATTCCCTCCGGAGGACAAGGTTTTAGAAGCCAACATGTATGCCAGCATCTATTTATTATGTCTGACTAACAATGAAAATTCGAGGTGAAGCGCTATCTTGGAAAAATAATGCTAGTGAGTGGACTGTAGTGATTTACCATTCACGAAGCCGCTGCTTTACTCTGAAAGACCTTTCATGTCATTAAGGGCCTTTGACTCCTATCATTACCTGTAGTTCTGCTTTAAAGAGTACTGCCGGCGCGCTCCGGACAGAACAGAGCTTCTCAATGGAGATAGGGGAGATGAGACAAATGCTAACGGAGGCTGAGTGATAACTAATCTAAATCGACCTTCGTATACCGATGGTTAAAAAGATGGGAGATATGCCGAAAACCCCTAAAGTAGATTAAGGGCAACGGTTGAGATGCGTAGTGACAAGCTATTCGAGTTCTCGCCGTATACGCTTTGTTGATGAGTTTATGCCCACCACGCCCTTCAGAGGGTATTATCATGACTCTAAGAGTTAACACGTAAACGGATGGCCCGGAGTTTACTTGTGTCTGATTTTCTTGTCAAGGTTTTATTCTCCGAAAGCTTTCCAAAATGCGGATCTGATATCGTCAAGGAACCGAAAACCCGAGAGGCCCACTGTGGACCGATTTCACCGCGCTTTTTGAGGTTGAATGCCCACTACACGAAAGTAGATATTGCTCCGTCGCCTTGAGCACTATTTTCTCTTAGGAATTTGAAGTAGTGGTGGAAGGGGACCTTCTGGAAAGTCGAAGATCAAACACCATCAAGAAGCGAGTAGCTGAAGCTGGAAAAGGAAGAAGAGCTTGACAGTGCTGATCAACAGCACGGAGCAACGCTGATCTCTCAGCCCTAATTCAGGTATGCCATATGAGTGTACTACATCACGTCCCAATAGTTATCTACACTCAATGTCTCCTGAAAACGTCGTTTCGGTAGATCTCCGGCTGCTTAAATCAAATGCCAAGCCGGAGAAATTGCTCCATAGTGACTGCTTTCTAATTCTGCGTCGTCCGGCGGTCCGAGACTAAAACTTTTAGACTACCGAACTAAGAAAGCCGAAGTGGCAATCGTGAAACACCATTAATGACCCTTAGCTCCTCCACCACCAAATAGCTTCAACGGCCATTATTGGCTGCCTTGGTCGGCGTATCTCAGAACCTCTATTCAGGGGAACATGGTTAAGCATCAGCTGGAGTTCGTGCCTTACACCTCGCCCGCCAATAATCCTACCGGCTTCCGACCCAGTCTGTAACGGGTTGATAAAGGAGTGGGGCCTTGATACCTCCGGTGGGAAGAATGGACCTCTCCATATAAGATTACTCAGGCGTTCTTGCCCCAGCAGACTGGGACAAGGTTTTACTTTGCAGCACCGGCCTGGCGTTTGTCGGACGTTTCATGTCCAGCCTCCACTTAGTCCCATTCTAGAACCCAATATGCTCAAAAGGGTGCTGCCTTTCACAGCTCCACCGAGCAATTGAACTCGTACTTCGAGTACATATAAAGCTGGGAACCTTCGCTCTGTTATTCCGGAGTATCAATCCATCCCTTCTTTATATCATTTACTTTTCAGTCCTTCTTTTCTTTCCATTTGTCTTTCTTTCAAACATGAAGTACGCGTCTTTCATCGCCGCTGCTGCGGCTGCGCTCGCCAGCGCCGTTAGCGCCGCCGGCGTTTCTGGTGCTGCTGAGGGTTTCGCCAAGGGCGTCACTGGTGGTGGCAGCGCTACCCCAGTTTACCCTTCCACCACCGATGAGCTGGTCTCATACCTTGGTGACAGCCAGGCGCGTGTTATCATCCTCACCAAGACCTTTGACTTCACCAACACCGAGGGCACCGAAACCAGCAAGGGCTGCGCTCCTTGGGGTACTGCCTCCGGCTGCCAGCTTGCCATCAACAAGGACAACTGGTGCAACAACTACGAACCCAACGCTCCTACTGTGAGCAGCATCACCTACAACAAGGCTGGTGTTCTTGGTATCACTGTCAACTCCAACAAGTCGATTGTCGGCCAGGGTAGTGCCGGTGTCATCAAGGGTCGTGGTCTCCGTATCGTCAGCGGTGCTAAGAACGTCATCATCCAGTGAGCATTCCGGATTTCGAGGCGTCTAACAACACATACTAATCGCGAACACAGGAACATTGCTATCACCGACATCAACCCCCAGTACGTCTGGGGTGGTGATGCCATTACTCTGAACGAGGCCGACCTTGTCTGGATCGACCACGTTACCACTGCCCGTATCGCCCGTCAGCACATCGTCCTCGGTACCCAGGCTGACAACCGTGTCACCATCTCCAACTCCCTCATCGACGGTCGCACCGACTACTCCGCTACCTGCAACGGCTACCACTACTGGGGTGTCTACCTTGACGGTTCCAACGACATGGTCACCATGAAGGGCAACTACTTCTACCACACCTCCGGCCGTATGCCCAAGGTCCAGGGCAACACCCTTCTCCACGCCGTCAACAACTACTTCCACGACGTCAAGGGCCATGCCTTCGAGATCGGCTCCGGTGGCTACGTCCTCGCCGAGGGTAACGCTTTCCAGAACGTCGATGCCCCCGTTGAGTCCCCCATCAGCGGACAGCTCTTCAGCGCCCCTGATGCCACCACTAACGAGCAGTGCAAGTCCGTCTTCGGCCGTGCTTGCCAAATCAACGCCTTCGGCAGCTCTGGTTCCTTCAGCCAGGCTGATACCGCCGTCATCTCTAAGTTCTCTGGCAAGAACATCGCTGGTGCTCACCTTGCTCAGAACATCCCCAGGTGGGTCGTGGCCAACGCTGGCCAGGGCAAGCTCTAAATCATCGAGTAAGAGATCTTTGTTCGAAGAGTGCGTGTGGGTAAGAATGTCGAAATTCTTGGGGACGATAATTAATCTTCGTGTATCTACTTCTTTTTAATACTTTAGCAAGCTACAATATTATTAAATTAGCTTGAATCATTGCGTTCGTTTAAATTCGTAGAAACGTACGACGTCACCAGCCATGAGGAACTATCGTGTCGAGCATACTTTTGTCTCTTAAGCTTGCCATTGGATGACTCCACTAGAATTGTTGAATTCAATTCAATTTAATTCAAATAGGATATCACGTCCTTAAGCCTTGCTCCTCATGACAAGTATTTCCTGTAGTCCGAACGTGCAAAATATGCACCAATAACAGAGTATTATATGCTGGTCTAAGAATAATACATAACAATTACTTAGAAAGCCATCAAAAATATGTTACTGTGTATAGATGCTCCACATATCCTCCGCAGTATAACCATGATCTGCTAAGGCTATACAGGGTCCATGATCGTCGGTGGAACTGTCAGGTCAATATAAGATCGACGGTATAGCCTCAAGAGGAAAGGATGTACGAACACACCCACCGACCCACATGTTGTCTGCTCTCACACCGTGTACGCGTAATGCCGACGGCCTTGTCGATCCGCGTTTATTTGAAACGTCTCCTACTTAAACATAACGTGCTCTTCTGTTTGCTGTAATGTTCAATTATAAGGCTTCCATGATATGTAGAATATGGCAAGCGCCAATACCACCTTTTCCGACAATTCACGGCACCCCATGACACGACTCACAAACAACGCCACCAAGACGAAACAACTAATTAACAATAATCAAGCCAGGTCCAAAGAGCGTCTCCTGAGCAACATCATTTACACTAGCAAAGGGACCAGCCCTCTTCGTCACAGCCGCGATAGTCAACCCGTTCATCAGCTTCTCATGGTATGGGAAGAGAGCCCTCGCGATAACCTTTTTGCCATCCTTAGTAGAGACAATCTTCAACTCCTCCACAATGGGAATATTCAGCTGATCCATATAAGTCAACCACAGCTTATCCCCCTTAACCTTGTACTCAGACTCCCAACTGACAAGAATAAATTGTGTCTTGGGCTCCGGTGGCGTCAGAATATCCAGCGGCTTAAACGTCGTCAACGCGATATCATCTAAATTAGGACAGGACCCTGGAATGATAAAGGCTTGAACAGCCGTGAAGGCGAAATTGACATCGCCGGTTGTGAGCGTCGGGAGTTCGCTGGGGATTTTGCCCTGGTTGACTCGGAACCAGCCTTGTTGTTCTCCTTCGTTGCCGATTGTCGCGGCGATGACTCGGGTGAGGTCGACGTCGCTATTGTCTGCGAATCGCACGGTTACGTCTTGGAATGTGGCTATGATGAGGTCGGTGAAGGTCACTGCTAGAGCGATGGCTGCGTCGAAATCTGAGACGGGGAAACGATAGCGACATGGTTCAATTGGTTCTATTTTGAAGTGTTCGAGGCCTTGGTTGGCGGTTAAGGCGTGGAGTTCCTCTTGCTGGTAGCTTCTCTTAGAGGATTTTATCGGAAACGCAGGTATGCATGTTACTTACGGCGAGTATCGCTACCAGGGATTCTATTATGAAATCTCGTTTCTTGGGATTTGGAATCAGATAACCAGGTACGCTCTTCGTGATGTTCAACAGTAATTCGTTGAAGAAGGCGACTTCAAACAGCTCATTGAACGCTATCAGTTGGAGATTGGCGATTCCGTCCTTGCTGATCTTTGATGGGAGGGGCGTATTTGGTAGAGTGCCATGTGCTCTTAGCTGGATTTTCTTTAGCTGCTCTTCACTAGGATTTGGCATGCCATCGGGAAGGGGTATATCAGCACGGGGCCAGATGTTTGGAATTGCGAGGCTATGGGCTATCATAAGGACCAAATGGATGATGTGAGTATTGAGTTGCATTTTGGCATATGGTAAGAATGATGACACCTGTGCTTGCTTTGGCCAAATCGGACGACAGGATAGTCTCAAGTATAAAACCAGAAGAATGTTTGCTACTGGCAATAGTCGTGCGACTAAATAGAGGGGAAGAGAAACTCCGAGTTACACACTATAGTCTGTAGCCTAGCTATCTTGCATACCGCATTTAGAAATACTTGAACCTCATGAATCCTACAGGTATGAGTGCAAGGCGCGTATGCCTTATGTCTTCATCATGAAGCATACAAGTACGTCATATAGTCTACTTCTTCCCAGATCATCATTTCACTCCATGGTAAATGTCACGGGCTATGAAGTCACCGCACATTAGAGTGCTTTAATTTCAAAACCTCTATATTCCCTGCCTTCTTCTCTTATTCTCTTCTTCCCCACCATCTCTCCCCACACAGACACATCACAAAACACATCACACACACTACACAAAATATCTCTCAGTCTACTCAGGATGCACACTCCTACCATGGCACAGGGACACACCATCCAATATTTTCTCTCCAAACTCAAAATCCTTGCAGCGAAGACCAAAAAGGTCCGATTCGAAGAGTCTGCTCTTGAGATAAAGTCTGCCTCGGAGTCTGATCCAGAGAACATTGGATGTCCCTTGAAGAGAGTACCCACACCTTATCACCACGAGATGAAGCCCGATCTGAAGTTAGAATCTGAGCCTGAGCCCTATGGACTGAGAAGGGTGCCCACCACCTACCCTGTCTTCATGGCAGCTGGAAGGATGAACTATTTGGCATGATCCTAAGCGTGGAAGAATCCTATCTATACAGGCGACTGAAGTCGTATCTGCATGTGGCTGTATTTGCCATTTTATTATTCAGCTCGTCCTATCTGTCTGAAACATCATGTTAAAGGGTGTTGTTGCATTTGCTCAAGCGAGAAGGATTTGGTTACTATCATGTACTACGCATATTCCCTTTAATGGAATGCTTTGATGTTAGTTATAAGAACTCATCTGTTTAACATAAACTGTTAGCAACGATCAATCTACTGGCTATTCCAATTGGAATATTATTTCCTTTCTCTCGTAGATGTCCCAGCGGCTTCTGTTGGCGTCATGTAAATGAGCTCATGGACTGCTGCCTATCTGACGTCTTCATGGTGTATCTTATGCGGCAAGCTGACTTTAAGTGACTGTGTGATATACCAAGGGTTTTGGAATGAGTAGCATAAAGCGTATTGGAATATGATCAGTCCAGTATGAAGAGCTAAAAGTTGTACATACAAATGTCTAAGAACGGAAAGTGTATAACAACACGCTAGTCGCTAAAGCAGCAAGAGAATGCAAAAAAAGAAAAGAAAAGAACAAAGAAGAATCACACAATAAAGGCTCAATCGTAAGATAAAAGAATAACCAATAAACAAGTGCCAAGAGAAAGAAGTAATCGCGGTCTTTTGTTTTCTTTTCCTTTTTTCTACCGGTGCCACAGGACTTCCGGTCAACGGTAAATATCTGCTTTCAAGTTTCGGTGACTTTGGCCATCCTCAACCTCAGCTCGCGGAAGCATAGTTATAACTGCTGTAGTAAGGACTCGGAGTGTAACAACTGTAAGACGAATTTCCATAAGAAGAAGTATTCCCGTATGGGGAAGTATTTGCGTAAGAAGACGTATTCGCATAGGAGGAGTTCGCGTAGGAGGATGAAGTCGTATAGGAGGGTGTATTCCCATAAGATGACGTAGTCGAGTAGTTGTACCCATAGGAAGGGCTATGAGAGTAATCGCCATAAGACGGGGTTGAATTCTGCGTACTTCTCCCCATGGAGCTGAAGATGCTCGGCGGAGAGTAAGCAGATAAGGGAGAGCTGCTTGAGGATGAGGCCAGCACGCCGATGGAGGTATAGGCGAGTGGTGTGGAAGACTGAGGACGAGTCGTCGTAGGAAGGGAGAATTGGTATTGGCTTTTCGCGCTGGATTTAAATTCCGTTGGCTGGAAGGTGGACGCTCGCGGGTCGAGGACTTTTTTCGAGCCGGACAATGAATTGCTCCAGCGGGATTGAGATAGCCCGGCAAGTTTTGGCTCGACTTGCTTGGGCTCGGGCTGCTTGGATTCCTTCTCAGCTTCGGTTCCACTGGCCTTGGAGGTGGTTTCTGTGATGGCCTTCTTGTCCTCCTCAACGGGCTTCTCTTGCTTCTCGTCGTCTGCCCATCTTGTGTTCTCTTGTTTCTCTTCTAGCAATGCTGCCCTCTCTGGTTTCTGTTCTTCCCGCTGGGGTTCCTCCTGTTTCACCTCGTCCAGCTCTGGGATCTTCTGGCTCTCAACCTGCTGAATCACCTGTTTCTCTTCTTGGTCCTCAGCGATGTCCTCAATCCATTGAGCAGAAGTGCCCTCATCCTCTTTCTCCTCGACCATATCAACCACAACCTTGACCTCCACCTTCTCATCTATCGTCTCCTCTCCAATATGTTCCTCGTAGACCTCCCCCTCAACACCATCTTGTTGCTCCCACCTCTGCTCCAAATGGTCTCTCTGTCCCTCCTCCTCCTCCTCTCCAACTCCCTCACCCTCCAACACCTCAACCTCCCCAACCCCCACAGAAACCTCGTCCTCACCCAAAGAACCAGATCCTCCAACCTCATAACCCTGCACACCAACAACAACACCCCCATCAAGATCGCCAAGCCCCTTCTCACTCTCCCCATCTCCAGCCGAACCCTCAACACACTTCTTATCCGACCCCTCCTGAGCCAAAAATCTCTTCCCAACCCCATTAACAATCGTCATCTCCCCATCCCCAACTCCCCCATTTACCCCATCCCAACCCCCAAAGTCCCCATCCCCATTCTCAAACCCAGATCCGGACCCCCGAATAACCTCCTCCACAATCCTCGCCGAAATAACCCTAACCGCTTGACTCCGACGCTGGCGCTCTCGTTCCCGCCGAGTAGACCGCCGCTCCTCGACATGGTCCTGGTACAGGGTGAATCTGGTCTTGAACCAGAGAGTGAAGACTGAGGCCAGGACGAGGGTCGTGGTTCTTTTGCCGACGATGGAGAGGATTAGGAGGAGGGTGAGGAGTTGGAGGGTTATTGTTAGGATGTTTGGTTTTGGGGACATCTTTTCTTTTCTTTTTTTTGGGGAGGGTTTTCTTTTTAGGTTGTTGGAGATTAGTGGGTATTTCAAGTAAGTCAACTGTCAAAGTTGGTCTGATGAGAATTAGTGAGGATAGAAGATAAGTAGTAAAAGTAGAGGTAGAAGTAGAAGTAGTGGTAGAAGTAGTGGTAGAAATATCAACCAAATATTTATACTACAAGAACCAAATAGACAAATAAATAAATAAGATAAAAAAAGCCCAACAAAAAACAATCAAGTCGGCGTCTAATAAATAAACAAAACCTCAAGCCAAAGAAGAAGAAAAAAAAGAAGACCCCAAAATCTAATATATCATAAATCGCCCAAGTCTCAGACACAACCCACCCACAAGCCACAGGGGAGAAAATGGGTGCCCAAAGGCATGCGCACGAGGCTGATTACTACTTCACCCAAAAGTCAAAAACAAGGCAAGAACTAAACAAAAAATGGGGACCCAAGAGAATAGGGACAGGGACAGCTAAGCTATTTTTGGACGGGTAAGCTGCAATATACAACTCATCGTACGTGGTTGTTGTGTTCTTGCGGTAAGGCAAGTCGAGCCACGCATGCGAGTTGCCAAGGGTTTTGGGCAAATGGTGTTTGGGGGTTTTTGTGGGACGGATGGGTTTTGTGAATTGTCTTTTTTTTTATTTTTTATTTTTTTTTTCTCCCTTTTCTTTACTAGGGGATTGTGATTACTGTTTTTGTTATTGTCGGTGGTATGGTCTTTTTATTTTTCTTTCTCGGTTTTTTAATCTGAGGTAGGGTATGACAAGGCACGGGGTCCAGGATAGAAAAATAAGGTGCGGTGGACTATCCATAACCTTAATGAGACAGAGAACGAAGAGCGCGATCGGCGCGGACACATCCGAATCCTTGATGCATCCTGCACGCTAACTAACTACTAGTAGTAACTTGTCCAACGGCGGTCAAGTCTAATTGGCTCTAGCCCACTGAAGCAGAGCGAACAATTGACGCCTATTCTCTTCGATCTCCGCCCGCTGAGTGGTTGCTTCGCGAGACGGTTACAGATATCAAGGCATGCGATGTGTCGCGTGTATATTTGGCCACATTTTGGGGATATCATGGAGCTACTATTACAAAAAATAAGACAAAACGGACGCTTGCGCTCAACTTGCAGACCGAATAAACAGAGATGAAATTCCTCCCAATGCGGCAATCGCCGTGTAACCTTTCCAAAGGAGCTGAAGCGCGTCGGTGAAGGCATCCTTGTCTTCCTGAGGCGCATATGCGCTAGAATGTCTGCCTATGTACCCGGTTGACATGTCAAGCATGTCTTTGGATGATAGATAGTTAAATATGATGGTCCCGCTGATGGGGATGGCGATGCACATTCCCCATGTGCGAAGGATCGAGTATATCAGTATTGATGTCGTGGATACTTTCGCGCTTTCACGGGTTTCCTGTCCCTGGTAGAACCTCACAGTGTCTACATGGATACAAAGGTTGTATCCGAGAGTGAGGAGAGCAGAGCCCAACCCAGCGACCAGGAAGATAATGACCCAACCGTATGTTGGAATCGATACATTTAGTAAAATTGAACAACCAGTTGCCGTAGTAGTAAACAACCAGCCTATACGGGTAATCCAGATGGAGATGTGTGGCCGTCGAAAAAACTGCCCTGTGCCCGAGATCATAAGAGCAGGTACAGTTAGGCCTGTGAGAGCAATCAGACTCAGTCCTATTAATGTGGTGTTGAGCGACTTGACGAAGATGAGGTAAAGTGGCAAATAATGGAGGTGGGAGGATAACTAGAATTACTATTAGCAGGTTATTCTTTCAAGTAGATTGATGACCCAGCGCGGACTTACAATAAATCCATGCAAAAGGCCGCCTGTCTGCAGCATTGTTGATGAGAGGTCCCGAAACACCCTCGAACTGAACATTGGTTGTATGGCCCACATTGTCTCGTGGAGAATCAAAACAATTATAAAGGTGCCACCAACACAAATCGGCACTAGTGTTTGCCAGTTATTCCAGGCATTCTGTGTTCCCCCCCAGCCGATTCCAGTAAGTAGAGTTCCCATGCCCAGCAGAGTCAATATGGCACCTATCCAGTCCATAGTACGGAACTTGCTTGTAGCACTAAGCTTGTTTTCTTGCCCATGCCCTCTCAGATCCAGTGCGAATGGGATCACCAACAGGCCCATTGCGCAAAACACGAAGCTAGAATAGAAAGCCCAAATATAGGTTGTATAGTCATGGTATACCCCGCCAGCAACTGAACCGATCACCATACCGATCATTTGGGCGCGGAAGATGTAGGTCGAAAATTGGACTTGATGTGACTTTGGAATAAGGTCCGCAACGATTAAAAGCGAAATCCCCACCACCCCTCCTCCACCAATTCCCTGGATGAATCGACCCGCTACCAGCACCGACAGGTTCAGAGAACCACCGCATATGCCTGTACCAGTTGTCGCGACAACAGCGGACGAAAGTAGGATAGGTCCATGGCCAAGTACCTCAGCCAGCATGGCGAAAAGACCTTGACCGGTCGCGTTGCCAATGAAGTAGGACGTGTTGATCCAAAGCGCGTTTTCAAGGGGCTGCTGAAAGATACTTGAGAACCCCTACAGCAATTCCACGTCAGATTCTGAAGCCCCACGGATTGATATACGCTATTGTAGACATACATACTGGCATCAAAGGAATAACCACCGTCGTATTAAACGCATCCATCATCACTAAAATCGATACGCACGTTGTGACAAGCCACTCTCTCACGCCCGGAATCCATTCTGGCTGCCTCGTATTATCTTCTCGGTAGGTGTATTGGGTCGCCGTGGCGAAGTCTGTCGCATGGTTCGTGATCAAACATTGTTGGCTGCTTTCTCGGTAGGAACATGATCCGGATTCATTATCCGTGTGGTACAGATCTTTGGACTCCACGCCCATTGGATGTAAGAGGCCGTAGAACGAATCCTATATGGTAAGGAATCTATCAAGATACAGCGTATACGCAGTGCCTATGGAGGTTGACTGAAAGTGCAGCAACAGCAACAAGAAAGGAGAAAATTTTTCTTTTTCGGTATGGAGTCACGCAAATCAGTAACATTTATAGAATCCATATGAGCTGGGGAGGCGGGGAAGTATGCATGCAAGGGATATCAATATCGGGACATTTTACCATGTTGTAAGGCCAGGACACAAATGATACGTAGTCTCGGGGTTGCGAGAGAGGATAAATCTTGGTGATCAGCGCCGATCATCGAAGTCCTACATTCCAGTCATGGAGGTTCGCCGTTACACCTCACATCCGAGAGTTATGATTGGGTAAATGGCCAGCTGGTATGTGAACTATGTCACAGGGAACACAGGACAAGATTTAATAGCTGTGCTCCAGCTGGATAGCTTTCCGAGTGATCTTGGGCTCTTGGTGTTCAGGCACTTATTGAGTCAGTCGACATATGTTTGGAATGACACCTTTCCAGGGTGGCAAGAAGTCAGGCGACGCTTGAATCCCGTGAAATGAGTGCTCTTGTAGTTGTACGACTCATCGTTGAAGTTCTTAGACAGCACCCTGCATGAGGAGTTGCTGTGTTGAGCTGTGTAGGTTTAAGGCTGTAGGGTAAGACAGCCACTATGGGGCCCCGCCTCACTGTTTTATTGCTGCAGATCGTCCAAGAGAGGGTAGCTGCCATATATGTACAAGAAGTCCAGGTTTTCCCGAGACATTGATTCGGTTCAGCTCGCTCCGACCGGTGACGGCGTCGCCCGCAGGAAGATCATCTAATTTAAACTGGGGCAATACATAACCGCCTATGCCAATTAAGAAACGCATGGCCCCTGCCATAAACTCAGCAATGTCTTCACCAATTCATCACGGAACTAACCCCATTCCCGGAGATACTCCCCAGCCACCGGATGGAATTAACACATTGCCGAGGGGAAGAGTCTCAACTAAAAGAGCTTTATTTCCCAAAACTCACAAGAACACTTGATCCATTCCTACTTTCGTTCATCGCGACGTACGTAATAGTCTCCGCCACGCGTTGGGGAATTATTAGACTCAAGATTGGCCTCCTCACATCCGTGCGCAAACCCAGCAGTAAGTCATGTGGGTGTAAAGAAAGGCACAACAGCGTTGACCCTGAACCATATTGCTGAGCGACATTCTATGATGCTCATGACAGTTCCACGACGCCATGATTAGAGGCTACGTAGGCCGTCACTTCCGTGCCGCCAAAGTAACCTGACACTGAGGCTATTAGGAAAATAAATCCCAACGGCAATTGTTTGGATTTCATATGGTGGGGAGCGAGTCTCAAGACTTGAAGTAAAGTTAACATGGAACATTGGCCTGACACGCTGGACGAGCAAGAAATAAAAATACGGCGCACCAACCGTTTTAAATTACCCCTAATATCAATATCAATGACTCGTAACCCCTCTATATATTGACTCCTCTAATTCCCATCCCCATATACATCATCTAGATCAAAGACAGGCAGCGATTACATCATCTCCGCATTGGCGATGACGATATCTATGGCCCCAAAATGCTCCGCAGCGCGCTTGAAGAGTGTAGTCATCTGCTGCCAATCCAAAAAAACCAGCTGCGATGAATAACAGGTTTTCCGGACTGAAGGATCCCTGTATAAGCTTTTCTGCGGCATGCCGACATATTTCCAGATCGGATTTTGCCACTTTGGGTGTGATGGAGATTGAAGAGCAAAGCTGTTGCTGCTGCCCCAATACCGTTGGCGTCATCAAGTAAAAAGAACAACCTTTTCAGCTACCTGGAAGAGAAGAGCTGGATCTGGACTGATTTGTTGCGTCATACATCGCTGTCTAAGATTTTGATGGAATGTAATGTTACAAGGAAGTTGAGGTTAGGTTCAGGCTAAAAGGGTTTGAGTGATTGACGTGATCAGCTGCGGGGTTCAGCCACCGGGGATTTCAAAGCCACGAGACATTTCTTTTATTCTTGGTATTCGCTAGTATGCATTCTCTATGAAGTCTTCATAAGTCTAAGATCTCCTATGGTATCTTATCAGTGACGCTGAAGTTGATGCCAGTGGCTTGCTACGATCAGAGACATTCCATGTTACCTAGAAGCTGCTATCTCTACCTGAAAGAATGCATTTTTCCTATTGAACAACCCATGTATAAAGATTCAGATTATAAAGACCCGGAAGGTACTACGCAGACCGGAAATCCGGTCTTACAAGCCGGTGAGGTTTAATCAATCAGCTTGCACAATGCAAGCCGGCACCCTAAGGGGAGGGGCTAATCAATGGCTTCAATGGCCTTTGCGTATACCATTCACATGTACAAGCGCACAGCCTGCAGCACAGGGTGACAGACAACTGTCAATCACTAGCTAGGCTAATGAGGAAGACATTCCACATTAGGCATCTCCCCGTGAATTTTAAAAAGGTAGCACCAAGTGGTACCGGCCCAAATGGACCGTCACCACCTCCCACGGGCCTTTATAGGTCGTATATGCATTAAGGTGATTATCGAGCCTAGTATACCGACATAGCCACCATCTTTACTGCCAGTAATATGTGTTGGCAAAAGGGATAATGCTGCCTCTATGGGTCAGCTATAATGGAAACCCCGCACGAACTAGGGCTTTCGAGGCTTCTATCGCAACAATTTAAGCGTTTTGCAACCTCGCTGGCCATAAGAGATGATGAGGGCCATGTTTCGTACGCTCAGCTTCACGCAAAAGCGCTAAACCTCGCTTATCATATCCGATTTCTACAAGTTAAGACTGAAGTTCCAATTGGGATTCTCTCACCACGAGGTATAGATCATGTTGTTTCGCAGATTGCTGTCATATATGCTGGGGGAACGTGCGTTCCATTAGACGTGAACCATCCTGACCACTATTTGATTGATATACTGAGAAATATCGATATCTCCGTTTTGTTGACCGATCGAGCCAATTCGCATCGACTGGAAGCCCAGGGACTTAGTCAAATTGCGGTGGACCACAGGTCACTACATACCGTAGTGTGTGAGGAGCTTGGGCAAGATGTTATTGATCTACCGCCATCGCAATATCGATCGCATATCTTTCATACGTCTGGTTCAACAGGTCGTCCAAAGCCTGTGCAGGTGCTCGCCAGAGGAATTATCAACTACTGCCTTAATGAAACGTTTGTCCCGGTCCGGGAAGGTCAGCAATTTGCTCATCTTAGTAATGTCACGTTTGATGTGTCTATCATGGAGACACTTGGATCGTTTCTCCGTGGTGCTACGGCAGTAGTGCTAGATCGTGACACCGTGCTTGATCCCGCCAGGTTGGTGAAACGTATACGGGAAGATAAGATCGATGTACTCTGGCAAACTCCAGCGCTATTGGCTGTGACGATAAACGCCTACCCACAAGCATACATAACAGTTGAAACGCTTCTTACCGGTGGAGAGGTAGTGACGGCTCAACTGGCGCGAAAAGTCCTAGAATATGGTCCACCGAAGCGGCTGTTGAATCTTTACGGCCCGACAGAGTGTACGATGTTCTCAACATTCCACGACATCTCAATAGAAGATGTAGAGAGGGGTACTATTCCTATCGGGAAGCCGATGAGTGGATACGAGGTCATAGTAGTGAATGACAGCCTTGACGTCTTACCCCGTGGAGAACTTGGGGAACTGGTAATCGGTGGCAAAGGAGTCGCAGGAGGATATCTCAGCGAGTCCGAGAAGCCCGGCAATGCATTTATCCAGCTGGGACACTTTTATCCCGATCAACAGGTGTATCGAACAGGAGATCTTGGACGGTGGAATCTAACTGGGTTGCTCGAATTTGTAGGTCGACGAGATAACCAAGTCAAAATACGAGGTCATCGTATCGAGCTTGAAGCAGTCGAGGCTATTCTGATGGCGACAGGGTTGGTTTCAGCGGCGGCAGCCGTAAAGATAGACGCAGATAGTAACAGTGACGCCGAGTCGCTTTTGCTAGCGTGCGTGGTACCCATTTCCGAGGATACTAATCCATTGACTATCAGGCAGGCCTACACTAGGAATGCACCGTATCTCATGCTGCCACGTTTGGAAGTAGTAGACCGTTTGCCTCTGACAAATACCCATAAGATCGATCGTGGGAAACTGATTGAGCGATACTCTAAGACGATAGGGCAGAGGATGACATTGGACGAACCGCTATCGCCGATTCAACAGATTTTGATGGATGTTTTTGGATTGCAAATGGGGCCAGATGACAACTTCTTTGTAATGGGTGGTTCCTCATTACATGCAGCCCGCCTGGTATCTCGTGTAAAGGAGGACCTCGGTATCCAGCTACGGATCGCGATGGTATATGAAAACCCAACTCAACTAGAACTCATCAAGCTTATCGAGTCGCTGCGAAAGGGCGAGGAGTGGACAGACAAAATTGAAACTCTTTGGCAGCCAGACCTGGATCTCGGGAAAGACTTGCGGCCAATACCGGGCGACACAGTGGACTGGACAATTGAAAGTGAAGGGCGCGTCTTCCTCACCGGCGTAACGGGGTTCATCGGCACTTTTTATTGAATGAAATGCTCCTTCGGCCAAATGTTCAGCGAGTGGCATGCCTGGTGCGTGCAAGAGATGAGATAGAAGCTATTAAGCGCATAGTCAAGACCTTCGACCGGTACGGGCTTCGACCTTGCCACATGGAAAAGCTCTGGGCCGTTCCAGGGGACTTTTCCAAAGAATACCTAGGTCTCGATCGCGAAACACTTGATTATTTCGCAGAGTGGACGAGCATCATCTTCCACCTAGGAGCCCGCGTGAATTGGATCGAGCCTTATGAGGCTCACCGGCAGGCGAATGTCCTAGGCCTGTTGAACATGATTCGATTCGCAAACGCAAAGCGACTGAAGGCCTTCCATTATATTTCGAGCACCTCTGTATATGGCCCTACAGGACTTTTGACTGGGGCGACGTACATCCCGGAAATTGAAAATCCAAAATCCCATCTTGTGGCCTTGAAGTACGACACCGGATATTCGCAAAGTAAATCCGTTGCTGAGGTTATTGCATGGAATGCGATCGCCAACGGTCTAGCCGTGGCTATTCACCGTCCTGGTTTTGTCCTTGGTCACAGCGAAACAGGGATTGGGAATTCCGAGGATTTCCTCAGCCGTGTAGTCCCTAGTTGTGTGGACATGGGTTGTTATCCTGCACTCTCCGAACACCGCGATGCCTTCGTGTCGGTCGACTTTGTGGTGTTAGCGCTGTTACACATCGCATCATCCGACAAATCCTTAAGTCGAGCTTACAATCTTGTCGAGCCTCACGGGGATGCGATGACTTCCTTCTCAGAGATTTTCGAGTGCATAAGCGCCGCCCTTCCAGCAGGCTCCTTGATCGAGGTTCCATACGGAGAGTGGGTGGAAAAATGCCAGTCTCGAACTTATGCAAAGACTCAGCACCCCTTGAAGCCACTCATGCCGATGTTAGAAGAAACTGTTCTGGATAACAAGACACGTTGGGAGCTGCAGGCGAGAATGCCAGTCGTTGGTACGGAGAACCTGCGGAATGCCCTCAGGACGAGTCCCAGTCTGCTTTGCTTTCCGGCGATACGGGCTCTTTTGCCCAAGTATATTCAAAACTGGCTTGAGATGGGCTCCCAGGTCTGATGGAAGGACGGTATATTCATTTTCCAGGCATCTTTAGGGAAACATCAACAAAGCATTGCTCGAGGAGCTCAAAGGCAAGGTGTCACATCTACCTAAAGCAAGGGGTAACGTAAAATAGGAAGCACCTCCAAAACAGTCTGTGTTCACCGAAAATGAGGGAACGACGCTCTAACTGCATTAAGGACATTGGAACACAAGGTGAAATGGGCCTAGACCGTAATTTTTCCTTTTTTGAAAAGGATCAGTACTCCGGACGCGTAATTAGCATACTTTGAATTGTTTTGTTGGAAATGTCACTGAAGATCAATATCCGGGGTCAAAACGCCATGGAACTTGGCAACAAAACTTAACGCCAGAGTACAAGAAATGTCAGTCGGTGAGGCAAGCGTTTTTTTTTTTTTGTCAAAGCTGCAGGAATGAAATGAGCTCGTTAAGCGAGCTTCCAGCAAGAATCAAGGGAGCAGGGAAAGAATTTTAAGGTTAAAACCAATAATTGCCTCTTTGGGGAAAAGTAGGGTATTTTAGTAGATGCGAGGGGCGCTCGACACTCTCCCACGACAACAACAACAACAGCCCCAAAACAATTGTTCGTGAGAGAAGAAAAATCAGATCTGATTATGAATCCCAATATATTGACACCACCCTCTCTATCTCAGTAAATAATCACCTATCACAAAGGTTAATATTTGGTGGTGTGCAGGCCAGTTTTTGTGACATGTCTCAATAGAGTGAGTGCATGGGGCGGTCAATGGAAGAATGAAGGTTTTGTCTTGTCGTCTTGTCTCGTAGGCGCTAATGCAGGCTTTCTATTTACATACCGGACGGGCGCATTGGGAATCAGCTAGCTACATTGGAGTTGTTTATGGCTTCAACGTCTATTTCCGAGCCAGTGGGCTTCTTTCTTTAATTCCTCACAGGTCAGGGAAATAAAGCCTAGTTACGCCACGGGTATGGGCAGGCATCTCGGATTCTTCATCCGGCTAGACGTTGCCTTTGGGTAAAACCTCAAACAACCGAGACGGGCCCGGCCAACCTTGAATTCGTCCTCAATTGCTAATTCCATTGCTCGGATTGATCTGGTGATGCATTTTGGCGGTTCATCCCCAGGAGAACTAAGGTAGGTACCCTGTTGGGACCAATATGGTAGGAAGACTTAAGGTTTCCGAGGACATGGAATCAGTGCAACAAATCTTGACAGTAAATTTAAGAATCGTCTGGCTAGCTTCGTAGGTTTTTGGTCCAGCCATATCCCAATGATTCCATCGCAACGAGGAGTAGAGAGCAATAGGACAGATTACAGTTTTGACGGCCGAGAAAAAATTCTATAAAAGCCACAAAGGCTACACTCGTTGAATAAATACATTGTCGGCCGCACGAGAGGAGCAATGAGGTCATCAACAGTTCGGGCGATGGCGGGGATGGGGTGATAAACCAGGTTCTAGAACCGGCGGATGGAGAAAAGGCCAGTGGCCAAATTCAACCCTTGCTATGGACCACGATAATCGAGAGTTTCAAGGGACCATGGGGTGGGTGATGGTTGTTTCCATTCCATGGGTCTGGGGTTCGGCCAATCATGTGCCTACCACTGCGGTTATTAACCAAGAGAACGTCAAGCCTTCTTTCTCATCACCTCAATCATACCGTTGGTCTAGCCTCCATGGCCCTTTTCCCTGCGGGGGGGGGGGGCATTTAAGGCTAAAGATTCCGAGTCACCTTAATCCAATCACCTCGTGTCTGCTGTTTCCCTCTGAAAGTCGGTGCTCACCCTTCGATGCGAAGCTTCACTAGGCCCTTTCCATGGTATCCCTGGTCCTACGATCTTTGTCCTGTCGCCCCCGAAGGCAAACCACAGTACCTCACTTCATAATGAATATGTTATGGGGTTTTCGCTGAATTAACGCACCTTCTGTTTTTTAGTGGCTATTTTCTGTCTCCAGAAGGTTCACCCGCTGGTCATAGGGAGTGCATCTTGCTTTACAACTCTCAATTAATTTTGTTCGAGCAGATTAAAGTCGTCGCACTCGCTCTGCTTAATCAGTATCTTGCCAATATAGCATTGAATCGATAATGCATGGACTGTGTATTCTATTCTAGACACAACAGTAACCGTCATTAACGGTGTACCCCTTAGTCGAAGACTATGGCAGCGGTAGAGAAAGCCTTCAGGACTGCGGCGGCCGGTTTAGAATCTGCCTTCCCATCTAGCATCTATGACCGTCATCCCTTTCAACCATTGAACTCCCCGACAGAGGAAGTGTGCCATCTGCTCTTTCGGTTACCAGGAGAGCCAAGCGATGCAAAGGCAGCGTTCGAAAGACAGCTGCAGACCTTCCTAAGCCATATTCAGTCTCTTCAAAAAGGTGCTCTGGAGGGTGACATATCGCCGCCCCATTCAGAGAATGGATATTCACCACAGTCCACACTGTGCGGGCAGCATACTGAGATGACCATAAGGCCTCAGGCCCAAAAGCGGAAGTTTTCATGGTACGTGCATGTTTACTTCAACTAGGCTGCCCACCTCACAAGGCTAAACGGGATTCTAGGCTAGATGACATATCAAACGGTCGTCAAGTCGATCATAACTCTGAGTATGGGTTCGCGAACGATGATCACTATTCTTTGGTGAAACGTGCTCTTGATGAACAGAAAGACGAAATTAAACTGCCACGAGAAGTCGTTTCGAGCCTCTTCCGTGAACTTCTACGTCACCGCGCAGCGAACAAGCACCCCGACCACGAGGTAGATCTCCGAAAACATCAGCAGATGAATAAAGCTTTTTCAACAGCCTTGCAAGAGATTGCAAAGGTCATCACCAAAGTTGCCAACGGAGACCTATCTACAAAAGTCCCGATTCACCCGTTGGAGATGGACTCGGATATCATCACTTTCAAGGTCACAATGAATGCCATGCTTGACCAGCTGCGGGTTTTTGCCAGTGAGGTCTCAAGAGTGGCGTGGGAAGTGGGCACTGAGGGTATTCTCGGTGGCCAGGCTCAAGTATCTGGAATGCACGGTGTATGGAGAGAAGTGACCGATAACGTTAACACCATGGCCCTGAACCTGACTAACCAGGTCCGAGAGATTGCTGTGGTCACCACGGCGGTGGCCCACGGGGATTTGAGCAAGAAGATCGAACGTCCTGCTAAGGGCGAAATCTTCCTACTACAGAATACTTTCAACACTATGGTAGACCAACTCCGTACATTTGCCACGGAGGTTATTCGTGTCGCTCGAGATGTGGGTATTGAAGGGGTTCTTGGTGGGCAAGCGCGGGTATATGGTACCCAAGGAATGTGGAATGAGCTTACGACTAATGTTAATGCTATGGCCAACAACCTGACTATGCAAGTCAGGGACATTGCAACCGTGACCACTGCTGTTGCAAATGGCGATCTTACTCAGAAGGTCCGGGCAGACTGTAAAGGAGAGATACTGGCTCTAAAGAATATTATCAACTCGATGGTTGACCAGCTTCGCCAGTTCGCCCAGGAGGTGACAAAGATTGCAAGAGAAGTGGGGACAGATGGTGTTTTAGGTGGCCAGGCGACCGTCCACGGAGTTGAGGGTGTCTGGAAGGATCTAACTGAAAGTGTCAACAGGATGGCAATGAATCTCACAAACCAAGTCAGAGAAATTGCGGATGTGACCACGGCTGTAGCTCGTGGTGATCTCAGCAAACGCATCACTGCCAATGTGAACGGGGAAATTTTGAGCCTCAAGGATACCATCAATGGGATGGTCGGCCAGCTGAACCAGTTCGCCTCCGAAGTTTGCAAAGTTGCCCGTGAGGTTGGTGTCGATGGAACTCTTGGTGGCCAGGCTGTTGTTGCCAATGTCGAGGGAGAGTGGAAAGCCCTGACAGACAATGTCAATATGATGGCAGACAATCTCACCTCACAAGTCCGGGCTTTTGGACAAATCACCAATGCAGCCACTGATGGTGACTTTAGCAAACTGATCACCGTCAGCGCGTCCGGTGAGATGGACGAGCTAAAGCAAAAGATTAACAAAATGATCTCCAATCTACGCGACAGCATACAGAGGAACACTGCAGCTCGTGAAGCCGCCGAACTAGCCAACCAGAGTAAATCAGAGTTCTTAGCCAATATGAGCCATGAGATTCGAACGCCCATGAATGGAATCATTGGCATGACTCAACTGGCCCTTGACACCGACGATTTGCCTCCCCCAACTCGGGAAATGTTGAACGTGGTCCATAACCTGGGAAATAGCCTTTTGGTGATTATTGACGATATTCTCGACATCTCGAAAATTGAGGCCAACCATATGAAGATTGAGTCTGTTCCGTTCAGTTTGGGACAGACAGTTTTTAAGGCCCTCAAAATCCTTGCAGTTGAAGCCAGTGAGAGGAGCCTCCATCTTACATACCACATAAACAACTCAGTGCGGGACTGCGTGATCGGAGATGCCTTCCGTCTAAGGCAGATTATTCTGAATCTCATTGGGAATGCGATAAAATTCACCGAGACAGGGCAAATTCAACTTACGATCAAGGAGGCCGCACAAACCTGCCCTCCAGACAAGTACTTGCTCGAGTTCTCAGTCTCAGATACTGGTATTGGCATTGACAAAAGCAAGTTGGATCTTATATTCGACAAATTTCAGCAGGCCGATGGCTCCATGACAAGGAAGTTCGGTGGCACTGGTCTGGGATTGTCAATATCGAAGAAACTGGTCAACCTCATGGGAGGAGATATATGGGTCACCTCAGCCGTGGGGGTCGGGAGTACCTTCCACTTCACCTGCGCATTTACATCCTTGGATCCCCCTGTCAAGGACATTGCCAAATATGTTATACCATACAAGGGCTGTCGGGTCTTGTTTGTCGAGAAAGCCAATGGTCATTGCAACGAGGACCCAAAACGAATCCAACAGACACTACAACAAATGGGCCTCCACGTGGATGTCGTGAGGCTTGAGGATGATGCTTCACCGACAGAGACCGTGGTTCAGCAGGGTCAAGAGCTTCGTCGACAATATGATGTCTTGATCGCTCCCACCATGGATTCTGTATCTCAGCTAAGAAATTTCGACCGGTTCAAAACGCTCCCCGCCGTGCTAGTGTGTCCCGTGGTGTCAGTAGCCATGAAGTCCGCTTTAGATTTGGGTATCACATCCTATCTAACAACACCCTGTCGTCCGATCGAGTTAGTAAACGGTATCCTTCCCGCTCTGGAAGGTCGCCCTTCTCGCCGTTCCTCGGACGAAACGCGCCCCTTGGCCATTCTACTTGCCGAAGATAACGAGGTCAATCAGAAGGTAGCTCTCAAAGTAATGCAGAGGTATCACCACAACGTGACAGTCGTCTCGAACGGACAAGAGGCCCTGGATGAGTTTCGCCACAAGCAGTATGATGTAATATTGATGGACGTTCAGATGCCGGTCATGGGTGGGTTTGAATCGACCCTTAGAATCCGAGACTACGAGAAAGTCCACACGCTTCCGCACACCCCAATCATCGCACTCACAGCTCACGCTATGTTCGGTGATCGGGAAAAGTGCATATCAGCAGGCATGGATGATTACCTTCCCAAGCCGCTCAACCAGACGCAGATGATGGAGATGATCCACAAACATGCAGCCCTTCGGGATATCTTACGTTGACAATTACATCACAAGCCCATCCTTATGATTATACCAGGCGGTCGATATTAGGCCTACTTAATGAGACTCTCACTAAGTTTGATGATTTTAACGTGCATTGACTGGAGGTTAGATGTATAATGATTGTTGATCTTTTTATTCTCTCTTGTCTTTTCGTCGCTTTCTTTGGTTTACTCTTGACCTCTTATACCACAGTTTTCTTTTCTTTCCATAGCTGTACATAGTCTGACATGACTACGCAATTTGATACAACGAGCATAATGGCTCTGTTCACGGCTTAATAAATAACACCACTTGCAAATTGGTTCCAAGCGATTTTCACCACGGTAATGAATACACCCATTCAGTTTCTGTTCAAGAGCTGCCATTCTCCAACAGCATACACGCCGTCGTCGTTATCCCTGACTCTCCGTACTTGGCCAAGTCAATCACAATGCTATCGTTAAGATCCTTGAAACCCAGCTTCTTGTATAACGCGTATCCCTCTTCTGAAGATTCCAACCAGACTGGAAGCTTTTGAGCCGCTGCTTCTTCCAGCCCCAGTGTCATAAGCTTCGCACCAATCCCTTTCCTCTGATACTCAGGGAGAACGACAAGGACTCTGAGAACTGGAGTCAAGTGTCAGCACAAATATACTAGTATCGAGATCGTGAAACCCTCCAGCAGAAAGAAACACCAGCACTTCAACAAACAAGAATGCTCAGGGAAAAAAATGAAAGAAAGAAAGAGAAGATAAACTCACAAGCAACCGGCCTCTCACCAACCCACTTCTCCCGTCTCACCTCTACCCCCCGGAAATATTCCTTATACGCCTCAGGACTAATAGCAGACTCAGGTGGATCGGCATGATTCTTCGCGAAAGCCTCCGAGCCTTTCACTCGTGACTCATAATCGGGGTGGAAATCCCACCAACTCCAGCCTACGATGTTATTCGTATCGTTGTCGACGGCTTTGATGAATCTTGTTGTTTTATCGCCTGCGATGAGCTCCGCGAGCTGGCCCGTGAAGCCATTTAGGTTATCTTCTGTCGGAGGACCAAACATGAGGTCGGTGAGTGCGGAGTCTTTGAATGCATCGCCGTGGATGCGGGTTAGTGATGGCGCATCTTCTAGGGATGCGGGGAGGATGGAGATTGTTGGTAGATTAGACATTTCGGGTATGGGTTTTGGAGTCTGAAGGTGTGATGAGATGAGATGAGGTGAGGTGAGGTGAGGTGAGGTGAGGGCTGTGAGAATGGGTTTTGGAGCTGGTTAGCAGTTCTTATAAGTGAGTCTATTTATGTAAGATCGCTCATTAGGCATCTTAGTTCTTGGTCACTTTTCCTAGGGTTACATGCAACAATTTCCTATTTGGGACGCCGACGGGATCATTCACAAGAAAGTCTTGACTATCGCCTAATTTCCAAATTAATACGAATCAGCATGTCTTGTCTCCGTCCAGAGATGGACCTGAAAGCCAATCACTTCACATCTTGTTCAACACCGTTCTTCTCGTCCTCCACCTCTAGGGCCCTCAGTTCGGCGATCTTCTCAACCTTCCAGGATATCTCGGCTTCTTCCTTTTTCAGTGCCAGCAAAGAGTCTCTCTACCTCGTGTATCTACCAGGCCCGATCGTTTAATATTGATACTTTGGCCGTGATTAACCGAAGTTACCCATTTCTGAAGAAGAAAGTGTGAAATTGAAGTAATGGGAGAATGTTGGGTGTGTTGTAGGTGTGGTGGTTCTTCCAGAGATCAATACAATATAGTACAATAGACCTACAACAACACTTCACAATTGTACATGACATCTGTTATATCCCAAGGGTGCGACTGCTTTCAATCATTTCATGAGATTAAGTCTGACCCTTCTCGAACACCCTCTCCCCAAGTCTTGCTCCTTCATGAAGCAATTAGCTAACTCCACTAAGCTCATCCAGGCACATACTCCTGGCCACAAGTGACCCCAGAGTGTAGATACGTATTTGACACAGAAAGTAAATGCCAAAACAAACATATAAATATATTGATTCACCTCAAATGACCTATTCTCTACTATTAGAAAGGCTCGGGGGATCTCCCGGACCTCATCCGTTTCAGTTCCAACACTATAAAAAGACAACCAAAGCCCTCACCAAAAGGCCAACCACAAAAGTCATATACTTCATTAACGACCACAATCAACAGAATGTCCCCCCTACACAAGCTATCCACCTTCCTAGCCCTCATCGCCCCCATAGCCGCAATTAAAAACCCAATTCTCCCAGGCTGGAACCCCGACCCCTCCATCCTCCGCCTCAACAACGAATACTACCTCACAACATCCTCCTTCGAATACTTCCCCGGCCTCCCAATCTACAAATCCACAGATTTAACCAATTGGACCCTCCACTCCCACGCCCTAACAAGACCATCCCAATTAACTCTCTACGGAACCCCAACCGGCGGTGGTAAGTCTACATCAACGGCCCCCTTCTCCATCCCACACTAACCCCCAATTCCAAAAAATAAAAAGGAACCTGGGCCCCAACCCTCTCCTACATAAACAACACCTTCTACATAACAGCCATGACCCGCTGGACCTACGACCCGATCGCAAAAGTCTGGCCGCGAGTCACATGGATCTCATCCCCCGATTTAGAGTCCTGGAGTGAACCCATCTGGGCCGAGCCATGGGGCATCGACCCATCTCTTTTCCAGGACCCTGTTTCCGGGAACGTCTATCTGAATCTCATGGCGCCGGATAGTAAGGAAACTGGGATCTGGGGTATTTATCAATGTCAAGTCAACCTGCGGACTGGGAATTGTATAGATGAGTACCGGTCTTTGTGGAATGGGACTATGCCGCATGATGTCAGTGCTAGACCGGAGGGCCCGAAGATGTTTGTGAGGGGGGAGTGGTTTTATTTGCTTATTGCTGAAGGTATTGTTATTTTTCCTTCTGTCTTTTTTTTTTTTTTTTTGGTTGTATACTTTTGTCTCCTTTTTCTTTGGGTTTGGGTTGAGGGAGTTGTTGCGTTGGGATGTGGATGTGGATGTGTACGTGCTGATCATGATTATGGATATATGAATAGGCGGTACAGATGACCTCCACCGTGCAAGCATCGCACGCTCACGATCACCACGGGGTCCATGGACTTCAAACCCAAATAACCCGATTCTATTCAACGGTGCGTATGGATTCGATAACCTTACCGTGCAGTCGACGGGTCATGCTACCATCTTCGACACCACCAGCGGGGACTCATATGCAGTGTATATTGCCCGGAGGAAGGTTAACGGGTCGTCACCATTGGGTAGAGAGACATTTCTATCACCCGTAAGTTGGAAGGACGGATGGCCTATCATCAACGACGGGAGACCAGTTCTCTTGAGTGAATCTTTCGGTGACATTCCAGATCAAAGCACCCCGGAGACCTGGGTTGATAGATTCGAGGGATCTACTCTCGAGAATGGATGGTATCAGCTTCGCACGCCGTACACGGAGAACTTCGTTTTGGGGGAGGAAGGGGGTATAGTCTTCCGGCCGAATGTGTACTCTCTCAGCGACAGGGATGTTCCAGCGGCTATTCTCCGGAAACAGACGTCGTTAAATATGACGTTTAGCGCGGAGTTATTTCCTATAATATCGAAGCTAAGACGGAGCGAGACGGTAGGGATAAGTGTTTATTTGAGTGAGTTCCAGCATCAGGATATTGGGGTTCGCGGGTGTGCAGATGGGAATGGGAATGGCACTGGAATGTGTGTTTATGCACAGCTTGTGAGGAATGGGACGGTTGAGGTATGAATGATCCTCTGACCATTACTGGGGGTGCGTTACTGATGGAGAGACAGTATAATGAGGTGGAGCTCAACGCATCGAGTATAGAGGATGGTGTTATCTTGCATATTCGGGCTGAGCCACTTTATTATCGTTTTGGCTACAGTGTGGGCGTCTCGCAGGTGCATTGGGTGGCGTCTATTGAGTCGAAATGGCTCGCTTTTGCGCCGTCGGGATGGTTTGTTTTTGAAGGGGCTAGTTTTGCCCTTTTTGCTAGTGGGAATGGGAGGCCGTGGTCTGTTGGGTCGCCTGAGGTTGGGTTTAGGGGTGTTACTGAGAGGTACTTTGAGGAGAATATTCCGGATTATGATAAGTGGGAGTAGCTAAGTCATGGTAGGGACTGACAAACAAGGTATTCTTTATTCGTATTCGCTATCTAACTTGCTAATACCGTAGAAAACTTACATGCGAGTCGATAATGCGCTTAGGGTAAGGCATTGACAAAGTTGAGGATTACCGAGACCGATCTACGCTTGTCTAGAACATAGGACATTTGGATACAAACATAACAAGCTATCATTTCAAAAGTGCATGTCACAGACATGCCTCTAGCCTAGAATATAGGACATATGTACAGTCTCTGCGGGGCAGAGTATATAGAGGTATCATTCCACATTTAGCACTTGAGCTCGATGGCTATTATCAGTCAGCAACTGTTCGTATTAAATTCACATAGTCGGGGCTTGCTTACCATTGGCGTACAAGGCATAAGAGTCAGCGTTGTTCAGCGCATCCTGAGCGCTCAGCTGAGTAGCGGCATCATAGCCGTAGCCCAAGTCCTCAGTACCAGGCTGGTAGACGCCAGGGGCGTGAGTGAACTCGTGAAGAGTGGTAGTGGCCTGGTCCTGGGCGTGGCACTTCTGAGCCAGGGGAGGAAGCTCAGAGTAGTAGATGTCGCAGTTAGCGATCTCGTTCTTCGAGGGCAGGGTGTAAGCCAGAACGTTCGGCTCGCAGTAGCCGTAGGGGTCATTGCAGTGGTACGTGGTAGAGCCACCAGAGGTAGAGCCAGCTTCCTTGGCGACAGCGCGCAGGCGCTCGGCAACGGTAGTGCGAGTCTGCTTGTCGGTAGTCTTGAAGTACTCCTCGAACTTGGACTCGTCGCCGGACTCGGCTGCTTCGGCAGCCTGGTCAGCCAGCTTGGCGGCGTTGGAAAGGGCAGTGGTCAACGCGGACTCGGCGTCACCCTTGCAGTCGGTGACCTCGGTGCGGCGAGTGAGCTGCGACAGCGCCTTGGTGACCTTGGCGGCCTTGCCACCGTCAACATTGACGGTCAGGTCGTTGGACTTGTAGGGGATGTAGCCGGTGATCTTGCCGTCCACGACAATGGGAACGAATCCGTGGCTGCGGATGGAAACGGGACCGCCGGTGGCCAGGTCACTGGTAGAGGCGATATCGAACTCATCCTCCAGGGTCTCACCAGCACCAAGAGAAGTGACAGCCTCCTTGGTGATGCCACTGCTCCTCAGGCGGCGCTTGATACCCTCGAACTGGACCTCATCCTCTGCCGGAATGTTAATAAAAGCCATTGATATTCATGTCTGGTATGGTAACAGGGAAACGTACGGCCGCGGTAGACGGAAACCTTCTTGACAGGGCCAGCATCCTTAAAGAAGTTCAGGTGGACGAAGGACACTTCCTCACTGCCGGTGTTCTTGACAACCGCCTTCACACGAGTGTTATCAATCTGGGTCAGCTTGACCTCAAGGCTAGGAGACGAGCTCTCAGCAGTTGGCGCCGACACAGCGGTGGAAGCCAACGCGAAGAGTGCGGTAGAGAGAGCAGTGACACGCATTCTGGCGGTTTGGAAAGGAGGGCTGTGGGAAGAAAGATGAAATGTGTTAGATACTGAAATAGATTGCCTTGAATTGCCTTGGAATCCTAAGTGAAGAGCTGCTGAACAACGAGGGCTTTTATAGCCTTGTGTTCATCTTGTCTAATAACCCTCAGAATAGTCATTGTGCACTTCTTCAGGCCTCGCCCCGGGCATAGCTCCGGTATCTCTCTCTGTAAAGAGAAGGTAGTATCCGAAGCTGCATTGTTTAATATCACGGATCTCTTGGCGAAGGTAAAACTCGGCCTCATGTCTTCAAGTTAGAGAGACAAGATCGTAAGTGAAGGCTTCTTTCTTTAGTCCTAAGCTGATTTAGGGGACTTGGCCCGGCGGAGGCCGAAAGACTGTGTTTTGTCCGTTTCAGTATATGATCAGCTCGCCTCCACCGATAAGGATGGGGCCGTTGGATCTGGCCTCAACAGACCATTTGGCAGCCACTATGCCGCCGGTCTCCCGAGTCTTGGCTGTTGTCCCGCTCTCGAGCCATGTTCCTGTCGCGGTGAAGATCTTCGGGCTGAGAAGCTGGTGAATCAACGAGACATCGAGTCAGGATACACATCAATATGGTGTTAGACAAAAAGATGTCTTGGGTCTCGGAATAAGCAACGCCAAAATGCTTAGCGCACAGTCCACCCCACAGATAATTCACCAAGAATGCTACCCAAGGGTTTCTAGCAGATTGAAATTAAATTGCCAGGCAGAAGCCCTGCAGCCTCGGATGCAGGGTTTTTCTTTCCCCATAAATTCATATCATTAATCATGAGAATACCCCTCATATATCGATACCACGCCACGCAGACTTGGGCCGAGATTTCGCCTGCGATCATTGGCGCGGATTTATGATCAATCGCCGATCGCGCAGCTTGGGTTTCATTGCGAGTGCCGTGATGACATTTAGTTGAAACATAAGCAAGGCTGGCTTTTGCGTAGGTGGCGAATCACTGCCTGCAATATATCTTCCCGACTTTGAAATGCCGCTGTCTCCCTGCCATACGTCTCATACTCTTACCTTGTACATCTCCACGTCGCCCACTTCCTGCTCCTCTAATTTGTTCCCATTAAATCCTTCATTTCCTCAACCATGATGGGCGCAGCTGTAGCTCTCCAAGTCCTTCTCGCGCCGCAGCTGGTTTCGATCGACCAAGCATCATCCCAGCAGACGGCCGTGTCTGTCAAAGCGTCTATCCAAAATCCCTCCAATGAGCCAGTAACTATGCTCAAATGGGGTACCCCTTTCGATCCAAAAGCCGGCATCCTGGGGGTTTTCCAAGTGCAGGATGAGACAGATGGTCAGGCTGTGCCCCTTGACACCATCAAGTTCTCTCGCAAGCTGCCTCCCGCCGCGGATGACTTGCTCGAAATCGCCCCAGAGAGCACGGTGGACACCGTTGTCACTCTCCCACCTATGCCGCTCCAGTCAGGACATGACTTCTCGATCCGTGCCCAGGGGAGGTGGCATGCAGTGTGGGAAACTCCTGTGAGTGACGTCCATGATGACAAACTTGAACAACTTTCAGACGCAAAACGGGGTGATTTCGAGTCGAACGCCGTTCAGTTCAAAGTCGAATGAGCCATGCTGAGCGATTTGTGCGTCCTGTTGAATGACCCTTTATGTGCTGCGCGTGATGTCTATCTCGTTCGATACTTCGTCAAAATCGACGTAAATGAAGCATATTCTTGTATTATATGAAAGATGAATTTGGAATATTTATTTCTGGAGACGTAGATAGGCCTTGTCCACGTCGGTGGCAGTTGCGCCCGTGTTCAATCGCTGAAGAGGACTAGTAGATTATCCGGGCATCTCCACATGATTAAAACAAAACAATCGCTCTCTATATATGTACTCTATCATAGGTTATTTGCCAGCTACTCAAGCTTATTCCGCTCGGTCGCCCGCGAATATCGCGATACCTCAGCAGATGACTTGGCGCTCTGCACTGTGCTAACAGCATGGAACGAGAAATCGAGCTCTCCAACCAACTTCTTCACGTCCCTGTTCTAAATTAGTAACTGTGTCACTGCAACGCTTTCTTCACTCACTTCATAAGTCTCTCCACGTCACCGCCTATACATCTAGTGGAGATTTGTAATACTGCAAAGGTAGCGAATCCTGGCTCTGCGACGTGTTTCACGCTCAGAATATCCTTGTCCATTGCTTCAAGTCTTTTGGTAAAGCTGTACGGTCTTGGTGTCTTTAGGTAAGGGGGAAGAGGTCTGCGATCTGTGATGCTGGCCGAGAGAAGACATAACACTGTGGTGATCTCGTGGGTTGTGACACCTGCGCTGGCAACTAGCCGTTTGAAATCATGGAGCCAGGCAGAGTTTGATTCCTCATCATCACCAATTTGCAACAATGTATCTGAGGCATATCCGAGAAGACTCAGGTAACTCACAATGCTATCGAAGGGTTAGCTCACTGGGCAGTCTTGAGGAAGCAAGTAATACCTACTTTTCGATACATGCTATAATAGAATCATACTGCTTCTTGGGGAACCGACCCCCAATCGGTACCTCCCATTTGAGGAATTCTGAGTAGGTCCGGAGGTTATTCAACATCAACATCTGCTTGGAAAAGACCTGATTACGGGACTTCAAAAGTCTGCGTCCCGCCGAACTCTTGAGCGCCATATCACCTGCCTCACCGCGCACCCGTGCCGACACAGTCTCGTGAATGAGCGAATAGTAATTGGCCAGAAGATACAAAGAGGCACCCAGGCTTTGACGCAACACGGAGTGTTCCGAAATGGGGTACGGAAAGAATGTCCAGAAAAACGCCACGGCAATGCCACCCGTCACAGTTGCCAATCGATATGGCGCAAGGAGATATATGGGATAGTATGACTGGCCGTTCGAGGTTGCGATTTGTTCACCGACCTTGCGAACCTGAAGTTCATACCCAACTATCATGGACGTTGTTATGATGGTGATAATTCCAATAGCCCGGAAGCGGAATAGCTTGATTGGCACATAGAAAACGCACGTTAGAAATATGAAGAAGAAAACAATAATTCCCGGGGTCTGTTTCCCAGGGATGTACCAGCTTAAAAAGCTGAGAACCATGGCCAATACAGTCCCAAGTATACGGAGCACAAAGCCGAATATACTCTGTCCAGAGGTAGGGGTCATGCTAAGGTTAACCATAATCATAGCCCAAATAAAGCGTTGCTTAATGAAGAAGCTCTGGGTATCATGAAGGAGGCCAACAATAGCAATGGTCATGGTGGCGCACGCGACCCGGAAACCGTACGCCGACTCTTGAGTGCGGAACATTGCAGGAATGAGTCTGACCTTGTCCCCTATTTTTTGAAAGGTGGTCTCCGGCCGCAGATGCTCTGGATCCTTCCTGTGCTTGTACGCTTCACCCAGCTGGAGAATGTTGTTCTGAGCGTTGATGTCGCCTATATTATCATCTTCGTGTGTGTCTTCAGCCTTGAGTAAGCTTGTGGCCCATTTTCGCAAACGCTTCCAGCCTGGTATAATAAGATGGCGCCTTGAAAGCTTGCCACTTTCACGTTTGTCATCCGCGAACTTTACAAATTCAAGCACCATCTGACCGGTTGAGCTGAGTAGCTGCTCCATCTAGTCATTGTCAGTATCTGGCAACATCTGAGAAGTATTAAGGGCAAGATACTTACATAGAGAAACAAGTACAACTGGCGCTGACTCCGCTCTCGGCCAATGAATGGATCACCATAGCTAATGTCTTCCATATCACCCGTAGGACGATCAAAAAAATCTTTAGGCAGTTTGATCCCCTTTTCTTCACTCCACGTTCGAAGGGCAATTCGCTTAGCGACCTTGAAGTCACGAAGCCTTTGTTCAAGATGAGCTGCGAACGTCTTGTCGCCCGGAGAGGGCACAGCCGAAGCCTCAACATCTTCCACGCCACTCGATGACGTCTCACTATTTGCAGCAGTAGCAGTCTTCTTCGGTGGCTTTGCCAATTTTAGCACAAATGAAATATGCTGGAGACCCTCGTCTATCGCCTGGATCATAGACTTGAACGGGTCATGCACCGCCCGCATGATATCGTTCCATTCTTGGACCACCCGATGACGTACCAGGTCCGGTATATCAGTCGCCGTCGGATCGATAGGCGAATTCCATTTATTGTATTCAGACAGGCGCTGGAACAAGTCGACGGTGAAGCTCAGCCCCACGACAGGGATCATGACCTGTCGAAGGTTTCGGAAGATCGCTTGAAGATCATCGGGCCCAAGGTAGCCAAACGCGATCTCACGCTTGGCAAAGGTCAAATCCCCGTGAAGCTTACCATGGATCTCGGTGATTTTCTGCACTGCTGTTCGGATGGCTTGTGCTTCTGGACTGTACACCTTGCCGTCCTTGGTAATTTTTTCCACCCTGGAATCATATGTTTCTGCCCTACCAAACATGTCACTTTCTTCCAGAGACTCAAAGTAGACTGTATGAGCTTGAAGAGCTCCACGCAAGCATCCCACATAACCGGTCATCTGCTTAAACACTACTGTCCGTGAGGTGACGGGATAGATAAATAGGCAGACGCCAGTGGCTATGGCCAAGCCGACTAGGCATGCCTCAAGCAATTTCGTGACCATAGCTATGGCAGCCGTCATTGTAGTCATGCGGGGGGCGTAACTGAACGTTACATTGGCAACAATCGAGTAAATGATAACCGGGAACTGGAACTGCTGGAACTTGGCCCGAAACGAATGGACGACATATATCTGAAAGAATAACCAGACACCGCTAACAGCTGATGCCGACTGGTTGTACGGCGTGTTGACAATAGTACCACCCGCGCTAGACACCACTTCAGTGTGCTGCCTTGCCTTCACACACGAGTACATCATGAGCAGCGTAACAGCGGATGCCACACACACGGCCAACACGTCAAGGACCATCATCTGGATAAACTTGGCGCGAGGCTGGATTGAAAAGCCCAAGACAGAGATGATGGCCATAAGATATCCCACCGTAGTGAACTTGGAGGCCACAACATCGGCCTGGAACCTGGTTGATGTTAGTTATCTAATCGACAAGCTTTTCCACCAAGGTCTTACATCGCCAGAGCAATTGTCGGCGGAATAGCGCCTCTATACATGTATTAGCTCGTATACACAATAGCCATAAAGTGACCTTACTTCATCATCAGGAGAATCGTCGGCGTATCCAAGCCTAGACTATTCCATCCTGATTTTAGTTTCGTCATGAGGCCCTTCTTTTGTTTACTCTCCGCTTGTGCCTCAGGCTCATCTGGCAGCGGCCATTGCGAATCCTCAGAACTGCGATGCGACGACATGTTGAGTCGCGTCGTGCTCTACTGGGCACCCTCTATGTTCCTCTTTTTCCGACACCCGGCAATTTGGATCATGAACGATGCCGATCAGAAACCCCTCATCGATAACTTTCCGTCGAGAAACACGTGACCAGGTGACTGACGTGAAGCGATTTCCCATGAAACTATCCCAGTTCGCCACGCAGTTCAAGGGGGATGTCGCCGCTTCCAGTTGCAAAGAATGAGTGGGGATAACCAGGGGTTTCAACGGGCAAGGACAAAGTCAAAAAATTCATGTTTGACTCCACGTGGGGATGGAGTACGGATTTGAGCCGAGACGAAGACGCAGGCGACGATCGGCGCCAAGAACATTCTCCTTCTGTGAACGGTGAGTGAGGATGTTGTCCCCACATAAAGCGACATCGGGAAGTCTGGGGAAGAGTGATATCTGCGTCATTGTGCAGGTTTATGGCTACCAAATAAACAGAGAAATAAAGGAAAACACGTGGAACGGCACCTGATATCAAAGTCTCTCACAGGGAGTCAACCAAACCTACATTTCCTCGGCGTAGTATTAAGAATCATTATCGGAGTGCCGATTGTATAATTTCTATTGAATTGTAATCCGATTAACAATCAAACATTGGAGTATATTAGTCAGATCCCAACCGAGGTTATCAATCGAATTATGTTAGTCCCATATCACTCTTCACAATCTCCAGTATATCCTTTCTAAACTCGATTAGGTTAAATGCCATACAAGGATGAGCTCCCTAGATCTCGAATATCGGTTCGTCGCAACCAAGAGATATGATGATATAACTTCCTCCATTCTAAGCAATAATCCTATAGCTATTGATTCTTAGCCCAATCTTTACCCATTAAATCCTCTCGGGCACTCAAACAATGCCAACAACATATCCAGACCACTACTACTACACCCACCCAAAGCTACACAAAAACCCCAATCGATAACACCCATGCATTAATTTAAAATAAAAGATCCCGCCAAGAGTTCCATTACCCCTAAACAAACAACCAGAAATGAAACAAAGCAACTAAAATCGATCCCCTCTCCTCACCCCACAACCATTACCATTACCATTACCATTACCCATCCACAATTCCACATATCCACCTCCAACCCCAGATGTATAACACATTGAACCCTTAAAAATGTCTACCCCAGACCCCGAAGCCCACCCAGCAACAAGCATCCCAAAACGCAAGCCCGTCCCTCCACCACCTCTACCACCAGCAGCTCCAACAATTGACGAACTCAAACCCCACCCCCAAACCCCAAAATGGCCTCCGGCAAAATGGACCCAGCTCCCCAAAAAGAAAAAACGCATATTCCTCATCTCAATCGCAATCGCCATACTCCTACTCGCCCTTATAATCGGCCTCGCAGTCGGTCTAACCCGGCATTCGTAAGTCTTCTGTCCTACCTAACTCCATAGTCGCAAACCATTCATAAGTTCTAACCACTCCTCAAAAAGGAAACAAAACCTCCCCCTCCCCACAACCAACGGAGGCCCCTACACAGGCGACCTAACATACTACGACCCGGCGCTGGGCTCATGCGGAATAACTAGTTCCAATTCGGACATGGTCTGCGCGGTATCGCAAGTTCTCTTTGATGCTGCGTCGACGGGGTCGAATCCGAATGCAAATCCGCTTTGTGGGATGAAGGTGCGGTTGAAGAGGGGGGAGGCAAGTGTTGATGTTACGGTTGTAGATCGGTGTATGTATCCTTTTCTTTTCTTTTTCCCTCTTTGCTTTCGTTTTGGTTTCCTCGTCGGGGTTGGTGCTAAGTATAAGATGTTAGGTACGGGATGTGCCGTGAAGGATCTGGATGTTAGCCGGGGAGTTTTCAAGAAGTTGGCGGATTTGGATTTGGGGCGGGTGAGCGTTGACTGGGCTTGGTTGGAGCAGGCGCCTGTTTCTGTGAGATGAGTCTTCTTCATGAGGTTTATGATATGAATGGGTTGCGATTTGCGATTTTTTGTGGTTTGGCTGGCTATGTACATATATGGTTATCTTGTTAATATTCTGGCCACTCGGGGTCAACCTGTTCGCGCCAGGCGCGCAATCCACCCCGAATATCCGCCACGACTCTTTCGCCTCCGCGGTCCAGGCCCAGTTCCTTCAGTTGTTTGACTGCGATCTGGGAGTCGTTTCCGAGTCGACACACAACATAAATCGGATCGATAGAATCCGGCGAGGCGATATCTGCTGGCAGCCAGGGGGGTAGTGGATTCGATCCATTGGCTACTTCGTCGTTCCGGGCAGTTTTCGTCGTCGACGACAGGATCGACGAAATGGGGATATTTATACTGTTTTCCAAGCTGCAGATGTCGAATTGGACCTTCTCTCGAACATCGATGATTGTGGGTTCCTTGCTGACCGTTCCAATAGCCTCGCTGGAAGCTGTCACCGGATACTTCGTCCGATATTCCAGCGGCGAGATGCGCTCTTCCGGGAGCAACAGCTTCTCTGGGCTGACACTTCCACAGAAGAAAACATAATCGGTAGACCCTGACTTGACGGTTTCCAACGTCACGCTAGCCTCAGCAGAGCATACCGCACAATTAGGACGGCGCGAACGCAGTTTGATGGTTCGGAACAGCGGGGAAGAATAGGCCGAAAAGATATGCAGCGATGGAGGCTTGACTTCCTCATCGGCAGCCGTAATCACCTTGATCGCCTCCAATGCCTGCAGTACACCCATTGTACCGACAACCGGCCCAAGAATGCCACCATCCGCACAGCTCATGATACTATTCGCCGGAGGCGGCCGAGGAAAGACACAGCGATAGCATGGACCCCCAGTCTTTTCTCCTACCGGTCGGGGAGGGCTATTCAGCACCATAAGCTGCCCTTCCGTCCGCAGAGCAGAAGCCGAAACCAAAGGCTTCCCAAGCAGAACAGCCGTATCCGAGATCAGATAACGCGTGGCCGGGTTATCCGTACAATCGAGGATGAGATCGTAGTTCTTGAAAATATCCGCCGCATCTTGAGGCGCTAGATGCGCTCGATGCGCTATGTACGTCGGGTGAGGGTTCAAACTAAAAGCAAGTCGCCTATTAGCATCCGCCATTGAAAAGCGGGCACACAGATCAAACTCACTCTCGCAACGACTCGATCGCACTATCGACCTTGAACTTTCCCACATTCTTGCTCCGATGTAACACCTGCCGATGAAGGTTCGAAGATTCCACCGTATCCCCATCCACGAGTCCCAGTGTGCCCACCCCGGCTCCGGCGAGATACTGCGCAGCCGGGCATCCCAAGCCGCCCGCTCCGACAATTAAAACCTTTGCAGATCGAAGTTTCAGTTGGCCTATATTATTAAAGAATAGTTGTTAACAATTGTACCTCAAGGGACTGTCGTTGTGACGAGAAGAAATCCACTCACCTTGCAACCCCACCTGCGGCACGATCATCTGCCTTCCATAACGGCGATATTCCTCGTCCAGCAGCGGCCACCTTCTCGTTTCACTGCCTTGGGTGCTAGTCGTAGCGGTAGGATTTGGAGCGTCCTGCGCCCTGGCTTTAATAGCCGCTTGCTCTGCGCTCTCGAGTTCGCGTTTCAACCCGGCCAGCTGTGCTTCGGTGGCGGCGATCTGGGCGCGCAAGGAGGCGCAAGTATCTTCGATATCTCCCATTTCTAAGTGTGTAGGGGAGCCAAGAGACGAAAGAGAGTGTATAGGCAGTTTCGCCTTAATTTTCAGAATTGAAAGGGCAAAAGATGACCCCGCGCGAAGATTCTCAGCTGCTCTTATCGGAACCCGGCGATCTGAGACTAGTCCTGTTTAGGTAGTAGTACCATATTGAGGTTTCGGTGGTTTTTTCCGAGTTTACATGGAGTAGTCGGACGAAAACATTCGAACTAAAAGAGCTTAAGAGCTTAATTTAACTGTCATTTACATGACAGACCCATAACCTAATATGCAAGTAGCCTTATGTACACACCCCATCGTCCCCGCCCTCTAGCCTCCCCGCAATCTCAGTATGTGGCTCGGTATAGCGCTTGAGCTTTTGCCTAAATAGGGTTCGCTGCTCAAACGCATATGCCATACCTATCAGCGTCTCCTCACTCCAATGCGCGCCCATAAAGCTGATCCCGAAAGGAATATTCTCGGCAACCTGAACCAGGTTTCCGAACTTGTTGTATACGGTTTTCGTTCCCTTCGGATACGCTCCAAGCGGGACCGTGATGACCGGCGTACCAACGACTGATGGGAGGTAGGCAGCCAGCGATGTAGGAAGAATGACAGCATCGAGCTTGTGGCGTGCAAGGGCTCCCAGCACACCTCCTTCTCCTCCTAGACGGAGATTATTTTGGTACATTGGCCAGAATTCTGGAGAGGTATTGTTGATTCCGATGGCGAGTGCTGCATCCCATTGGACCGTGTCACGTTTGGGGTAGTCCTCTCGTGGGTCATTATGTGTGTATTTTCTGAGATCATGTAGGGTATGTATGTTGTTCGGATTAGTCTCCAGCTTAGCGAGATAACTCTCGATATTGGAGATGAAATCAGCATAAAGAACCTGTGTTACGCTCTTGCTCCCGAGAAACTCCTCCCAAGCTGTGAAGTTCGTATCTTGCACAATAGTAGCACCCGCCCCAATGAGTACAGAGATGGCGGCTTCGAATGCGGAGAGAACCGCAGGGCCGCGTGATTGCATTGCTAGCAAAGTTAGGACATTCCGTGGGATACCGATCCTCTTCCCCTGCAGTCCGTCCAACTGGCAGGCACCGGCATAGAAGGGGACAGACGGGTCAGGCGAAGCAAGTGTGTAGTTATCCCTCGTGTCTCTGCCTGCAATCGCTCCCAGAGCCCACGCTGCATCTCTGACGGTCCGAGCCATTGGTCCAATGGTGTCTTGGTGCTCACTGATTGGGATGACGCCGTAGCGTGAAGTAAGGCCCACTGTTGGTTTGATACCAACAATGTTGTTTACCTCGCTGGGAAATAGTATACTTCCCATCGTCTTAATTTCCTGTGTTAGCATACGAGAGACCTACATGCGGCATAATGCGCTGTCACTTACTTCCGTCCCAAGCGCTGCCACGGCCAGTCCGAGGTCAACTGCCACAGCGCTCCCACTTGAACTTCCTTCGGGGTCCTGCATCGGATGATAAGCACCTAGAGTTTGTCCACCCCTAGGATTCCAGCCATTGGACGTATTCGACGAACGGAAATTCATCCACTCCGACATACTCGTCTTTCCGAAGATAATGGCCCCATGATCCCTAAGTCTCCTCACAACAGTTGCATCCTCATGCACTCGAGAGTCATAGAGCGAGTATGAGCCAGCTTAAATACAAGCATACATTAGCCGAGCGTACTCAACGATAATTGGTACTAACAGTATGAACCAGAGAAGTTAAGTACCTGTGGTCTGCATCTTACCCGCCGTTCCAATATTATCCTTGACCAAAATCGGCATACCATGCAACTCACTAAAACAATTCATGAGCACATGACAGTCATATGAGTCTAAATTAGATGAGTTCTACACTTACCCCCGACTAAGACCATCTTGTCTCTCCCCATCCAGCACCTCTGCCTCGTGCAACACATCCGGGTTTAGCTCCAGTATTGGACGAAGAGTAGAATTGACCTCATTGATCCGCGCAACATACGTCTATACCCAATCAGCCATCAACCCAACCACCACCACCACCACAACCCAAGAGCAAACCTTAACCAAATCCACGCTAGAATAGCAATTATCCATAAGATCACTAACAAGGTCATCCCTCGTCGCGTCGATGAGCCGCGGATACGCGCACATGAACGCGGACACCGTCACACAGGCATACAGGAGACACAGAAGCCCGCCGAATGGCCTATAAAACAGCATGATTGCACGTAATTCTATCCGAGAAGGTCTGAAAGCGGACAAGAAATGTGAAGGTCGAATACTTGATCGAATTACTTTCTCGCCTTATATAGGAATTGGAAAGTGGGCATTCACGATGCCTAAAAGATAAACGGGGACCCTTGTTTTCACTGAACTGACAAATTCGAGGCTATTCATCTCCCTTCGAGGATACAGTGAACAATAGGAGGCTGTAGTCGTGTCACCTGCTCTCGTTCCTGTGGAATTGGGCTACATTGGGAGGGCTTTCATATCGGAGGAAATCCGACTCGTCCCCCTTGCCTATACTATGTTTGGGCGATACATCGTGCTCCCTTTTCTGGAACAATTCTGTCAGCAAATGTTTGCTTCTTGGTTGTTAGGGTTGCACAAGGAAGATTGCGATGTTTTGGATTACATCAGTGCCAAGAGCCGCAATTCTATATAAAAAGAAATTGTCTCAAATTGCCTCGTATCAAAATCTTCCGATGGTGAATCACGGAGGCTCGTGGATCTGTTCAAACTTAACTTGACTTGGCTTCGGCTAGGGGAGATCATAATGGATGAGATTAATAAGGTAGCGGCTGTTGGGATAACGGCGGGCCTTCTTTGTCTCTATCATCCTGGTGCAACCCTAATTTAATAACATCATCTGATCGTCGCACGAATAGAAACAATGGAATGAAAAGAATATGTTGGGATGGTTCTATATCCTGACTAAGCTCTATAACCAATTTCCCCCGTTATATACACTAATTTGATCGTCGCGTCATAGTCTAAGTAGTCTAGACTTTGTCCTCCTCAGTCCGCTCGATATGAGAGACCACGCCCTTGTTCAGGGTATGTTCCACGGCAGCACGGCGCTCGTTTTCATCGACAGCCCCAAACAGAACGTCCATCTCTTCCAGAGAGCGACCCTTGGTTTCCTTGGCGAAGAAGACGATGAAAACACCCATGGCCACGCAGAAGATTCCGAACATGAGGAATGTCCGCCAGCCCAGTTTGTTCACCGCGTGGGGAGTGAATTCGGTAACAACGAAGCTGAACAGCCATTGGCTGCTTGCTCCAAGGCCAACACCGTATGCACGCAGGCGTGTTGGGAAAATCTAGAACAGAAGTCAGTCAGAGGATGTCTCGGATATTATATGGGTTTCTCGTATAAATGGACCAGTCTTACCTCACTCAAATAGACCCATGGAGTTGGGCCCCATGAGGCACTGTAACCAATGACATAAAGATAGATCATGACAACCATGGCAATGGAAGCCTGGGAAACCCCTGACGCAGATGTGTCAGGTGGATGAGTGGCCAAGACGGCACCGATGATGAACATCATGGAAGCCATCCAGATTGAGCCTCCAATCAGACTCTTCTTCCGTCCCCAGCGATCAATACCAACAAACAAGAATATCGCCGTCGCGACGACCTTGACGGTTCCGTAAACACCCGTGGCGAAAAGAGACGAGTTGGTCGCGCTAAGACCGACGGTTTGGAAGATCTGGGGTGCATAGTATCCAATGGAGTTGGTGCCCGAAAATTGCTGGCAGAGCATGAGTACGGCAGCAAACACGAAGCGGTTTCGGTTGCTCTTCTGAAGGAACTCTTTGTAGGTTAATCCCTCGGTCGCCGCCCGCTCCTCCTCAATGGAGGCGCGGATCTCGGCGATCTCAGTCTGCACCACCTCGCTACTGGCGGGCTCGTTTCTAATATAAGCCAAAGACTGTAGGGCCTCTTCATGGCGGCCTTTGCTGGTCAGCCAGCGAGGGGACTCTTTGAGGAAAAAGAGTCCGACCAACATGAGCCCGCCCGGGATGAGCTGAACCGCAACCGGAGTCCGCCATTGCTTAGTGCTGGGTGCAATGTGCAGGGACACACCATAGTCCAACCAGTAGGCAAATGTGCTTCCGATGACCAGAAACTCCTGGAACATCCCCGCAATACGGCCTCTGATCTCCGGGGGGGCGCTCTCACCCACAAACACCGGTGTGATACTAGACATGCCGCCGATACCCAATCCGGCCACGACTCGGCCACCATAAATCATACCAATTTCATGGCTTGCGCCAACTTGAATAGCAGCTCCAATCAGGAACACGACAGTAAGAATCATGAGAGAGTAGCGACGTCCGAGAAAGTCATTGAGGAAGGAGGCACCGATGGCACCGAAGAAGCAGCCAGCTGTAAGCAGAGACACCACATTGGAAGAGACTTGGGCATTTTGCGCGTCTGCAAATCCATCGGATCCCGCCAGACCGAAATCATTCTTAAAGCTGTCCAGGGCAAGAACACTACCCATCACTCCGGTGTCGAATCCTACAAAATATCGTTAGTTCATGTACGACGAGTCAATCTGGATCAACAAGGGGACGTACCGAAAAGCAGGGATCCGGAGTAGGCCACTGCCGTGAGGATGTAAACACGGTAATTCTTGAAGATACCCATTTTGGCGAAATTGGTCAGGACCGATGGGTGACAATCAATTCAACCAAGGAGGGCCGTCTCGAGAAAAGAAGAAAGCAGGGAGAACTCTGGGGAAATCCCCATTATATTCCCCAGCTGGCCCCAAACTCGTCCCCATCAATGGGTCGACTAAGGGCTCCATAGATGTACTCCATCCAGAAAGGCATCTCTGGACTGTGATAGGCTGTTGCCGAGGATGCTAAGCACCATGATAGGCATTGGCGGCGCTGCCCGCAAAACCCCAGTGGCAACCCCTTCTTTTTTCCTTTCCCCGCGCACGGTGCCCCCAGGCAAGCATCTCCGGGGGAATGAACGTGACTCGGCAATGCTTCTTTTCGACTCCGCGATGTGGATACGGACGGAGAAATTCTGCCCTTTTCGCGGGGTGTCATTTTTCCGTCCACTGAATGCGGTCGCCAAGATGACACTAGACTCCATTCAACCCGCCAGATATCACTGCGAATGGCAGATAAATCATTGTTGGTCGTTCGTCTATGATGCCATTTAGTCTCAGGCCCGGCAGGTAAGGCGTTTCTGATCCGTCTGGCAAGAAGATCTTCTCCCAAAACCGTTAATATGGCATGACCTAACTACACTCCATTTTTGCATTAGTAGCCTTAAGAAGCCACTGAACAACCAATGATGATGGCTTCTAGAAATCCCAACCGGCATATCAAGCCATTATATATGGATAAATTCTCTCCAATGCTCCAACATAGTCGTCATCCTCACCGGTGAAGCCACGACCAGCTCGGCCGAAGATTGAACCCACTTAGTCGCAGACACCTTTCACCGACTACCAAGGCTGAGATTTTAGTCCTCTTCCTTTAATATATGGCTGGGAGAAGTATATACTAGCCTAAGCCTTCATTACCAGTAAGCATCATTGCCTAGCAATCTCGGTCGTGGGATTTATGAAAGACAAGAATATATATACAATCTTGATCTCAAAATCATTACCTAGAATCCGATACCCCAATTATTCTATCGTTAGAAAGAATGAAGGAAAAGACAAAGCAGGTTAAAACACTTTTATTTCTCGCATAATGTGACATAAAATCCCGAATAACAAGAAATAAAGCTCAATAGGAACGGTCTTGCAGCGCTACTAATCAGCTTCTAAGGCGTAATATCATGTGAGACAATATTCATTACAGGATGGAATATCGTTGCCTCAGCCGTTGAGTAGATGGATACGGTAGATAGATTGCTGGCTATTGTCTCTCTCTGTCCTAATTGGCCTGGATGATTAGCATTAGCGACATATGAAGACAAGTTGCTTCTTAATTGGGGTGAGAATACTTAGTTCTCCGGTGTTGCCTATCAATAGACTATAGCCAGTTGTCGATAATAATGCATTGTGGTTTGTGTAAGAAATTTGCTTATAAATTATGTTATGCTTAGAGCAGGGCACGGAAGAATGGCCATTATGTGCACGTGCAAGATATAATGCAGCTTTTTGTAGGATTGATAGTTGTGCTGGTCATTCATCAACTACAATACCACAGATAACTAAGCATAAACAGAAGACCGATTAAGAATAGTGCTATTACTACTACGATAGAGTAGGTTCCGTTGGTCCGATCGATGGCTATTGTTATATTTACGGATTCTCGAACAAATCAAGGCCTATTAGCTTAAACCTCAATTGCAACCTTCTTCTCCCACGTCAGATCAGTAAGCCAATAGATGGCCTAGCGATCGTCTAAGCCACCGCAGATATACATGCGAACCTCATGTAGTAGGCAACAGGATATCTCAATCAAGTAAAGTCTACAGGGTTCAATAGAAATGAAACAATTCCAGCACCTATCTGTCCAATGAGGGAAGCTAGAACCGAGGTGCTCGAATATACACTGTAGCGCCTATCCCAGACAGCCCATGGTGGATTCGCCATGGCATTAGCCTATGTTTAGGTAGCATAGTACCTGATCTACATAGTAGACCTCATACCGTACCGGCAACAAGGAAATTACCAGCAGGGAATATATTGGAGACAAAACATTGTTGAATGGCGCCCCTTCATGTTCCATCGGTTTGCTTTCCTTTCTTCGATCTTCAGATACTCACCTCGTGAGAAGGCCGTATTGCTTAACAGTTGCACTTCGACAAAATGCCATCGACACCCCAGAACATTGGCATCAAGGCCATCGAGATCTACTTTCCCAGTCGTGTATGTCCTGGGCCTTTTTGAATCACTTGGGCAAACATTAACCAAAGCGCAACCTAGTATGTGCCGCAATCAGAGCTCGAGACCTTTCTAGGGGCCAGTGCCGGCAAATTCACTATCGGACTCGGGCAGCAGAAGATGAGTTTCTGCGATGACCGGGAAGGTAAGCTGAAAGGACGGCCACCAAGCTCCTTCAGCATAGCTGGCTGACAATGATGGGCAGACATCTACTCCCTAGCCCTCACCACTGTTTCCTCCTTGCTCCGAAAATACTCAATCGACCCAAAGACGATCGGTCGCCTCG